GCCCGCCTCGGCTCCGGGCCTTCGCGTCCTCGCTTCAGAAGCGGCAGCCAACAGCAGCCGTAGCGGTCCTAGCGACCCTAAGATGGCGGCCTCCCTTCTCCTTCCCCCTCCCTTCGCCTTCTTTTCCGTGAGGGCTGTACTGCGCATGCGGGAAGGGCCTCCGCTGTGCTGATTGGCCGAGCGGGGAAGAGGGCGGGGAAAGCCAGAAGTGTGGATTGGAAAGCCGGGCGGTGATTGGTCCAGCGTCCAGTCGTTCAACTCCGAGGTTCTCTTTCTCCCTCTGCAGATGACCCAATTGATAAAAGACGGAGGCGGGCTCCGCTGATTTCTGATTGGACGATCCAATCGTGGGACTTTAAAGCCGTCTATTGATTGGGTGAGAGAAGAGAAAGCCTAAAGCAGGTATTTGCTACAGCGATTATTATTGGCTGACGTTGAGGAAGCGTCGTCTTCGCTACAGCTGATGTTGAGGAAGCGTCTCAACCAAGCTGTACTTTTTGTCACACAATGCAAACGAAATTCTGATTGGTTGAAGCTCTGATTGCTGTGGACAGCTTAACATTCGGTGAGGCGGGACTAAGCGTCTCAACCAAACTACTTTTTTTGTCCCACAATGCAAACGAAATTCTGATTGGTTGAAGCTCTGATTGTTGTGGACAGCTTTGCATTTGGTGAGGCGGGACTAAGCGTCTTTTTTTGTCACACAATGCAAACGAAGCTCTGATTGGTTGAAGCTTTGATTGTTGTGCACGGCTTTACATTCGGTGAGGCGGGACTAAGCGTCTTCTCTTTTGTCACACAATGAAAACGGAGCTCTGATTGGTTGACTTGTTGTTGTGGTGTTGTTGGGAAAAAGGGGTTTTTTTTTTCCATCTCCGAGGCGAGAGAGCGAAGGTCACCGCGCGCTGTTCCCATGGCAACAGCAGACAGGCTCTTCCTACTGCTAGGCCAGACTTGCTCTCGCAGGAACCAATCGCTGGCAGATAAAGAAGAGGCCTAGCAGCCGCTTAAGCGGCTGAGGGGGAAAAGGAAGGGGCCTGAGGCTGTGAGGAATGGTGGGAATTGGAGTCCAAAACACATGGAAGGCCAGAGTTTGTCCTTCCCTGTTACAGAGGCTGGCCAGCCAGCCATAAACACTTCATTCTCTTCTGAAGGTTGAGTTTGGCACTATGGATGAAAAGTCTGAGAGAACCCTCAGTGTGAGAAGGCCTCAGTGGGTAAAAGGCCTCGGTGTTAGTAAGCTTGGTGTGAGAAGCTTAAGCGGCTGAGGGGGAAAAGGAAGGGGCCTGAGGCTGTTAGGAATGGTAGGAGTTGGAGTCCAAAACGCCTGAAGGGCCTAAGTTTGCCCAGGCCTGAGGATATAATATTAGGCCTTTTTTGAATTGTAACTCTCAAGCCACCAGAAACTACATTCATATGGAATCTACCAATCTTAATATGTTCCAGTTAGTTGAGAGTTTATTGTTTTTATCCATCTCCAGGATGCCTGCCATAGATGCTGGCGAAACGTCAGGAGAGAATGCTTCTGGAACATGGCCATACAGAGCAATAAAGCAGCAATAGGAAAGATTATCAGGCCAATTAGATTTGATGTGGATGACTTGGATGTTTTTAAATGGTGTATTTTAATATTTTGATAAATGTTTTTAATGTTTATGTATGTATATAAGAATTTGTGTCCCGGCATTGAATGTTTGCCATATATATACTGTGCTCCGTCCTGAGTCCCCTTCGGTGTGTGAAGGGCAGAAAATAAATGTTTTAAATACATACATACAGCCTGGAAAACTCATAGCAACCCAGCTGCATCTGTGTTAGATGCACGGGAAATTGTGTATCCGGAGTTTTCTCTTGGGTTCCAAGGAATAAAAGAATAAAGCAACTTGGCTTGAGGGAAACTGGGGGGCTGCAATTTTTCAAGCCGAGGGGTTCTGGAGAAAGAAGCTATTTAATCATAACTTATTAGAAACTGAATGTACATTGGGCTGGATGAACTGGTTGTGAAAGGAAAAACCTAAAGCAACCGCCTGCTTTTTATATAAGCATGTATTGTTTCTGCTTTTTGGGGAGGGGGACCTCCTTGGAGATGCTTGATTGAGAACACTTCCTGAAATCCAAGACTTCTGGGTCCCACTTTGTCTTACTGGGAGGAAGATTTTACATGTTGGACACAGGGCAGTGGATAAAAAACATGCATCTTGGGTTTTGTTCTTACGTTGTTTTGCTGGTTTCAGGCAAGGCTGTCTTGTACGCTCTTGGGAATCTAACGAAAGACTCGGTTTCGTGCAGGAAAGAAAGCACTAGGCTATTACTATGTTTTACAGGCAATAATTCACTTAAAATGTGCACTACTTTACAATGACAGTCTTGCAGTATCACTGAGGCAAGTGGAACATTTTAGCCTTAGGTTTTTGATTGTACAATCTTCTTCTTCAAATGCATCAAGTAAACGTCTTTGACTAGCATTGTGGCTGAATGCTAACCAAAATGGCTTGTTTAAATCTGGCCATGTCTTATCCCAGGCATGAGCAAACTTTGGCCCTCCTCCAGGGATTTTTTACTCCAACTCCCACCATTCCTAACTGCCTAAGTGGCTGAGGGGGAAAAGGAAGGGGCTTGAGGCTGTTAGGAATGGTGGGAGTTGGAGTCCAAAATGCCTGGAGAGCCAAAGTTTGCCCAGGCCTGGGATATAGTATTAAGCCTATTTTGAATAGTCACTCTCAAGCCACCAGAAACTACATTTATACAGAATCTACCAATCCTAATATGTGCCAGTTAGTTGAGAGTTTGTTGTATATATTTTTATGTCAGTCTCCAGGTACACAGGCCCAACTCTGCTGCGAGTTTAAACTAGCTTGCAATTTGTTTCTCTGTCATGCCTTTGAAATCTCATTAAAGGTGTGAGGGAGAGAGCGCAGAAGATTTAGCCATGAAATCTAGAGTCTGGAGGACGGTTCAGAAAGCATTAGGCAAGGACTGTTATGGTAAATTGGGCCAATGGTTCAGAAAATCTTACAAAAGGCCTCAAGTCTGTGTGTTGTGGAAGGCTTTCATGGCTGGAATCACTGTGTTGCTGTGCATTTTCTGGGCTGTATGGCCATGTTCCAGAAGCATTCTCTCCTGACATTTCACCCACATCTATGGCTAGCATCCTCAGAGGTTGAGGGGTCTGTTAGAAACTAGGCAAGTGATGTTTATATATCTGTGGAATGTCCAGGATGGGAGAAAGAACATGAAATGCACTGCAAACTAATTCAACCCAAGAAGTCAGCCATAGCAGAGCACCTGATGAACCAACCTGGACACAACATATTATTTGAGAACACAGAAATGTTGAAGCATTCTAACAACCATCATGTCAGACTACACAGAGAAGCTATTGAAATCCTCAAGCATGTAGACAATTGCAACAGAAAGAAGGAAACCAATAAAATGAACAAAATCTGGCTACCGGTATTTTAAAAAAACCCTAAAATCAGGACAGTAAATAAAGAGCAACACTAAAAAAGCAGGGGAAATCCAGACATGAATCAATCAGGGCCAGCTAACACCTTCCAACAAAGGATTCCCTCAGGCAGCAACCAGGCTGGCTTTGAAGCTGCAAGGCCATTAAATGCTAATCAAGGTGGCCATTTGCAATGTTCACACTTGCCTCAAACAGACAAGAGTTCTTTCTTCCACCCTGGACATTCCAGATATATAAACCTCACTTACCTAGTTTCCAACAGACCCTTCAACTGTCTGCCATAGATGTGGGCGAAACATCAGGAGATAATGCTTCTGGAACATGGCCATGCAGCCAGGAAAATGCACAGCAATCTGGCCTCAAGCCTCCTGATCATAAAACTGGACGAGACCCAGAGGGCCATCCTGTCATTGCAGGAACATACAGAGCCCTCCTGACAAATGGCCACCCAGCCTCTGCTTAAAACCCCCCAGAGAAGAAGACTCCTCCACAATGAAGAGCAGGCAGGATTTTTCCTTTTAATATTTATGTGTTGTTGGGTAATTCCATGCTTACGTTGCTGTTACTGTTATTTTTTGTTAGTGTTGTGACTCTGTATGTTTTGATGTTGTTGTTTGGAAACTGCCGGGGAGATAGAGTGGTATATAAATAAAGTATTATTATTATTATTATAATCCCAAGGCAGCATATTCCACTGCTGAACAGCTGTTATTGAAATGAAGCTCTTCCTCATGTTTAGGTGGAATCTCTTCCTGTAATCTGAATCCATTCCTCCATTATGCCCTTGTCTCCAGGGCAGCAGAAAAGAAGCTTGCCCCTCCAGTCATGTATTTAAACATAGCTATGTCCCTTCTTAGCCATCTCTTTTCCAAACCGAACATCCCCAGATCTCTAAGCCCCGCTTGTCAAGAGGCATCCTACGTGGAACTTCTATTTACCTCTCATGGCTAAATTGCACTGCTAATAATAGGTTAGACAACAAGAGATCTTTCTATAAATAAATATGAGAGTGATAAATTAGACACACGGGGTGAGCAAATATTGTTAGCTGAGAAACACTCCTGTCTGGCTAAACACAAGCCCTTTGTTTAAAGAAAAAAAAAGTTACCAAAAACAAGGGCATGTAGGTAAACACCTGGCACGAAAGATGCACAGCTTACGCATATAGAAAGTAGGACAATAGCCAATTAGAAGATAGGAAACAATAGCCAATTAGCAACCTCACGCAAGTGCTTAAAAATACTAATAAAAAGATTCAGTAAGAATTCACAAAGCTTTGTTCCTCTTTGTGCAAATAATATGTAACGTTCTTGTTTCTTCCTCCCCAACCTGTCTCTTTTGGATTGAGACTGGGACAGTTTTGGGTTACCAAAGGCTTAAAGGGCCACTAAAATGTAAGTCTCCCAATATTTCTAATTTTTTTAACATGACCTAAATGAACATTATGTGTCAGTGGACTCAAGAAAAACTGTATCCCTTTTCATGCACATCTGTAACCAAAACCTTACTTCTCCATTGACAGCAGGTCCACATACACATTTCAGCCACTTTATTGAAATGTCACAAATCAGAAGAACATAGGAGGAAGAATCCAAGCAAAGGACCTTCCTCTGACCTACACCCAACGGACGCTGGGAGATCTTTTGCCTCTGTATTGAGTCTTTCATGCTATTCCAAAATGCCTCTCTTGCATCTCAGTGTTAGAGGCAAGGGGAAATACTGTTCAAAGTGAATGGATTGGACTCCTGCTCACAGTCCAATGGTGTAGGAGCGTCCTGTGGGATTGTGGATGACAGAGCACATAGGGGAGATGACGGCCCACTCGTACCAAACTTTCTTGGAAGTGCTGCAACGCCAGAAGGCCACCTGGATGTGCTCACCTGCCTGGATGTTCATGGGGTGCTGTGGGCAAAAGAGTGTCATGAGCAGAGATACTATGTACTGGGCAAGAATACAACATCCAACACAGCTTTCCAATCTGCAGAAACCCTGGTGCTTAATACAAACTCTATACCTGAGAGTCCTAAGTAGACTCTTCTTTGTTCATGACAATTTAAGTTTAAGAAAAAACACAATTATAGTTCTATAATTTTTTTATTCTGCTTTCCCTACTCCAGCATGCCTTGCTTTTATCACTCAAGTAAAACTAATTTGTAAGAATCCTTCCTCCAAATATTCCAACTAACTAGCACATAGCAAAAGGAGGAAGAAACAAAGGGATACCAAATGGTGAAAACAAAACATAGCTATGCATAAGGCATGGCAGAAATAATGGAAGGGAAATACATGGCATGACTCAAATTTTATATTGTTTTGTGCATATAAATATGTGTATTTTTATTAATGTTTATGGTTATGTTTTAGAGGTGGATAAAAAAATAGCATTTACTATTGTTATTATTTGACACATAACAAGATTAGTATTTATTTATTTACACTATTTCTATCCCGCCCATATCAGCCTGAAGGCGACTGAGGTCGGCATACAAAGTCGGTACAATTCGATGCCATATATAAAATATATACATTGATAAAAAGCAATAAAGAAACATTACAGTACATTTAGAGACATAAAAACAATGAATAATAAAAAATTAAAACTATGTCCTCTCGTTCAAATCCTCATTCAAATAAATACACAGCAAACAAGATCACTATGCTGGCTTTTGTATTTGACCACATATCAGACACTTCCCAAGTGTCTAGGACTGTGTGATGTATTGGTGAATAATGTGTGCAGATCCGAGTAGGTGGCCTTTTGCAGCTGACAGATGGTAATTTTGTCAGCACAAATTGTTTTTAAGTGTAGGCCAAGGTCTTTAGACACTGCGCGCAGTGTGCTGATCAGGACTGGGACCACCTTGACTGCCTTGTGCCAGAGTCGTTGCAGCTCTATCTTTAAATCCTCATATCGTGTAAGCTTTTCCATTATTGTTATTATTGAGATGAGAGAAACATACATAGTTGCCAGTATCTCAGAAGATAATACAGAGGCAAGCTATAATTTTACCACAATATGAGATTTGCTGGGTAAAAAAAAAGTTACAACCAGGATGTAACTGTTAATGCAGGACTGAGTAAACAAGAAGAAGGATTTAAGAAGCCCTTACCTTGATTGGGAAAAAAATAGGAAACCATGAAAACATGCCTGGTGAGTGTGTTTCAGGCCGAATACCTAGGAGGTGAAAACATGAAAAGCACATCTTTTGAATCATCTGGACTATGTCATCTCCTCTTCTTCCTCAACCAGAAAGCTTTTTCTTTCTTATTAAACTTACTGAGAATGACGTCGCCATATAATGTGGTCTCAAAGTAGCCAGCAAAACCATGAAGCACTGTGTTCACATCTACCTGGAATTCTAGCGTCTGGTAGCGGTTGTTGTCTTTAACAGGACCTACATAATGGAAAAGATATGATGAGAGGGTGGGATCAGGCAAAGTTATAGTCCTATAAGGATGGCATCTATGAAAAACACACCCTGTATTTTGTAGGACTAAAGGATTTAGTCTGACTACCCATTGTGTGTGAACACATATTATGTAGCAAAGGAGGTGGTTTTTTAAAAGCATCTAGAAGTCTCTGCCCCACCCACATCCACAGGTATAATCAAACCAAATCCTAACCATAGCAATGAACATGCAGTTGGCTCCACTGCAGCATTTTTCTTACCTGGGCTGGGATGCCTAAAGGTGAAGCAGGCCTTTGGGGGTGCTAACTGGTGGAAGTTGTGAAGCCGAACAACATATGGCATTTCAAACTGAGCCTGGAGAGAAGAACAGACAGGAATTTAAATACATATATGAGAAAGACATATTTCTAAAACTCATCTTTAGGGGAAAATCTCTTATAGGGGATTTATCATTATTTTCTACCTTCAAGGTTCCATTGGAGTGGGAAAATACAGCACAACAATACCTACTTATAAGATAAAGTTATAGCTTTATTTCAACCACTGATTCGAAGATTACAGTCAAATTTAGAATAGCTTGCTTCAATTCATTGATCTCCCCTGTTGTTATGGTCTGTTTCACCCAACACTCTAGGTTTTCAATCTGACTCTTTCACAAATGCATCAATGTCAAGGTGTTTTGTGCAAGTTATTGATCTGCAAGTACTCTCAAAGCTGGGAAGAATTTGTATGAAGAACGGGCCGTTCTAATCACCATTGCTTTTGATTTTTGAAAAACAAGTTTCATAGAGCTGCGCATTTAAGACCAAAATAGTATTGAAAGAGTCGGAGTGATGCCAGGTGACACCTCAGAACTGAAAGCAGAAAGAAAGGAAGGATAGGTGAAGTCAAAGAGGATTTCCAGAAATTGGCATGCATAGATCTTTGCACCCTCCTCTGTTCAAAAGAAAAAAGAATCAATTCTGCAAAATCTATACATATCTAATTAGTCTGCACACCTTTGCTGGGTTTATGTTTACTTATTTTAAAAGATCGCATGCACTCACGGTGCTATAAAAATAAGTGCTAACACCAACATAAAGTCATACTTTCCTGGTTTGCATGATTCACAGTAATCTCTGCCAATATGGTGGCATAATAATAATCAAAATCATATTAATACTTTATTTGTAATCTGTCCTATCTCGGATTGTGTGGTTTTAATAATGTGTTTTAATATTTATATGATTTAAAATTCATGTTTTAATGTATATGTTTATTTTATGTCTGTTTTGTATATGGCATCGAACTGTTGCCTTTGTAAGGCTGCTCTGAGTCCCTTCGGGGTTGAGAAGGATGGGGTATAAATGCTGTAAATAAATAATAAATAAATATCTCCACAAGGAGACTCAGGGTAGTTTTAATACAGATATATTGATCTGTAACTACTACTTCAGTCCAATGGCTCCAGAGGGGCATCTGTCTAGGAAAGCCAGAATTATATTGAGAAATGATAAAAACACGAGGGTAACTAAGTGCAAACCTCAAAGCCTTTTTGTGGCCATCGACGCCCCCAGAGTCTACTTACTGATCTGGAAGCTTCCACAGTATCTAACTGTATTACCCTATACACTTTGATACCATTTCCATTGCTATGGCTGCATCCTATGGAATGCTGGGATTTGCAGTTTTGTAAGGCTTTTGTAATGCTTCCTCTTCATCTTGGAAAGAAGTGACAAGTGGAGTGCCGCAGGGTTCCGTCCTGGGCCCGGTCCTGTTCAACATCTTTATTAACGACTTAGATGAAGGGCTAGAAGGCATGATCATCAAGTTTGCAGACGACACCAAATTGGGAGGGATAGCCAATAGTCCAGAGGACAGGAGCAGAATTCAAAACTATCTTGACAGATTAGAGAGATGGGCCAAAACTAACAAAATGAAGTTCAACAGTGACAAATGCAAGATACTCCACTTTGGCAGAAAAAATGAAATGCAAAGATACAGAATGGGGGACAATGCCTGGCTCGAGAGCAGTACATGTGAAAAAGATCTTGGAGTCCTCGTGGACAACAAGTTAAACATGAGCCAACAATGTGATGTGGCGGCAAAAAAAGCCAATGGGATTTTGGCCTGCATCAATAGGAGCATAGTGTCTAGATCTAGGGAAGTCATGCTCCCCATGTTCTATTCCACTTTGGTTAGACCACACCTGGAATATTGTGTCCAATTCTGGGCACCACAATTCAAGAGAGATATTGACAAGCTGGAATGTGTCCAGAGGAGCGCGACTAAAATGATCAAGGATCTGGAGAACAAGCCCTATGAGGAGCGGCTTAAGGAGCTGGGCATGTTTAGCCTGAAGAAGAGAAGGCTGAGAGGAGATATGATAGCCATGTATAAATATGTGAGAGGAAGCCACAGGGAGGAGGGAGCAAGGTTGTTTTCTGCTTCCCTGGAGACTAGGACGCGGAACAATGGCTTCAAACTACAAGAGAGGAGATTCCATCTGAACATGAGGAAGAACTTCCTGACTGTGAGAGCCGTTCAGCAGTGGAACTCTCTGCCCCGGAGTGTGGTGGAGGCTACTTCTTTGGAAGCTTTTAAGCAGAGGCTGGATGGCCATCTGTCAGGGGTGATTTGAATGCAATATTCCTGCTTCTTGGCAGGGGGTTGGACTGGATGGCCCATGAGGTCTCTTCCAACTCTTTGATTCTATGATTCTATGATTCTAAGGTACTAGGGTGTAGTTCTGGTGAGGTACCTTTCAAAGTAATAATTCTGTTCCCCCTCCATGAAATTTTCTTGCAACACTGAATACTGAAAACTATTCACATCTAGAATTCATGTAGAATTCATAGAATTGCTGTGTTTACTTGGTAATTCTGGTCTGTGGATGCCTAATTTATTTATTTACAATTTATATTCCGCCCTTCTCAGGGGACTCAGGGCGGATTACAATGTACACATATATGGCAAACATTCAATGCCAAAGACACACAACAGATATAGACAAACAGTCATAGGCTATTTAACTTTTTCTGGTAGCCAGGGAAGCTGTCGCTTTCACCGTCCATCTGCGACGCTGATGAACTACTTCCGCATTCCCCGCATGCTTTTGCTGGAGTGCTTTGCTGGAGTCTTTTTTATGGCCTTGTAAATTTTGTTAAATTAGCCTCCCCACACATAGGTGGTACCTACTTTTCCTACTTGCCAGATGCAACCGTCTTTCGGGTTGCAAAGGTCGACAACAAGCTACACAATTGGTTGGAAGCTCATTCTGACCTGGGCTGGCTTCGAACTCATGGTCAGAAGTGATCTTAATGCAGCTGACCGACAGCTGCACCACAGTCCCTTCTTCCCAGATATGTGAGAGCCCAATTTGGGGGGGGGGGGGGGGAGAATGGGAAGAAACAGCTTTTTTCTGGAACATTTGAAAGAAAGGATTGCAGAATATTTTATTTCAGGCTGATAAACAAACTGTTCATATTCTATGTTCACTCCCTCAAAATCTGTATTTCTAAATACTCAGCTGAAATTTTAAGTTACCACAGTGCTAAAAATTTGGGGACTGAAGTATAAACCGTTTCAAAATTAATTACACTTTAAGAGCAAATACAATGATACAATCTTCTCCTTTGAGCATATTAATATGCTGCCTTGTGAGTCATAAATGGTTTTAAACTGAAATCAGTAGACAGAAAATCTGGCTGAGTGTACTTGTGACAAGAATCCGTTATTTCTGAAGGAATTTACATAGAGTTGAGACATTTTAAAAACTGAACTCAAACCAATTTTGCAGCACCTAAAAGATGTAACAGATGATTAACAGGACACATTGGGTGGGCTAGAATTTTCTTGGTACAAACATATGCTGCAGTAAATGGGTGAGCATTTCAAATGCGGCTTTCCTTGGATTCAAATGCTTGATCTTAAAGGCCTGCAAAGTCCTTGTGTGTACGTATCTGATAATGGAATATTTCAAGGCTTTTAAAAAACGCTGTTTGCATCTATTCACTGTTGATGGTTGGGAACCGTTCTTTCTTCCATTTTTGTAATTTTGAGAGCTCATAAGGAATCACAAAGGACCCTGCTTTTACTGAAGCATACAAATGTGATTATTCTTTAACACAGAACAGCTTCAGCGCTCCAAAGGTGTCAAGCGGTAAACCGTGTGTAGAGAAAGCCTCACCTCTGGATCGCGGTCTTTTTCGCGACAGGCACGAACTTCGTTGTAGAGCTTTGAGGAGGAGATTGGGCCCAAGAAGGAGGTATAGTCACAGGGAATACTGACACCCCCCTCTGCGTAAGGACAGAAGGGAAAAGATACAAGGAAGTTAGAATTACCTGAATTTAACATGAGGATCCTTTAAAACAGTGCTTCTATCCACAAAGGACCATCTAACCAGTCTGCTTTATGTTTTAATACACCACCTTCCCTAGATATGTGAAAGCCCAATGGGGAAAAATGGGAAGAAGCAGCCTTTTTCTGGAAAATTTGAAAGAAAGGGATTGCAGAATATTTTATTTTAGGCTGATAAACGAACTGTTCATATTCATGTGTTCACTCCCTCAAAATTATTTATCAGACTAGCTTGGGTACCCGGCATTACCCGGGTTATTTGAAAGTCAATTTTGTAGTTGTACAAAATGCATAAGGTTGTGGGTAAACTACAACTCCCATCATGCCAGGTTAACCCCAAGAAACTCCATCAGTACCTAAAGTTTGTTATGTTGGGCAAGTTTGCTCTGGATGCATCACTGGTGGGGTCCAGTGTGCTCTCTGGCTGTAGGGTAAATTACAACTCCCACTATGGTGTGTTAGTCCCCTCAAATCCCTCCAGTAGGTTGAATTAGTCATGGGAGTTCTGTATTCCAAGTTTGGTCCATGTCCATCATCTGTGGAGGTCACAGTTTCCCTGGTTGTGGGTGAACGACAACTCCCAGAAAGAACAGTCAGTTCCCCTCAACCTCTCCAGTAATCAAATCTCAGCATGTCCATGGATTGAAGGCAACCATGAGGCTGATATGGTAGATGAAAATTAGTTTGACACCCCTACTGTAAAGGATACTAATATATTTTTTCCCATTTCTTTAACACACCCACCCCGCTTTCACAACTTCCAGAATTTTCCCATCTCTATCCGTGGGCCCTCCCTGCTGTTCTGGAAGCTCTGCCCTCACCTTTTAGACAGTGATCTGCCCCATCCAGACACTCGGGGGAAAGCTCGTTGTCAGCAAAGGATCCCAGCAGTTCCGACACCATGAGATCCGCCTTCTCTGGAGCCTCCCATTCCCGCATGTCACCAGAAACCACGGTCACCTGGGAGCCCCACTCTTCATACTGCCAGCTCTCCAGTCTATGGGGGGAGAAACAAAAGTGAAAGAAGCAGTCAAGATCCAGGGGCCGATCTCTTCAACCTAAGCAAGGATTTATGCCCTCACTAAAACATTGCTAAAACAGTAGATGTGGCTCTTAATGAGACATGCCGCATTATCACGGGGTGTCTGCACCCTACACCACTGGAGAAATTACACCGTTTAGCCAGTATTGCACCACCTGACATCCACCGGGAAATAGCAGCCAATAGTGAAACGACCAAGGCAGTGACATCTCCAGCTCATCCCTTGTTTGGGTATCAGCCAGCACGTCAACAACTTAAATCAAGAAATAGTTTTCTAAGATCTACAGAGAAACTCGCTGGAACACCTCAGCAAGCGAGAGTCCAAAAGTGGCAGGCTCAAACCCAGAGCCTCAATCAACACCAGAGGCACTCCAAGGGGCCAGATACTGGTCAAAGGACATTTAATCAACTACTAAGCTTGCAAATTTTGTGTTTTGTCTGTTTGTTTTATTCTGTTAGAAATATAATACAATTGTCTGGTTGCCCCTGACATGATAAATAAATGCCCTCACTACATAATTGCCATATCCATCAATTAAAAACATCAAACACAACTTTCCAATCAGCAAAACATCAGGGATTTTGGTTTCCTCGGACATCTCCCACTGTGCTTCCTACTCAGGGGCATTTTGTCCAAGGCGGCTCCAAGCGAGCAATGAAAACTGTGAGCTCATATTTCCTAGTTATCAACCAGTAACCATAGCGACAACACAATTACTACAAAGGTATGATCTTTTGTCCTTAAGATTCAAGAGTTGGCTCTCCTGTAACTGTCACTTAGCAGTGGCCGTTCTGCCCAGCTGCAAAGCAGGAGAAAAGAGAAGTCAGGCCAGCTACTTTCCTCACAGAAATACCATCTGCCTTTGACCCGGGGGAGGAGAAGCAGAACTCTTGATTTGGGGGCTTGTACACAGAGGTGATGGTGATGTTATTAAGCTCTACTATTAGAACCTTGATATTGTTTTCTTCAGTGTTGTGGGCACTGCTGACTTGGAGGCCTGGTTTGACAAAGACGGCACTTCCATACTGCGCACATGGTCTTTCCGCTACTAAGACCATTCCTGGGACTTTTGGTCGTTTCTGTTGTTCATCCCTGTGTGTTTCTTGGACACACAGCACATCGCATTTCTTATCTTGGCACAGTTCACAGAGCAGTTGTTCTTTGGCAGCTGACATGCCTTCAATGTTGATTGAGATTATTGTCATGGTTGGTCCTGAAAAAGTCCGTTGGTTGTTTTGCTTGCTTGCTTGCATGCTGCAAGTCACTTCTGGTTGCTTCTGGATCGAGAGAATCAGCCGTCTATGAAGACGTTGTGGAACACATATCACCACACTAAAACAGTGGATGTGGCTCTTAATGAGACATGCGCATTATCACAGGGTGTCTGCGCCCTACACCACTGGAGAAATTACACTGCTTAGCCGGCATTGCACCACCTGACATCCACCGGGAAGTAGCAGCCAATAGTGAAAGGACCAAGGCAGGGACATCTCCAGCTCATCCCTTATTTGGGTATCAGCCAGCACGTCAACGACTTAAATCACGAAATAGTTTTCTAAGATCTACAGAGATACTTGCAGGAACACCTCAGCAAGCAAGAGTCCAAAAGTGGCAAGCTAAAACCTAGAACCTCAACCAATGGCTGATACCAAATGAGAGACTCCCCCCTGGGCACACAGAAGTCTGGGCAACTTGGAAGGCGCTGAACAGACTGCGCTCAGGCACCACGAGATGCAGAGCTAACTTTAAGAAATGGGGCTACAAAGTGGAATCCACGACATGCGAGTGGGGAGAAGAACAAACTACAGATCACCTGCTGCAATGCAACCTGAGCCCTGCCACATGCACAATGGAGGACCTTCTTATAGTAACACCAGAGACACTCCAAGTGGCCAGATACTGGTCAAAGGACATGTAATATAATGCCAATTTTCTCATCTTTGTGTCTTTTAAAAATACATTACAACTGTACCCTTGGTTCGCTCCTTATACGATAAATAAAAGTAAATTATTATTATTATTATTATTTACACAAAAGCACAGTATGTCACAGCAAATGAGATCTATATGCTGGATTTCGTATCACAAAATCACAAGTCGGATTATTATTATTATTGTTATTATTATTATTATTCCTTTCCCACCTCTCCTCACGGTTCAAGGTGGGTTATAACATTGTAAAACACACATTCACCTAAAACAGTCTTTAAAATACACATTTTAAAACATATTTCCACAAATTAAATATTAAAATACACGAGTCAGAAACTAAATATAAGATGCAAGTTTAAAAATTCATCTTTAAAAATAAGCTGTGATCCTGGGGATTACTTTTTTAACAGAAGATCTAATACTAAAAGTAGGAATAGTATGGACTGCAAAAGGAGAAGTCCCTACACCACCAAAAAAAGTACAATGTGTTTCAGCAAATGTGTTATTTAAAACGTACAATATGTACACATGAAACTAGGTCAGGTAAGCCTTGCATAACATAACAAATTTGAATATTTTAGAACAGTCTTCTAAAATATTCAAAAAGCTTCTTCTAAAATGAATGCAGGGATAACTTTTTCAGCCTCTACTTTTGTTACAATTTTTATTTTGGTGGCTAAAAGTATAGAATCATCTATCTATGTATCTTTACATGCTGGAGGTAGCTAGTGGGGCAGGCTTAGCTGTTCGATCCCTTTGGCTTCTCTGTAAGGAATTCTAGAGGCAGCTGCTGTTTACTTTGCCTATTGTGGACAGGCACATTAAAAGTACAGTAAGGTCAATTAGCATAGCATTCTTTCCCAATTTAGGTTGCATTGAAATGCTTCCTACAAGTCCTCTTCTGCAACCCAATATTGAAATCTGTCTCCCCAATCCTCCATTCTCATAATCTGCATATAGATGCTGCTAAAAAAACCTTCCAGCTAAAGAATGAGGAGGGGGAAAAGGCATGTTGGGTGGGATCAAAATGGCCTATTTTGGCTGAGATTTTGTTAAATGTAAATAGAAACAGAGCTGGTAGAGCTCCCCTTGCTCATAGAGTCAGACAACTGGTTTTGAGTGGAGTGGCAATTGGGTTGCTGTGAGTTTTCCGGGCTGTATGGCCATGTTCCAGAAGCATTCTCTCCTGACGTTTTGCCCACATCTATGGGAGGCATCTTCAGAGTTTGTGAGGTCTGTTGGAAACTAGGGAAGTGGGGTTTGTGTATCTGTGGAAGGTCCAGAGTGGAAGAAAGAACTCTTTGTCTGTTGGAGGCAACTGTGAATGTTGCAATTGGCCACCTTGATTAGCACTGAATAGTCTTGCAGCTTCAAAGACTGGCTACTTCCTGCCTGGGGGAAATCTTTTGTTAGGGGCTGTTAGCAGGCCCTGGTTGTTTCTTCTCTGGAATTCTCCTGGTTTTTGAGTGTTGTTCTTTATTTACTGTCCTGATTTTGGAGTTTTTCAATACTGGTAGCCAGATTTTGTTTATTTTCTGTTGAAATTGTTTAATTTCTGTTGAAATGTTTGTTTAATTTCTGTTGAAATTGTCCACTTGCTTGTGGATTTCAATGGCTTCTCTATGTAGTCTGATATGGTGGTTCTTAGAGTGGACCAGCATTCAACAAAGAATTCACCCAGGCAGGAAGCAGCCGGGCTTTGAAGCTGGAAGGTCATTCAATGCTAATTGCAACATTCACACTTGCCTCCAACAGACAAGAGTTCTTTCTCCTACCCTGGACATCATTCCACAAATATGCTTACTTGTCCAAACGCATCCACCCCTACTTCCCACCTCGTAATCTGAGATCATCCGGGGAGGCCCTGCTCTCATTCTCGTCAACAGCACAGATGCATCTGGCAGGGATGAGAGACAGGGCCTTCTTGGCTGTGACCCCCCGCCTATGGAACACACTCCCAAATGAGGTAAGATCCGCTCCCTCCCTCCTGGCTTTTAGAAAAAAATTAAAATCATGGTTTTGGGACCAGGCTTTCGGGCAGTAGAAGTAAATGTATGCAGCATTTCGGAAAGACAATGACTGGAACGGCGATTCAATGGACGAGACTGTTTAATTTTTTTAATGATTTTTTATTGCTTGTGGATGTACTGTTTTTAACTTGATTTATGTCTAATTGTAGTATATAATTGTAATTGTTTGTACTGGCATTGAATTTTGCCATTACTTATATGTAGACCACTTTGAGTCCCCCTCGGGGTGAGAAAAGCGGTATACAAGTACTGTAAATAAATAAATAAATAAATAAATAAAATATATAAACCCCACTTGCCTAGTTTCCAACACTCACAATCTCTGAGGATGCCTGCCATTGATGTGGGTGAAACATCAGGAGAGAATGCTTCAGGAACATGGCCATATAGCCTGGAAAACTCCAGCAACCCAGTAGTGTCAGCCATTAAAGCCTTCGACAACATGGAGTGACAATTGTTTTGTCACAAAGCCATTACCACAGTAAATTCCTTTTAGTTCCTTTTCCCCTGCAGAAAGCGATGCACGAGGGAAGGATTGACGACGGGAGTCGGAAAGTACTCACGTCACAACGGCATTGGGGTTTTTCTCCACAGCATAAATCTTGATGTGCCGGTTGGCCTGCCGGGCAGCTCGAAGGGAGGCGTTCACAAGGGGGCCCCGGCCTGCCCCCAGAACCATCACAACCCTGAGGATCAGGAGGAGAAAGAAATAAAACGGAGAGAAAGATGTAAGACCCCGAAGGGGATAAAAATCAACGGGACACTTTGAAAGCTTGTTTTCAAGCTGCGCTGCATCCTGCTGGGAACAACGCTGCTAAAATTCACATCCCAGCTGGAGAGAGTTATAGCCACGTCCCCAGAAAATACATCAGCACTTGCCATAAACTAAGCTCATCTACATACTGCAAGTAAATGAAGTGCTGATAATGGGTCGCCTCGCGATATGCAGATGGGCCGCGGTTTATGGCAATCGCTGATGTGCTTAATGTGCGTCATAAAAGAAGGCGATTACTTCAAATCGGTAACCAATTCCTGATAGGCTAGGGTGGCTTCATTTTAACAACTGTGTGCATCCCAATCTTGCTGGTGTTTATTTGGGGGAAGGTCCACTGTATTCAACAGAGTTAATTTCAATTGAGATGAACATATTCACATATTCTCAATGAGGTAGAAGACTACAGATGCCTCTTAAAATGGCAACACACGTTCCTTACGCTTTCATTATTTGCGCTCGTTATTTTCACATAAGGTGCATCCGTTTAAAAGTCAGACAAATGACATCATTAAAGAGGAAAATGGGAATGCATTTATCAAAGAACACATTTTGCTGGATGTTTAGTTTTCCTTTTACGAACCTACACGAACCCTTCGATCTTCTGGAGAGGCCCTTCTCTCGCTCCTGCCCCCATTGCACGTGCAACTTGTGGGGATGAGGGAGAGGGCCTTCTCCGTGGTGGCCCCTCGGCTCTGGAACTCGCTCCCAGAGAAATTAGGCAAGCCCTCACCCCGCCAGTCTTTAGGAAGGGTCTGAAAACTTGGTTATTCCAGTGTGCCTTCAATGAATGAGTGATAATCCCTGATCTTGACCAAGCCCTGTATAAAATGTCCCCAGAAGCACTTTATTCTATTTTCTAGTGCAATTAAACCTTACTTTCATCCCTCTGATCCTCTTCTAGATACACTACAAGGCCTGCTTATCCAGTGTTTAAAACTTTTAATCATTGCAACTTGCTCTGCCCACTGTGATTACTGTGATTTTATATTGTTTGGTGTGTTCATTTATATTGTTTTGTATTTTATTTTTTAATTTTCATTATATTTTACTGTATGTATTTATCTTGTATATTTGCTTTGCTGTACTGTGGGGCTTGGCCTCATGTAAGCCACCCCGAGTCCCCGAGTGGCGGGGTATAATAATAATTATTATTATTATTAGTATTATTATTATTATTATTGTATTGTCGAAGGCTTTCATGGCCGGAACCACTGGGTTGTTGTAGGTTTTTTCGGGCTATACGGCCATGGTCTAGAGGCATTCTCTCCTGACGTTTCGCCTGCATCTATGGCAAGCATCCTCAGAGGTAGTGAGCTCTGAGATGCAGGCAAAACTTCAGGAGAGAACGCCTCTAGACCATGGCCATATAGCCCGAAAAAACCTACAACAACTCTATTATTATTATTATTATTATTATTATTATTATTATTATTGTTGTTGTTGTTGTTGTTGTTGTTGTTGTTATTATTATGTCAAAGGACTCCCAGAAGAATCAGCAGTAAATCTATTCCTGTTCTTATTGGAAGGCAATGCAAGACTATCTGGAATTGCACCTACACTTCAGAATGAATGAACCCTTTAATTGCCATAGCTGAATGCTATGGGGTCCTGAGAGCTGTAGTTTTACAAGCTCGTTACCTTCATTGCTTCACCAAACTACAACTCTGAATATTCTGTATCACTGAATGCAGTTTAAGTGGTGTCAAACCGCATTCATACTACAATGTAGATGCACCCGAAGATAGAAGTATATACATCTTCCTAAGTAAACATAAAGTTCAGAGAGTGCCCGTTTAATTAATTAAAAACCAACGGGAGCAGTAATGTTAAGCAACCATCATTTGATTCCCATTAAGATGGCATTACTAGTCAAAGAAGCATGAATTACCCTATTATGAAGGTTAAAATTGTTGGGCAAGTGGGCTTATTAACAAAATACCCTCTTCATAATTGTACAGCAGAGTAACTTATTAACAGCAGTATGACCCAGCACCAGTAACCCAAAGCCTAAATGGTTTCGGCGCAGTTTACCTGTCCAAACATATCTCCCTCTACGAACCACCAAGAACCTTAAGATCATATATAATATAATAATATACATATACATATAATATACATATAATATATATAATATTATAATGTAATACAACATGATACTAATAATAATAATACAATATTATAATTATGTATTTTATATTACATGCAATATTACTAATAATATTACAATGGTGTAGTACAATATAGTAATATATAAAACTGATATTGTACTATGCTAATAATATAATATATTGTATTACATTATAATATTATAGATATTATAATGTAATACAATATAATAATACAATATTATATTTTATATTACATGTAATATTACTAATAATATTACAATATAATGGTATAGTAATATATAATACTGATATTGTACTATGCTAATAATATAATCTATTGTGTGTACATATACCTTGTAAACCGCTCTAAGTCCCCTTCGGGGTGAGAAGGGTGGCATATAAATGTTGTAAATAAATAAAATAAATAAATAATCTGGGGAGGCTCTGCTCTCAGTCCCACGACCATCGCAATTGCAGTTGGTGGGGACGAGAAACAGGGCATTCTCCGTGGTGGCCCCTCAGCTATGGAACTCACTCCCTAATGAGGTCAGATCCGCCCCCTCCCTCCTTAACTTCCAGAAGAAACTCAAAACCTGGCTATGGGATCAAGCATTCGCAGAATAGACAGATTTACTGGTGAAGACAAGATTTGATTTGACCACAATGGATTGATTCGGGACAACGATTTTAATTTGGCAAACTTTTTAATGTATATTTATAATTGTTTAATGTTTTTAAACTGTGTTTTATGCTATGTTTTATTATGTCGACACTCAATAGTGGCCTGTTGGAAGCCGTCCTGAGCTTTTCTTGGAAGGTTGAGAAGGACAGGGTAGAAATGTTCTAAATAAATAAATAAAGTGTAAAAAGTACAAAAACACAGAGATTAATGTTATCTCTTCTTTAAGAAGCTTTTCTTTGTGGTAAAATAATATGGTTGCACTATTTATAAGGTTTTATAACACAAATAAACAAATACATAGTAGCTTTACACACAGCATCCTTCACACTGGAGTTTTCTTACATAAGGCTTCTCTCACACAGAGGTTTACCTCACACTCCTCAGGATGACACTAGTTTTGGCCCACTGACTCTAACAGGCTTTGGCCTACTAACTCAGTGCTTGACTCACACTTTTGTAATCAAAATTACCTATTTAATTTTTTAATATTTCTGACAAAAATGTTGAAAATGAAAGGAAGTGCCAAAAAGTGTCTCTGAAATCTTATAATCCTTTGCAAATAATAATAATAATAATACCAAAATTTTATTTATACCCCTTTACCATCTCCCCAAGGGACTCGGTGTGGCTTACATGAGGCCAAGCCCACAGTACATCAATAAACAAAAGCAATAACAAAAACAATCAATACAATACAATTAGTATAAATCACATAAACAAAAATAAACAATAAACAATAACCAGTAACACACAAGCATTTAAAAACCCATGGTCGGGCCAAATGTAATAGTTTAAAATTAAAAAAAAAAGAATGCTGGGCATAAACAAGGTAGGATATAACTGGTACAGGGTTTTCAAAGAGATGAGGGAACGCAGTCAGTCCTAAATCAGTGGTAAAGTGCATTTTGAGGGCATATTGCTGAGAGTTTTCCTTATTCTGGGAAGGCACACTGGAACAACCACGTTTTCAGGCTCCTCCTAAAGACTGCCAGAGTTGGGGCATGTCTGATGTCCTTGGGAAGTGAGTTCCAGAGTCGGGGGGCCACCACCGAGAAGGCCCTCTCCCTCGTCCCCACCAATCGCGCCTGTGAAGGAGGTGGGAGCGTGAGCAGGGCCTCTCCAGATGATCGAAGAGATTGTGTGGGTTCGTACACAGAAATGTGGTCACGCAGGTAGGTGGGTCCCAAACCGTTCAGGGCTTTGTAGGTAAGCACCTGCACCTTGAATTTGGCTCGGAAAATAAATGGCAGCCAGTGGAGCTCCTTGAACAGGAGGGTTGACCTCTCTCTGTAAGGAGCACCAGTGAGGTACTCCTGGTCAGTTGCAAGGCCGAACAGGGTATAGGGTTACAGCCTGTGCTGGATGGGGTCGCACTCCCCTTGAAGGCGCAGGTTCGCAGCTTGGGTGTGACCCTGGATTCATCGTTGAGCCTGGATCCCCAGGTGTCAGCGGTGACCAGGGGAGCATTTGCACAGCTCAGGCTCGTGCGCCAGCTGCGCCCGTATCTCGGGAAGTCTGACTTGGCCACGGTGGTACACGCTCTGGTCACATCCCGCCTTGACTACTGCAACGCTCTCTACGTGGGGCTGCCCTTGAAGACGGCCCGGAAGCTTCAGCTAGTCCAGCGCGCGGCAGCCATGTTACTAACAGGAGCGGGACGCAGGGAGCACCCAACGCCCTTGTTGTTCCAGCTCCACTGGCTGCCGATCTGCTACCGGGCCCAATTTAAGGTGCTGGTGTTATCCTACAAAGCCCTAAACGGTTCCGGCCCAAAATACCTTTCGGACCGCATCTCGGCCTATGAGCCCACGAGGGCCTTGAGATCGTCTGGGGAGGCCCTTCTCTCGATCCCGCCTGCTTCACAGGCACGTCTGGCGGGGACGAGAGAGAGGGCCTTCTCGGTGGTGGCCCCCCGGCTGTGGAACGACCTCCCTGTTGACATCAGACAGGCGCCCTCCCTTTTGTCCTTCCGTAGGAGCCTAAAGACCTGGCTTTTCGAGAAGGCATTTAATTGAATATACGGTAACTGGTAATTGACACCTGGAACGGAATATGGACTACGATATTGGATATGGTTCTATGATATGACAGAGCGGATTATTTAGTGTAATTTATAGTATTGTGTATTATTGTTGTGTGGATTGCTTGTTTCTGTTTTTGTAAACTGTTTTTATATGCTGTACACCGCCGCGAGTCGCCCTAAGGGCTGAGAGCGGCGGTCAATAAGTGCATCAAATAAATAAATAAATAAATAAATTGTACCAATTGAAATTTCCAGGCAAAGCAAACAGTTGGGATTAGAACCTAGTATGTACTCACTGGACGTTGGTTTCTTTCTCCTCCTCAGGCACACGGTCTAACAGGCACTTGTATATAGCCTGGAGGAGGAAAAAGTACAGATTGGGATATATCTGCAGAAGCTGACTTTCCCCATGCTATCTATACGTTCGTAACAATCCCTGTAAATAAATCCTAAAGGACTGCCTTGTTAGGTTTTGTGGTCCCAAACAGTTCTGAGGAATGTGCATTTCCCTGTGAAACAGGACAGGTTACCAGCAAGATATCGCCCCATCTTTCTAACCCCGTCTTCCTCAGACAACCTGTTGCCCCCTTGCATCCCCTCCACTCATACTTATTTCATCTATGCTGTTAAGAACCCCTCCCTTCATGCACCCAATTGCTGCTTCTTGCTCTGTTCTCAGAGATGCTAGACACACCTCAGCAAACCTGACCCACACCTTTCCAAATACACACTCACTTGTTGGTACAGGGAGTACTTAAAGGGGTCCTTCTCAAACACCTCGTACGTCTGGGCCTCCAAATTGTCCATCAAGGGCTACACAGAGAAAGCACCAAGAAGTTGATTTGTAGAAGGAAAATACAGAGGAAAAGAAGCAAGAATTGTGGGGAATTTGTACAATACAGTGCAACATGAGAATTAATCCCATCTGATTGAATATTATTCCCATTTCACAGATGGGAAAGAGCAAATGGATCAAGGTCATTTCACAGCAGAAGTTGGCCTTGAATCCAGACCTTGACAGAGGTGTCTGACCTGCAGAGGAGACTGGAGGTAGTCTTCATAGCCTTTTGCAAAGAGTTCATAGGCCGAGGGAGGCGGGCGATTCTGGCTGAGATATTCCAGGTACTGCAGGTAAGAGCAAAACTCCTTCTCCGGGTGATGATGAGCACCCGTAATGATGAACTGTACCTCAAGCTGATGAGTAGGAGAAAAAAGGGGTCAGTCCAACCTAAGATCACCCCCCTGTGACCCACCAATAATGATACTATCAACTACCACTGTGTTGTTGTTGTTGTTGTATGCCTTCAAGTCATTTCTGACTTATGGTGACCTGGAGGCAAACTATCATGGAGGTTTCTTGGCAAGATATGTTCAGACAGGGTTTCTCCTCTCCCTCTGAGACCAAGACTTGCCAAAAGGGGGTTTCCATAGCAAGCAGGGATTCAAACCCTGGCTTACAGAATAATAATAATAATAATAATAATAATAATAATAATAATAATAATAATTTATTATTATTATTATTATTACAAAATCATAGAGTTGGAAGAGACCTCATGGGCAATCCAGTCCAACCCCCTGCCAAGAAGCAGAAAAATCTCATTCAAAGCACTGACAGATGGCCATCCAGCCTCTGTTTCAAAGGCTTCAAAGAAGACGCCTCCACCACACTCCGGGGCAGAGAGTTCCACTGTTGAACACCTCTCACCGTTAGGAAGTTCTTCCTAAGGTTCAGGTAGAATCTCCTTTCCTGTAGTTTGAAGCCACTGCTCCATCGTGTCCTAGTCTCCAGGGCAGCAGAAAACAAGCTTGCTCCCTCCTCCCTCCACTAATGATATCATTTTAATGACATCAACTACCACTGTGTTGTTGTTGTTGTTGTTGTATGCCTTCAAGTCTTCAAGACTTATGGTGACCTGGAGGCAAACTATCATGGAGGTTTCTTGGCAAGATATGTTCAGACAGGGTTTCTCCTCTCCCTCTGAGACCAAGACTTGCCAAAAGTGGGTTTCCATAGCAGGATTCAAACCCTGGCTTACAGAATCCTAGAGATGGAAGAGACCTCATGGGCAATCCAGTCCAAGCCCCTGCCAAGAAGCAGAAAAATCTCATTCAAAGCACTCCTGACAGATGGGCATCCAGCCTCTGTTTCAAAGCCTCCAAAGAAGGAGCTTCCACCATACTCCAAAGCAGAGAGTTCCACTGCTGAACAGCTCCGTTAGAAAGTTCTTCCTAATGTTCAGGTGGAATCTCCTTTCCTGTAGTTTGAAGCCATTGTTCTGTATCCTAGTCTCCAGGGCAGCAGAAAACAAGCCTGCTGCTTCCTCCCTATGACTTCCCCTCACATCTTTATCCTTGGCCCTCATGTCTCCTCTCCGTACCGGGACTGTGGCGCAGCTGTCTGAGTGTCAGCTGCATTAAGATCACTTCTGACCACAATAATAATAATACTTTATTTGTACCCCGCTACCATCTCCCCAAGGGACTCGGTGCGGCTTACATGAGGCCGAGCCCGAACACAACAATACAAGCAATAATCACAACAATACAAGCAATTAAAAAATAAGAACATAGACAATAAACATATAACATTATCAAAAAGACAACATACAATTAGAACTGTGGGAAGGCCAAATGTAAAATTAAAATTGGAAATAGTGCTGAAACATGGACGAAAAGGTGATAGTGGCATTTGTGGAAAGACATACAAGCAGGCCTAAAAAATGTAAAGTGCTTTAGAGGGACAAAGTGCTAAGGGTTCATTATTCCGGGAAGGCACACTGGAACAGCCACGTCTTCAAGCTCCTCCTAAAGACTGCCAGGGTTGGGGCCTGCCTGATGTCCTTAGGGAGTGAGTTCCAGAGTCAAGGGGCCACCACCGAAAAGGCCCTCTCTCTCGTCCCCACCAATTGCGCCTGCGATGCTGGCGGGATTGAGAGCAGGGCCTCTCCAGATGAACGAAGAGATCGTGTGGGTTCGTATACAGAGATGCGGTCACGCAGGTAGGCGGGTCCCAAACTGTTCAGGGTTTTGTAGGTAAGAACCTGCACCTTGAATTGGGGCCGGTAAATGAATGGCAGCCTGTGGACCTCCTTGAACAGGAGGGTTGACCGCTCCTTGTAAGGAGCCCCAGTTAACAACCTGGCTGCCGCCCGTTGGATCATCTGAAATTTCTTGGCCGTTTTCAAGGGCAGCCCCACATAGAGTGCATTGCAGTAATCCAGTCTAGAGGTGACTAAGGCGTGGACCACCTTGGCCAGATCCGCCTTCCTGAGGTATGGTCGCAGTTGGCGCACGAGTCTTAATTGTGCAAAGGCCCTCCCGGCCACCACCGATGCTTGAGCCTCAAACGTAAGTGAAGAATCCAGGAGGACCCCCAAACTGTGGACCTGTGATTTCAGGGAGAGTGCAACCCCGTCCAGCACAGGTTGCCACCCTATACCACGGTCCGGTCATGAGTTCGAAGCCAGCACAGGTCGGAGTGAGCTTCCAACCAATTGTGTAGCTTGTTGTCAACCTTTGCAACCTGAAAGACAGTTGCCTCTGTCAAATAGGAAAATCAGGTACCACCTATGTGTGGGGAGGCTAATTTAACAAAATTTACGAGGCCATAAAAAATACTCCAGCAAAGCACTCCAGCAAAAGCATGCAGGGAATGCGGAAGTACTTCATCAGTGTCGCAGATGGACAATGAAAGCGACAGCTCCTCTGCCGGCCAGAAAAAGTTAAATAGCCTCTGACTGTTTATTTCTGTTGTGTGTCTTTGGCATTGAATGTTTGCCATGTATGTGTACATTGTAATCCGCCCTGAGTCCCCTGTGGGGTGAGAAGGGCGGAATATAAATACTGTAAATAAGTAATTCTCTTCTGCAGGCTAAACATGCCCAGCTCCATGTTGATGAGGTTGAGGACAGCTTTCTTTATGTGGGTTTCCATAGCAAGCAGGGATTCAAACCCTGGCTTCCAGAGCAGTAGTGCAACGCTCAAACCACTATACATTACCGGCTTTCCCCTGCTTCTATAATGCTATACAAAGAACACATTTGACAAGTTCTTACCCCAGGGATTTATAATCTAAAAATAGACACAGGGAAACATCAGAAAACGGGGAGGGAAACAGACCAGAATAAAAAGGCAAAGACTACAAGATTAGTTGAATTACACGTACTTTAAAAATAATTACACCTTACAATAGGATGTTGGGGAAAATCTGTCTGATGAATTTCATGGCTCCTTGCCTCAACCTCACTGATCCCATGTTATTTGGGAGTTAGCGACCAGGCAGCTGCCCTAGTCCTGCTTCTCCTTCTTCTTTTTGATAGACAGATGTAACACATTCTTTTTAAGCTGATTTAATTTATTGAAAGCACTACAAACCATAGCTTCTAAAGAGCCGTTTTGCAATTTTGTCTTTATGGAAAGACATTTCTTTCCAGGTAAGAGAAACAACATCCCAGAGAGTAATGTAGTTCTTCCAGAGCTGTTGTTATATCATCTTGAACAGAGAAGCTGGTGCCTCCCTCAACTACAGGATTTCACAGGAGGGAACCATGGCAGATAAAAGTGAAGTAGTGCTATTATTGCCTAGTGCAGCGTTTCTCAACCTGGGGAGGTCACGAGGGAGTTTCAGAGGGGTCACCAAAGACCATGAGAAAACATATATTTCTGATGGTCTTAGGAATCCCTTTGATAGAGAAGGCTGAAGATCTCTCCACCTGTCCTTCTCTTCCTTTCTGTAAACAAGACAGCGAATCCTCCAACCAAAAGCCCTCCTCCGCTGTGACTGGCCAGCCTCTCAGCCAAGGGGAGGGCTGTTTCTGAGACTCCAAGAGGGGAGGGGAGAGCAGGTGTGCTCGGCGCATGGCAGCATGGTGTGAATGTGCCGGTGAGGGAGAGCATGTGAAGCTCAAGGGATTCCCTTCAAGGCATAGGGGTTCTATGTGGGAAGTTTGGCTCAATTCTATCCTTGGTGAAGTTCAAAATGCTTTTTGATTGTAGGTGAATTATAAATCCCAGCAATGACAACTCCCAAATCTCAAGGTCTATTTCCCCCAAACTCCATCAGTGTTCACATTTGGGCATATTGAGTATTTGTGCCAAGTTTGGTCCAAATCCATCATTGTTTGAGTCCACAGTGCTCTCTGGATGTAGGTGAACTACAACTCCCAAACTCAAGGTCAATACACACCAACCCCTTCCAGTATTTTCTGTTGATCATGGGAGTTCTGTGTCCCAAGCTTGGTTCAATTCCATCATTGGTGGAGCTCAGAATGCTCTTTGATTGTAGGTGGACTATAAATCAACTCCCCACCCGCCCAATCCCACTGGTATTCAAATTTGGGCATATTGGGTATTTGTACCAAATTTGGTCCACTGAATGAAAATACATCCTGCATATCTGATATTTACACTACGATTTATAACAGTAGGAAAATGACAGATGTGAAGTAGCAATGAAAATAAATTTATGGTTGGGGGTTACCACAACATGAGGGACTGTATTAAGGGTTCGTGGCATTGGGAAGGCTGAAAAACACTGGTCTAGTGTGAATGAACCCCTTATTGGACAAGGTATCTCAACAGAATTACTCTCACACAAGCTGCAAAAAAAGGGAAACAGACAAGGAAGAGGCTAACCTTGAGGAGTCGGAAGATGAGTCGCTGATGCATTTTGGAAAGAACAGGGAAGCCTTTTTTATTGGTCAGGAAGATGCTGGTGGGTAATATGGCAGCTTTGATGGGCTCTCCCAGCCAGCGGTCCATGACATGGTTGGAAGGTAAGTCAGCTCCCACTTCTAAGGCTGAGGAAAAGGGCAAAAAAGGAAGTGGCGTCAAAAGGAAAGGAGAGGGGCCAGTCTCCCCACAGCAAGGTTGTGATGGGGTGTGAGCCCACAACATCTCCATTGTGATATTCTCAGTTTTGGCATGGCAGCACTCACCCACAGCAACACGTTTGTTATAGTCACACAGTGTCCGGAAGTTGTGCCACCTGTGAAAATAAGAAGTGAATTTGGAACAACAAGAAAGCAGGGCATATCAGGAACAAGTTATTTATATTTGTTTTCTAGAGAGTCAGTAATCACTGACATACTGGAAGTATATTGGGGGCGGATTGGGGTTGCATGAGCAAAACCACTGTGTTTTGCAGTGGATAAGGCCCATTTGAGGTGCTTCCCAATAACAACAACAACTAAACTTTATTTATATACCGCTCTATCTCCCCGAGGACACTCAAGTAACATCATCAATACATACAAAGGAAACAACATAAACATAAAATTAACAAGAGAATATAAGCATAAAAAATCACAATAGCACATATATATATATATATTTAAAATAATCCTGCCTGTTCAAGGCAATTTAAAAGGCCAGGCCAAGGCTAGTGCAATTTGTTAGAGGGTCCCTCGCTACTTCACGGTTTGCTTATTGCAGACTCGCTGTTTCGCGGGTTTTTAAAAAAAAACATTATTGTTAAAAAATTAAGATCTTCAGGAACTGCACATTCTTCCCAATTTATTCCATCGACTTTTGCTTTCTGCTGCTTTAAGCTTGGAGCTGGATAAAGCAAAAAATGGACAATTATGGACTTAATTTTGTAATTGCTTTCTGCTCACTGGAATTATTCAGACACCCTGAAGAGCATTACTAGAAAACGGTATTACTCGGTGGCTTTGCTCAGCCCCCCATTGCCTTCACTCACCATTGCCAGGTCTTTTCCTCGCCTGCACACTCCTCTTCTGCCTCCTGTATGGCCTCGTTTTCAATCACATCGTCCCTCAAATCTTCTGGGGCCAGCAATGGCACTCGCATCCAGAACTGTGGGAAAGGAAGCAAAGGAGCAGATCTATGAGACAGGAGGAAGAGCTTTTAGCTATATACATAGAATCATAGAATTGGAAGAGACCTCATGGGCCATCCAGTCCAACCCCATTCTGCCAAGAAGCAGGAATATTGCATTCAAAGCACCCCTGACAGATGGCCATCTAGCCTCTTTTTAAAAACCTCCAAAGAAGGAGCCTCCACCGCACTCCGGGGCAGAGAGTTCCACTGCCACGCTGAACCTTACAGTAGACTGCAAATTAATCTGTATATATTTTTGAAGGTTTTCTTTCAGATCTGTTTCCATGTTGATCCCCTCGAGGAACGAAAGGGAGCTGTGCAATATGATGCAACACCCCAAAGCAGTTATTTCAGATGGAGTCTGCAAGCTCCCTCTAAATATGTTGGACTACAATCCCCACAACCAGCTAATTTAGTAGAAGAATTCTGAAGTTGTGTTAAGTTCGGTACAGATTTCAGATTTTTTTCCCTTCCAGATTACCTAATAAACCAAAGTTTTGTTTACATGACAAAACTAATTTTATACAAAAATCTCAGAACCTATTACTCTGTGATTCCATACTCATATATGCCTGATGAACATATCTGGACTTTCACCATTTGGTGAAATGATCCCTAATCCCTCTAAAACACAGATATGTGCCTTTCATCTCAAGAACAGACAAGCATCCCGAGCTCTGAGGATTACCTGGGAAGGAATCCCACTGCAGCATTTCAGCATACCCAAATACCTGGGAGTCACTCTGGACCGTGCTCTGACCTACAAGAAGCACTGCCAAAACATCAAACAAAAAGTGGGCACTAGAAACAATATCATATGAAAGCTGACTGGCACAACCTGGGGATCACAACCAGACACAGTGAAGACATCTGCCCTTGCACTATGCTAATTTGCTGCTGAGTATGCATGCCCAGTGTGGAACACATCTCACCACGCTAAAACAGTAGATGTGGTTCTTAATGAGACATGCCACATTATCACGGAGTGTCTGTGCCCTACGCCACTGGAGAAATTACACTGCTTAACCAGTATTGCACCACCTGACATCCACCAGGAAGTAGCAGCCAATAGTGAAAGGACCAAGGGAGTGACATCTCCAGCTCATCCCTTGTTTGAGTATCAGCCAGCACATCAATGACTTAAATCAAGAAATAGTTTTCTAAGATCTACAGAGACACTCGCTGGAACACCACAGCAAGCGAGAGTCCAAAAGTGGCAGGCTCAAACCCAGAACCTCAATCAATGGCTGATACCAAATGAGAGACTCCCCCCTGGGCACACAGAAGACTGGGCGACTTGGAAGGCGCTGAACAGACTGTGCTCTGGCACCACGAGATGCAGAGCCAACCTCAAGAAATGGGGCTATAAAGTGGAATCCACGACGTGCGAGTGTGGAGAAGAGCAAACCACTGACCACCTGCTGCAATGCAACCTGAGCACCGCCACATGCACAATGGAGAACCTCCTTGCAGCAACACCAGAGGCACTCCAATACTGGTCAAAGAACATTTAATCAACTACCAAGCTTGCAAATTTTGTGTTTTGTCTGTTTGTTTGTTTTGTTTCGTTAGAAATGTAATACAATTGTCTGGTTGCCCCTGACACGATAAATAAATACCATTTCGAAATAAATCTGTAATGGAAATGGAACTAGGTGTCTACTCAGAGTAAGGGGAATAGTTAAGTTGATATTCCACAAGGCTCAACATAGGTGGGGTACCACACATACCATGGATGTATGATGCCCAGTACTGATGTGGTTACACAGAACATGCGCCAAATTAGGGTTGTCTGCCTGGGTCAAGGGTATGAGGAAGGCTGGGAGCCCCAAGTATGCACCAAAATTCAGTTCCTCCAACATGGCCTGCAAAGAATAGAAAAAAACAAGTCTTCATATGCTGACAGATATTACAAACAATGAATTTCATCTGGTACATTTTTGAAAATAATGAATTGCTTCACACTAGACTGGATCCAGACTCAGTCATACTCCAGGTAAACTCCACTGATACAAACTTGGACCTCAGTCAGGGGAAGAAAGAAAACCTTCAGAGTAACGCTAAGTCTCAATCCAACTTGTATTTAATTCTAGATAACCCAATATGATTAGACAGAGACAGATAAAACTAAGGAAGGATGAAGATATTACCACTATACATTCCTAAACCTCGAAAGATCTATAAGAAGACCACAAAAACTATTGAAAGCATTCCCTCCCTCCTGAAATGTCCTTGTTTATAAACATCTTTACAGATATATGCCGTTTGCAAAGAATAAGACAAAGCAAGACCCTCCTCTTCCAAAGAATACAACCAAATGTGTTTATCATGCAAGACCAACACCTTTCAAGCTTTCCCATGCCAGGCTCACTCACCGCCTCCGAATTCCTGCGAACCTTCTCGACTTTGGAATCTGTTCGGATCCATGGGGACAGTTTGCCCACAATCAGTGTATTCCAGTCTAGATGGGAGCAAGTTTACAATGGGATTAGCCAAACATCATTCGGAGTAAGTCAGTTACAGCCAAACGCTATGATGAGAATATGGCATGCCCTTTCAACCAAAGTAATTGTCTTTTTTAAAAATACAGAACCATTTATGTACCAGAGAGTAAGAAAGCAGACAAAGGGATTCTAAGTCACATCCACATGACTGAGAACCAAACATTTACTGATTTTAAAAAATCAGTATATTTACTGATTTTTTGCTAAACTGGCTGATTTATATTTTTATGAAGCACAGCTGAAGTATCTCCTTCAGTGTCCATTGTAAGCACTATAAAACAGATTTGTGTAAATGTCTAAAAACAGCCACTAAGGTGGCATTCAGAATTTTTCTACTGATACCAACTTTTTCGGGACCCCAGCGTTGAGCCAAGAGGATTCCACAGTTTCAGAAGCAGTAGTTTCAATTGGCAGAAAATAAAATAGACAACTATAGACTATAGGATTTTAATGTTTATTATATTAATCTGTTTTTAACTCCATGCTTTAATGTCTAGATCTTGTTACATTTTATGATTTAACTGATAGTTATGTTATTGTTGTTGTTTTATGTTGGGGGACAATGCCTGGCTTGAGAGCAGTATGTGTGAAAAAGATCTTGGGGTCCTCGTGGACAACAAGTTAAACATGAGCCAACAATGTCATGTGGCGGCAAAAAAAGCCAATGGGATTTTGGTCTGCATCAATAGGAGCCTAGTTTCTAGATCCAGGGAAGTCATGCTACCCCTCTATTCTGCCTTGGTTACACCACACTTGGGAATACTTTGTCCAATTCTGGGCACCACAATTGAAGAGAGATGTTGACAAACTGGAATGTGTCCAGAGGAGGGCAACTAAAATGATCAAGGGTCTGGAGAACAAGCCCTATGAGGAGCAGCTTGAGGAGCTGGGCATGTTTAGCGTGAAGAAGAGAAGGCTGAGAGGAGATATGATAGCCATGTATGAATATGTGAGAGGAAGCCACAGGGAGGAGGGAGCAGGCTTGTTTTCTGCTGCTCTGGAGACTAGGACACGGAACAATGGCTTCAAACTACAAGAAAGGAGATTCCATCTGAACATGAGGAAGAATTTCCTGGCTGTGAGAGTCATTCTGCAGTGGAACTCTCTGCCCCGGAGTGTGGTGGAGGCTCCTTCTTAGGAAGCTTTTAAACAGAGGCTGGATGGCCATCTGTCAGGGGTGCTTTGAATGCAATATTCCTGCTTCTTGGCAGAATGGGGTTGGACTGGATGGCCCATGAGGTCTCTTCCAACTCTATGATTCTATGTTAGGTTTTCATATGTTTATGAGACATTAAATTTTGCTGTGAATATGTTGGAGACCGCTTTGAGTCCCCCACTGGGGTGAGAAAAGCAGTATACAAATGAAATAAACAAACTAAAATGTGGCCACCACATTAAATACACTCTTGTTTAATGTTGGCTGGGAATGGTAGCCAAATAGTAATAATAATTTTATTTCTTACCCGCCTCTCCTCACGGCTCGAGGTGGGTTACATCACTAAAACACATAATCATTCAAAAATATTCTGTAAAATATTTCCATAAAACACATATTAAAGTACACAAAACAAAGCATTGAGCTCTGGAGTCAAATAGGAATAGAATTTCTCACCTCTCCCTGAGAGCAAGAGGTCAGAACGGGTTTGGGGGCCTGGCCGTTTTTTAGCTGGTTCTTGGAAAAACTCCCTCTTGTATCGTGGGTGGAAAATGGGCATGCAGAGGAAATCAAACCTGTTGGAAAAGGTATGAGATAAAGTTGGCTGGAAGAAACAGAATGGTTGAAGATCCTTCTGTTATGAGACCAAAAACTAAGGATGCCTATCCTCCTACGTTTCAGATGTAGGCCTTCTTCTCTGATGAGCGCCTTCTCTATTCATGGCCATTTCTTGTCATTTGTCCTGTTAGAGACCATGAAACTGAACTCTCATTCCCTTCAACACATTAGATTACATCTTTCCTCTGTTGTCTCTCCCCTCTTTTGTGACTAAATACTTTGCATGTTATTATTTAATAGGCCAATTAGATTGTAATCCACCTTGACCACTTCTAAGAGTGGAAAGATGAGATAAAACCACTTTGAATAAATAAACTAATCTGCTAGTCGGTTTTTCTGCTTAACTATTCATCAATTAATTAAACCATCAATCAATTAGAATCAAAATGTGATGTATCAGTACAGATTTCACTTTATTCCCCACGCTCCCATTCAATTACTGTATCTTCATAGCGGTGATAAAGATTATCTCTGTTGAATTCTTGAGGGTTTCTATAGAGAAGAGAATTTTGTATGTAAATTCAAAGTGCTAGCGTTGGCCTTTAAAGCCCTAAACGGTTCCGGCCCAAGCTACCTATCCGACCGCATCTCTGCCTATGAACCCACCAGGACTTTGAGATCTTCCGGGGAGACCCTGCTCTCGATCCCGCCTGCCTCTCAAGCTCGGCTGGCGGGGACGAGAGATAGGGCCTTCTCGGTGGTGGCTCCTCGGCTGTGGAATGCCCTTCCTACGGACATTAGACTAGCACCATCTCTAATGGTATTCTGCAAAAAAGTGAAGACCTGGCTGTTTGAGCAGGCGTTCGAATAATTAGTGCAATGATTGGTTAATGAACACTGGAATGGAACAATAGATGACAAATCTGGAACATGTTTTTGATTATGAGACGATAGTGAATGGGTATTGTAGTAACTGTTTATTAATTGTGTAATGTGTTAGGTTGTTAACTGTTTTTATACTGTAGCACTGAATTTTTGCTGTTCGTATTTGTTGTGAACCGCTGTGAGTCGCCTTCGGGCTGAGAACAGCGGTATATAAGTAAGGTAAATAAATAAATAAATAGTGACTATCTTAAGCAGGAATTGCCTCCAGAGATCTATGGAAATGTTCACCTGCTGGAAAAGTTAGTTCCTGCCTTTCTTTTTTCTTCCCCTCCAAGCCATCAATATGCAAGAACACATCATGCTTTTGATATAGTCCCAGAAAATATATGCCATAATAAATCTTCTTTTGACATGCAAGAAGGCTCTTGATTGCTTTCACTGCATGAGATTAACAGAGTTACTTCCCTGGAAACCTTTACCATAAACTTCTGGACTAACTCCAATTATGAATCCCAACTAGCATAAACTCACCAAATTAGCGGAAATTAGGGGGTACTTCATACTATTATAAATTCCGCTTATTTAACAGATTTACTCTAGATGGGGGAGAAAATTGAATTGAGGCAACTTTGGGTGCCTACTTTGCAATACTGTCACAGTGATGGATCTCTTCTCGCAGCCCAGTAGGGATTTTGCAGCTACGGGAATTTGGTGGAGAGCTGTACAATACACAAAGCTTTCTGGTTCTGTTATCACATTGGGTGGGTGGAGGGAGGAGGTGAATGCAGTTTTGTTTGTATTGCTTCTCTTCTTGGAGGCTGCTCTGAGTTGAATGGAAGCATTTCAGAACTAGGTCCTTTCCATTCCATTAAGCACCACCAGAGCTTCTATTTATCTTCTGGCCCAGCTTATCTATCTGAATGCATCTCTCCCTATAAACCTTCTAGGAATTTAAGATCATCTGGGGAGGCCCTGATCTCGATCCCGCCTGCCTCACAGGCATGTCTGGCGGGGACAAGAGACAGGGCCTTCTCAGTGGTGGCCCCTCGACTGTGGAACTCCCTTCACAGGGATATTAGATCGGCCCCCTCCCTCCTGACCTTTCGGAAAAGAGTGAAGACCTGGCTCTTTAAACAAGCATTTGGAGCTTCAGTGTGACCAGATAAACACAAAATTGTAATACGAACACAGAACAGCTAAGGCAGGGGTCCTCAAACTAAGGCCTGAGGGCCGGATACGGCCCTGCAAGGTCATTTACCCAGCCCTCGCTCAAGGTCAACTTAAGTCTGAAATGACTTGAAAGCACACAACAACAATCCTACCTCATCAGTCAAAAGCAGGCCCACACTTCCCATTGAAATACTAATAAGTTTATAGTTGTTAAAATTATTCTTCATTTTAATTATTGTATTGTTTTTAAGTGATTTTTGCACTACAAATAAATGTGCAGTGTGCATAGGAGTTCATTTATGCTTTTTTCAAATTATAATCTGGCCCTCCAACAGTTTGAGGGACTGTGACCTGGCCCTCTGTTTAAAATGTTTGAAGACCCCTGGGCTAAGGCAATGTAAACGGATGAGGAATTGGATAGGATGATATTATTTTTAATAGATTTTTATAGCATTTATGGGTTTTATATATATTTATTATGTGATTTACTGGGTTTTTTTTATCGTGTCAGGAGCGACTTAAGAAACTGCAAGTCACTTCTGGTATGACAGAATTGGCTGTCTCCAAGGACGTTGCCCAGGGGACGGCCGGATGATTTGATATTTTTATCATCCTTGTGGGAGGCTTCTCTCATGTCCCCGCATGAGGAGCTGGAGCTGATAGAGGGAGCTCGTCTGCTTCTCCCCGGATTCGAACTTGCGACCTGTCGGTCTTCAGTCCTGCCGGCACAGGGGTTTAACCCACTGTGCCTTTGGTAACTGCTTTTAACTGATATATGTGTGTGAGTGTGTCTATATATGTGTGTGGCATCTAATAGTTGCCGGCTTGTACGCCGCCCTGAGTCGCCTTTGGGCTGAAATGGGTGGGATAAAAATGACATAAATAAATAATATCTCTGAAGTAACTGCAGGAGAAGGAGCAATAAAATCAGGAACAGGGATAAAGAAGCATCTGTCATTCATACTTGACGTCTTCTATGAGATACCATATATGACAGGAGCAGAGAGAGTTATTTCTGCTGGTGGAATAGAAGTTCAGAACTACTATCATTTCATGACAATTGTATCCTGCAGAAACCTAGAACACGCTTTCTTTAAAAGCAAAGGGTACACTGGCAAAGGGGTTAACTAGATCCCGAGACCACAAGCCTTGTCCTGGAGTAAGAGAGGCAAGTACATATCGTAGGAGGCAATCACATGTAAACACATAATTATCTTTGGCAGACTAATAAAAGATTCCAATTCCAAAATCCCACTGTGAGCTCTTCTATTATAACTCTAGCAAAGCTGAACACACAAGGTTGTGACTTTTATCACCAACGTCATTAAAAATAATAATGACAGGTTACCCAGTGTCAATCCAGTTACTTTCTGCTGGCACCAAGAGTCTTAAGACTCCCTAACCGCTTGCCCAGAGGAGGCAATGCCTTTACTGCCCGGGAAGACAAGCTGTGTTCGTCATAACAATCTGGCTGGTTAATGTGGGAACAGAATGCAGGGTTGACAATGGGCTTCGATCGGATCTAACAGGGCTGGGTTCTTAAGGCTTTAAGCCCATGTCTTAGTGTGCAGCTACAGCATAGATGTAACGTAGTTTGATGCCACTTTCACTGTCCTGGCTCAATGCTATGGAATCCTGGGAGTTGTAGTTTGACAAGGTCTTTAGCCTTCTCTGCCAAAGAGTATTTTTGCCTCACCAAACCACAACTCTCAGAATTCTATAGTAGTGATCTATGAGTGAAAGTTCACTCTACATTAATTCTACACTGAAGATGCACTCTTAGCTGATATTTTCCGTATCCAGAGAGCAGTGAAAGAAGAAATCAAGCAGCTCAGTTAGCAAAGTCTGAAGAAAGATTCCTCTGCAGGATGGACCTTCCTCCATTACACCTCTGTGAAGTTTGGCCTGTGGAGCTCTCCAATCTTTGCACTTATTTAAAGACACAGGAGCCTTGCTGGGAAAATACAAGGTTAAATATCCTTAGGTGAAAGGCTTGGGCCCGAAAGTGTTTTGGACTATATATACATACTACCGCATATACCCAAGTGTTGCTCAAGTATAAATTTTCTTTCTGGCTATGTCTTTCATTCCTCCCATAATAATAATAATAATAATAATAATAATAATAATAATAATAATTATCAATCAAATCATTTATTTCGGTCATTGACCAGTACAGAAAATAGTCACATTTTCATACAAACTTGGTATGTTTGGTACATTAAAAATATAAATATAACGACTGAAGCACAATATGAGTGAGGGAGCAGAAGGGAAGGGGAAACAGGGTAAAAACATACAATGCCCAAATCCATCACCAAATTGTAGATTCAGAGAAGATTACTGAACACACAGTTAACTTTTGGGACTAGTCATTCCCTGACGGATTGTGTATGCTGCTGCACAGAACTTTGCAACATTATAGGTTGTAGCTGAATTAATATCTGCAAGTAGCATGGAGGTATAAAATTGTCCTGAATGGCCTGGGTGCTTGTAGAACAGAGGTAAGATAAGCCTGGCACGGATATCCCTGTAGAACGGGCACTGAAGGAGCACATATAATTATTATAAAACCTAGTACTGGAGTCTGTGTCTACTTTTTCTCTGAAAGTGCCTAATGCAACGTGTCTCATTAAAAGCGGAATAAAAGAACCTACTGAATGTTTTTTAAAGTACTTATGACAGTTTGGATCATCTTTCTGCCCTTGAAGATAGATAGGGACCACATTTGCCCTCCTCCAATCTTTTGGGACTTATCTGACTCAGATAACCCAGTGGACTCTGATAATCCAGTTCAAAGCAGATATTGTGGGATTTTCTGCCGTGATATTCTGGGATATAGGACTGTGTGAAAGGGCCCTAAGTCATTAGTAAAGAAGCTGAACAGGACCTGGCTGAGGACGGAACCCTGCTGATGGCACTCCACTCATCAATTCTTTCCAGGATGAAGAAGCATTGGGGAGAATCACACTTTGGGTTCGTATGCTTAGAATCATAGAGTTGGAACAGACCTCATGGGCCATCCAGTCCAAAGAGCAGGAAAATTGAATTCAAAGTACTCCTGACAGATGGCTTTTTTGCCGCTGCATCACGTTGTTGGCTCATGTTTAACTTGTTGCCCACGAGTACCCCAATATATTTTTCACACGTACTGCTCTCAAGCCATGCGTCCCCCATTCTGCTTAACCAATTATACATCCACCTAGTGGTTCTCAACCTTCCTAATGTCGTGACCCCTTAATGCAGTCGCTCATGATGTGGTGACCCCCAACCATAATATTGTTTTCGTTGCTACTTCGTAACAGTCATCTTACTACTGTTATAAATCATAATGTAAATATCTGATATGCAGGATGCATTTTCATTCACTGGACCAAACTGGGCACTAATACCCAATACACCCAAATGTGAATGCTAGTGGGGTTGGGGGAGAATTGGGAGTTGTAATTTGGGAGTTGTAGTTGCTGGGATTTATAGTTCACTTACAATCAAAGAGCATTCTGAACTCCACCAGCGATGGATTTGAACCAAACTTGGCTGCCATGACCAATGGAAAACACTGGAAGGGTTTGATGGGCATTGACCTTGAGTTTGGGAGAGCTGTAGTTCACCTATATCCAGAGAGCACTGTGGACTCATGCAATGGTGGATCTGGACCAAACTTGGCGAGAAGCCATTGAAATACACAAACATGTGGACAATTTCAACAGAAAGGAGGAAACCATGAAAATGAACAAAATCTGGCTACCAGTATTAAAAAAACTAAAATTACAACAGCAAAACAGCAGAGAGAAAACAACCAGGCACATCTTAACACCTCTCAACAGGAGATTTTCCCAGGCTCAGGCAGGCCTTCAAATGCTAATGAAGGTGGTCAGCTGAAACATTCACACCTAGCTCTAGCAGAGAAGAGCTCTTGGCCCCACCCCAGCCATTCCACAGATATATAAACCCATTGTCCTATTTCCAACAGACCTCACCTCTGAGGATGCTTGCCATAGATGCAGGCGAAACGTCAGGAGAAATGCCTCTAGAACATGGCCCTATAGCCCGAAAAAACCCACAAGAACCTAGTGATTCCAGCCATGAAAGCCTTCGACAATACATTGGCACGAATATTCAATATGCCCAAATGTGAACACTGGTGGAGTCTGAGGAAAATAGATCTTGACATTTGGGAGTTGTAGTTGCTGGGAATTATAGTGCATTGCAATCAAAGAACATTCTGGACTCCACCAATGATAGATATGGGTCGAACTTCCCACATGGAATCTCCATGACCATCAGAAAATACTGTGTTTTCTTATGGTCTTTGGCGACCCCTCTGACACCCTCTCGCAACCCCCTCGGGGGTCCCAACCCCCAGGTTGAGAAACACTGACCTAACCAATTACAGATCCTTACTTTCATCCCCTTATTTATTTATTTATTTACTTTGCTTATAGACCGCCATTCTCAGCCCGAGGGCAACTCACGGCGGTGTACAACATAGAAGGAACAAGGTTCAAAATTCAACACAATCTAAAATATCAATCTAGCAATAATCAAAAACATCATGATCAAAAACATCAACAATATCAAAATACAAAAAGCCATTCGTGTCGTCTCATCGTTTAAACCACAATCCAGTATCATTATCCGTTGTTCCATTCCTGTCGTAATTACCAATTATTGCACTTCTTGTTCGAACGCCTTCTTGAACAGCCAAGTTTTTAATTTCCTGCGGAATATCATCAGGGAAGGAGCCAGTCTGATGTCCACGGGAAGGGTGTTCTACAGCCGAGGAGCCACCACCGAGAAGGCCCTGTCTCTCATCCCCGCCAGCCGTGCCTGTGAGGCAGGCGGGATCGAGAGCAGGGCCTCCCCGGATGATCTCAAAGTCCTGGTGGGCTCGTAGGCCAAGATGCGGTCAGCTAGGTATCTTGGGCCGGAACCGTTTAGGGCAGGGGTTCTCAACCTTCCTAATGCCATGACCCCTTAATATAGTCCCTCATGTTGTGGTGACCCCCAACCATAATATTGTTTTCATTGCTACTTCATAAGAGTCATTTTACTACTGTTATAAATCATAATGTAAATATCTGATATGAAGGATGCATTTTCATTCACTGGACCAAACTGGGCACAAATACCCAAATACACCCAAATGTGAATGCTAGTGGGGTTGGGGGAGGATTGATTTTGTAATTTGGGAGTTGTAGTTGCTGGGATTTATAGTTCACTTATAATCAAAGAGCATTCTGAACTCCACCAGCAATGGATTTGAACCAAACTTGGCTGCCATGACCAATGGAAAACAATGGAAGGGTTTGATGGCCACTGACTTTGAGTTTGGGAGAGTTGTAGTTCACCTATATCCAGAGAGCACTGTGGACTCATGCAAGGGTGGATCTGGACCAAACTTGGCACGAATACTCAATATGCCCAAATGTGAACACTGGTGGAGTCTGGGGAAAATAGATCTTGACATTTGGGAGTTGTAGTTGCTGAGATTTATAGTTCACCTACAATCAAAGGGTCCCTTGAACCCCACCAACGATAGAATTGATCCAAACTTCCAACACCGAACCCCCATGACCAACAGAATGTACTGGAGGGATTTGGGATGGATTGACAGTGATTTATGGGAAATGTAGTTCACCTTCCAGCTTTCAGATGGGTCTTTGGCGACCCCTCTGACACCCCCCTCGTGACCCCCCCTCCGGGGTCCCGACCCCCAGGTTGAGAAACGCTGCTTTACACACGTCACTTAGCAGCAACCAAGCTACTTCACTGTTTTCCTTTCCCAGTGACATTATAGGCCTCTTAACCTAGCAACAGATTGATAGATGATAGAACAGGCCTGGACCAACTTTGGGCCTTCTAGGTGTTTTGGACTCCAACTCCCATCATTCCTAACAGCCTCAGGCCCTTTTATTTTCTCCCTCAGCCGCTTAAGCGCTTAAGAAAATAAAAGGGCCTGAGGCTGTTAGGAATGATGGGAGTTGGAGTCCAAAACACCTAGAAGGCCCAAATTGGCCCAGGCCTGTTTCCATAGTACCCAGCCACGTGATTCTCCTCCTCACCCCTGCCTGGCGACCGCCCCCAGAGTGCTGGCCACTTCCGGGACGCAGTTGAGGTCCCTCCCGCAAGAGACGCGAGCCGCCGCTGAGCCGGGCCCGACCGAAGGCGCCGCCGCTGTGTTCGCCGCCATGTCCCGCCACACACAGAAGCCAGAACCGTGCGCCCGCGCCCACTCTGCCGCTTTAACCAATCCGCGGCGGTTTTACAGAAATCAGCCAATCCAATGAGGCCTTTCAAAGCCAGAGTGGAAGGGGCGGAGTCAGCACCGGCCTAGCTAAACCAATCAAAATCCGAGCCGGAGTCCGTGACTGAGAGAGCATGAGGCAAAGGTTCTATTTCCCATCATGCACTCGGGCGGGGAAAAAAAGGCACATGACGGTGGAGGACTACACTTCCCAGGATGCATCGCGAAGCACGCAACGCTATGGAATGCCTTATAAGGGAGGAGGTGGAATGCTGTGTATGTGTCTGAGGGCCAGTGGCGCAATGGATAACGCGTCTGACTACGGATCAGAAGATTCTAGGTTCGACTCCTGGCTGGCTCGAAACAGACTTAACTTTTCTTCATTGGAAACTTTAGCAAGAGTAATTAAAATTCTGACCTTCTGATCTTCCAAACACATTGACAGTTAAACTACAAGGAGGTTAAGGGCTTTCTTAAAAGCGGGGTTAGCACATTTACAATGTATTTACAATGAGTTTATTTACAATTTTATTTATTTATTTGCAATTTATCTACAATGAATCTATTTACAATTTTAGTTATTTATTTATTTACAATTTATTTATTTACTATTTTATTTATTTATTTACAATTTATTTACAATGAATCTATTTACAATTATTTATTTATTTACAGTTTTATTTATTTATTTACAATGAATTTATTTACAATTTTATTTAATTATTTACAATTTATTTACAATTTTATTCATTTGTTGATTTACAATTTATTTGCAATGAATTTATTTACAATTTTATTTATTTAAATTTTATTTACAACGAATTTACTTACAAATTTATTTATTTATTTATTTACAATGAATTTATTTACAATTTTATTTATTTAATTTATTTACAATTTTATTTATTTATTTACAATGAATTTATTTACAATTTTATTTATTAATTATTTACAATGAATTTATTTATTTACTATGAATTTATTTACTATTTATTTATTTATTTACTATTTATTTACAATGAATTTATTTACATTTTATTTATTTATTTATTTACAATGTATTTCAAAAGAATTTATTTACAAATTTATTTATTTTATTTACAATGAATTTATTTACAATTTTTTATTTATGTACAATTTATTTGCAATGAATTGAGAACGAAACTCTTGCTTATTCACATTTGATGATACAGGTTATCCCTTATCTGAAATGCTTGGGATACAAAGTGTTTTGAGGTTTTTGTTTTTTTACATATACAAGATAATAAGAAGAACTCAAGAATGGAAAATGGAACGGAGGACAGGAAAAGAGATTTAAAGATGGGCTCAAAGCCAACCTTAAAAACTCTGGCATAGACACTGAGAACTGGGAAGCCCTGGCTCTTGAGCGCTCCAGCTGGAGGTCAGCTGTGACCAGCAGTGCTGCAGAATTTGAAGAAGCACAAATGGAGGGCGAAAGAGAGAAACGTGCCAAGAGGAAGGCGCGTCAAGCCAACCCCGATCGAGACCGCCTTCCACCTGGAAACCAATGCCCTCACTGCGGGAGAAGATGCAGAGCAAGAATAGGGCTCCACAGTCACCTACGGACCCACCTTGGAGGATTATCCTACTCGGACATTGAGGGATGGCCTAAGTAAGTAAGTAAGAAGAAGAGTTCAAACTACTCTGGGACTTCTGAATTCAGACAGACAAGAGTTTTGGAACACAACACTCCATACCTCACGATCGTGTTAAAAAACAAAGTATGGATCGCCGATGTAATCCCGGGTGATAGCAGGATTGAAGGGAAACAACTGGAAAATCTGACACGATATGAGGATTTAAAGATCGAACTGCAAAGACTCTGCTACAAGCCAGTCAAGGGGGTCCCAGTGGTGATCGGTACACTGGGTGCAGTGCTTCAAGACCTTGGCCTGCCCTTAAAAACAATCGCCACTGACAAAATTACCATCTGTCATCTGCAAAAGGCCACCTTACTGGAATCTGCACACATTATTTCTATTTATTTAGGGCATTTATATCCCGTCCTATCTCATCTCTGCAAAGGGACTCAGGGAGGCTAACAACCGGCACAGCACAGTGCCCACAATAAGAAAAGCATAAATATACATAATATAATATAATAAAAACAGTTTAGTACCATTTAATATTTGTATTGTTGGCTGGAATCACTGGGTTGTAGGTTTTTTCAGGTTATATGGCCATGTTCTAGAGGCATTCTCTCCTGATGTTTCGCCTGCATCTATGGCAAGCATCCTCAGAGGTTGTGAGGTCTGTGGGAACTAGGAAAATTATGTATCTGTGGAATGACCAGGATGGGACAAAGAACTCTTGTCTGCTGGAGCTAGGTGTGAATGTTTCAACTGACCACCTTGATTAGCATTTGATGGCCTGAATCTGGAACTTCCAGATTCAGATTTGCAACCATAAAATTATTTTTGTTCCTACTTCATAACCAGTACCAGCTGCGCCCGTACCTCGGGAAGTCTGACTTGGCCACGGTAGTACACGCTGTGGTCACATCCCGCCTTGACTACTGCAACGCTCTCTACGTGGGGCTGCCCTTGAAGACGGCCCGGAAGCTTCAGCTAGTCCAGCGCGCGGCAGCCATGATTACTAACAGGAGCGAGACGCAGGGAGCACACAACGCCCTTGTTGTTCCAGCTCCACTGGCTGCCGATCTGCTACCGGGCCCAATTCAAGGTGCTGGTGCTGACCTACAAAGCCCTAAACGGTTCCGGCCCAAAATACCTTTCTGACCGCATCTCGGCCTATGAGCCCACGAGGACCTTGAGATCGTCTGGGGAGGCCCTTCTCTCGATCCCGCCTGCCTCACAGGCACGTCTGGCGGGGACGAGGGATAGGGCCTTCTCGGTGGTGGCCCCCCGGCTGTGGAACACCCTCCCTGTAGACATCAGACAGGCGCCCTCCCTTATGACATTCCGCAAGAGCCTAAAGACATGGTTATTTGAGAAGGCGTTTGACTAAGTGCTACAACAATTGGCAATGATGACTGGAACGGAATATGGATAACGAGATTGGTTTATGATTCTACGATGAGACGGCGCGGATGATTTAGTGTAATTGTATTATTGATAGTTATGTTGATATTTTGTTGTGATATTGCCTATTGTAAACTGTTTTTATATGTTGTACACCGCCATGAGTCGCCCTAGGGCTGAGAACGGCGGTCAACAAATGCAGTAAATAAATAAATAAATAAATAACTGTAATTTTCCTACTATTATGAATTGTAATGTAAATATCTGATATGCAGGATATATTAATTAACTGGATGGAATTTGGCACAAATACCCGATAGGCCCAAATTTGAATACTGGTGAGGTTGGGGTGGGGATTGATTTTGTCATTTGGGAGTTGTAGCTGCTGGGATTTATAGTTCACCTACAATCAAAGAGCATTCTGAACTCCACCAAGAACGGAATTTAACCAAACTTGGCACGTAGAACTCCCATGATCAACAGAAAATACAGAAAGGGTTCGGTGGCTTCGACCTTGAGTTTTGGATTTATAGTTCACCTATATCCAGGGAGCACTGTGGACTTAAATAATGATGGATCGGACCAAACTTGGCACTCAATGTACCCAAATATGAACACTGGTGGAGTTTGGGGGGAAATAGACCTTGACATTTGGGAGATGTAATTGCTGGGATTTATAGTTCACCTACAATCAAAGAGCAGTCTGAACTCCACCAACAATAGAATTGTTGTCCAGCTTACCCGTCTGAACATATCTCCTTCTATGAATGTTCTGTCGTGCGCTGGGCCTGCAAAGAATTTCCTTTTAGAACAGGACGTGTAACCTTTGCCCAGCGGGAAGCCAGGGGGCCCAAGGAGAAGTTCTCAGAGGTTTTCCACCACAAATGATCTTTAGATGGCTTGTGAAGTATAACAAAGTCCTTTATTAATGAACAATCAAACAGAAACTTCTCTTGTCTTCAATAAAGCTAAGCAAATGATTCCAGGCTTTTATGCAACTGGTAGCTTCCTAAACTTGCCCATGAAGGACAGGCAACTGCCTTCAATAACTTCTTCTTTACTTTAAAGGAAAGTCCCCTTTTTAGCTTCTCCCAGGCTGACTATAATCTAACCCTTACTGATGTGGGCTCCGCTACCGGGTTGAACTGCTTCTCGAACGCCGAGTGGACCTACCAGTAAAGGTTTAGATGTTCTCCAACTGGAGTTCTTTAGGGCTGTTTCCCTGGAAATCTTTGGAGACTCTTAAAAGACTGTTCTCCCCTCGAAAGTCTTAAGGGTTGAAGCTTTTGTACAGGGGAAGCTTGCACACGTTCTGTACATTAGCTTTCCTTGCTGAGACTAACTAAAAATGGCTCCCTTCCCGATGATAGACAGGTGACTTGCCCTACGACTGCAAGCAAAGGAAGCCACCTATCTGCAGAGTCCCTGCAACCTTGGACTGCAAGCAAACATCTAATACAAAGCAAATAAAGTTGGAGCTCCTGGTACAGCCGAACCAGCACAATGAACCATCTCAAAGATTAAGGTAATTTGGGGAGGCCCTGCTCTTGGTTCTACCTTCCTCGCAAGTGTGATTGGTGGGGACGAGAAACAGGGCCTTCTCAGTACTTACTTACTTAGGCGATCCCTTGTCGGACGAGTACGATGGTCTTCCATTATGGGTTTTCCTGTGGGTCCGCGTGTGGCTGTGGAGCCCTATTCTTGCTCTGCATCTTCTTCCGCAGTGTGGACATTGGTTTCCAGGTGGAAGGCGGTCCCGGTCGGGGTTGGCTTGACGCGCCTTCCTCCTGGCACGTTTCTCTCTTTCACCCTCCACTCGTGCCTCCTCGAATTCTGCAGCACTGCTGGTCACAGCTGACCTCCAGCTGGAGCGGTCAAGGGCCAGGACTTCCCAGTTCTCAGTGTCTATGCCAGAGTTTTTAATGTTGGCTTTGAGGCCATCTTTAAATCTCTTTTCCTGTCCACCAACATTCCGTTTTCCGTTCTTAAGTTCAGAGTAGAGCAGCTGCTTTGGGAGACAGTGGTCAGGCATCCGGACAACGTGGCCAGCCCAGCGGAGTTGATGTTGGAGGACCATTGCTTCAATGCTGGTGGGTCTTTGCTTCTTCCAGCACGCTGACGTTTGTCCGCTTGTCTTCCCAGGAGATTTGCAGGATTTTCCGGAGGCAGCGCTGATGGAATCGTTCCAGGAGTTGCATGTGACGTCTGTAGACAGTCCACGTCTCACAGGCGTATAGCAGGGTTGGGAGGACAATAGCTTTACAGACAAGCACCTTGGTATCCCTACGGATGCCTTCTCAGTGGTGGGTCTTTGACTATGGAACTCCCACCAACAATAGAATTGGGCAAAATTTCCCACACAGAACCCCCATGACCAACAGAAAATACTGTGTTTTCTGATGGTCTTTGGTGACCCCCCGACACCTCCTCGTGACCCCCCTCAATGGTCCTGATCCCCAGGTTGAGAAACACTGATCTAGCCCAACCACATAGAATTCAGGAATGTAGATAACTAGAGCATTCCTTTAAAAGATACCATTTGTTTAAAGACCTTCAAATATGGAGTTCACCACACTCCAAGGAAATATATTTTTTCTGCTGAACAGTCCTTACAACAACAAAAACAACAATAAAAAACCAAACTTCTGAATGTTTTCCAGAATCTCCCCCCCCCCCCCCCCCTAATTTGAATCCATTATGTGGTGTACAGATTCAAAGATTTCTGCATGGAAAAATTACATCTGAGCAACCTTTTAAAAACTCCCCAGTTTTCCGTATTTGAATCAAACATCTGAACCTTCCTTTTGGAGGTCAGGGTCGTCCTTCCGATTCCCAGGCAATGAATATTTGATCGTAAACCCAAGAAAAACCCTTTAGCAAGTGCAGAAGCTGAGACAGAACACTCGCTTTCTTTGATCCCGCAAGAATTCATATTTAAGTAATGCGGGCAGAATATCCTTATTTATTTTTCTTCCATTATGCAGGAGCTGAGCGTGTTATCGTTAGGAAAAAAGCATCTCCTCCAAAGGATCTTTTTAAAGAAGCGCAGTTAGTCTCATCAATATGCATTAAAACAGTTTTAGTCATTTACAAGCAAAAATAAAAGGAATGGAGGAAAGGCAAGTTTATGAAAGACATTAGCTCTGCCAAGCTACTTAACTCAGCAATCTATAGCAAGTCTCTGTTACTAAGTAAAACATTCACCTCCTTTTTTTGCAAGTGTGTGCTTGCCTACAAATTTGTACAAAACGTGTGCAGCGTGGGCTGGTTTGAGCATATTTTTATCATATGGTTAACACACTCTAAAGAAACTTGATTTAACACAAGTCTGGAACGAACTGGATATTTTATTCATTGTTCCACTGAAGATTTGGCCAAAAAATTAAATGTACACAATACTATTATTCAGGGATAAGTCAGTTTTTCAGATCCTTGGAAGCTAATGCCATGCTCTAGAGAAGTTGGTCTAATAAGAGCCGTAAACAAGCTTTGGCGGATGGTCAAAACACAGTTAGAACCTTCTTTTGTTGGAAGAACACATTCCAACCAACAAAACACAGCACTTGGAGTGTCTCTGGTGTCGCTGTGAGAAGGTCCTCCATTGTGCACGTGGCAGGGACCAGGCTGCATTGTTGTAGGTGTGCTGTCACGCGCTGGGCCTATAGCAATTGGCTTTGAACAGGATGTGCTCTTTGTGCCCAGCGGGAAGCCGGGTGCCTCAGCTGAGAGGCTGTAAGGATTTTCCTATACAAAAGTCTTTAGAAGCTTGAAAAGTTTAACAAAGTATTATTGCTTAGGTCTTCAACAAAACAATCAAATACTTCTCAGATCTTCAACAGGTCAAACAAATACTTAAAGGCTTTGAATCAACTGTTGGTTTTCTTAATCTTGTCCACAAGGGACAAGCAACTGGCTTTGTTTTTTATTATTATTTTTATTGTGCTTTTTTCTGAAAATTTACATTGAAAGAGGGGAAACATGTGTTTCATAGAAAGAGAAGTGTAAGGATAGAAAGTAGAGTGTTGATAATAGGACAGAGGACTCTGGGAAACAATTATGCAAAAAGAAAAAAGTTATTAGAATCCTATACCAACAGTTACTAATCTGGTCAACAGAAGAAGAATAAATAAAAGACTGTCAAATTAAATGGGCCAAAGATATAGGACATAATATACTTACGAAACAGTGGGGGGAAATGTATTGTCGAAGGCTTTCATGGCTGGAATCACTAGGTTCTTGTGGGTTTTTTCGGGTTATAGGGCCATGTTCTAGAGGCATTTCTCCTGACGTTTCACCTGCGTCTATGGCAAGCATCCTCAGTGGGGGGAAAATTTGGAACCGTAAAATAAAATACACAATTGCCAACGACCTAAGGGAAAACTGGTATAAAATGTTCTTTAGGTGGTACTACACACCTGAAAAATTATCAAAATTCAACAAAACCCTATCAAATAGGTGCTGGAAATGTAAAAAAGAGATAGGTATCTTTTTACATTCATGGTGAAATTGTAAACAAATAAGAAAATACTGGAAAGAAATACATCTGTTGACCCAAAAAATATTAAAAACAAAATTTATTCAGATACCAGAAATGTACCTTTTAGGTATATCCAGCACAAAATTGAATGAAAATCAAGAAAAAATGTTCTTCCTTCTAAGCACTGCCACGAGAATACTACTAGCAAAAGTATGGAAATTAAAAGAAATTGAGGAATGGACAATGAAAATATTCGACATAATCCAAATGGACGGCTTGTCCCATAGACTGAATAAAACATCCGGGGAAAAACAAACAGACTGGTCAGGTTTTAAAGATTTTATTCTATCAAAGCAACTGACTTCGTGAACTGTTTCTTTAACTGTTTCTTTTCTTTAAGAGGAAAACCCTTTTTAACCCCTCCTTGGGCAATCTGTATTTAGGCTTTGCTGGCTCAGCTTGATTCTGAGCCTGAAACTGAACCCTCTTGTGAGCCTGAAATGTTCCCTGATGAAGAGGATGATGGGATTCAGATTTCTGGGCCTGTTCCTATGCCTTTTTCTGTGCCTCTTTCAGACAGTGCACCAGAGGAATCAACAAGTCAGTTCTCATGAGAAAAGAATGCCAGCGAATTAGATAATGACCAGGTGCAGAGGCCTTCACTTGCTCAGCCTCCTCACGCTGATACTGGTAGAGAAAAGAGCCTTGATAGTGATTTAATGAGCAGGCAGGAACGTTTGGATTGGCGGGTCAGGAGGTGTTCGCGATTAGCCAGCAAGAAAGAAGCCAGGTCGGTGAAAGGTCACCGTAATGCTTTCATGTTGGCAAAAGCATAATGCTTTCATGTTGGCAAAAGGTATTTAGGCTTCTGGTTAACAAAGGGAAGGTGTCAGTTCAACGTGGCTTTTTGCATGAAAGCTTCTATGGAATAACCTTGGCACGCTTTGGGCTTCCTGAATCGGAATTCATGGAGCTTGTGTTTCACTGTTTTTACCATGGACTCTTGGTTGACCATTGCTTAAAGGACTATATTTTATGTTCTTACCTGAGGATCTTTGGAACTGTGTTTTGCATTTAACCTTTGTCTTTGGAACTTTGCATTGCTTATGCTATGCTTCGACTTTGATTTTTCCACAATAAACTACAAAACCTACAGCTCTTGTGTGGTGTTTGGGAGCTGCCTCCGGAAAATCCTGCAAATAACTTGGGAAGACAAGCGGACAAACGTCAGCGTGCTGGAAGATGCAAAGACCACCAGCATTGAAGCGATGGTCCTCTGCCATCAACTCCGCTGGGCCGGCCACGTTGTCCGGATGCCTGACCACCGTCTCCCAAAGCAGTTGCTCTACTCTGAACTTAAGAATGGAAAACGGAACGTTGGTGGACAGGAAAAGAGATTTAAAGATGGCCTCAAAGCCAACCTTAAAAACTCTGGCATAAACACTGAGAACCGGGAAGCCCTGGCCATTGACTGCTCCAGCTGGAGGTCAGCTGTGACCAGCAGTGCTGCAGAATTCGAGGAGGCACGAGTGGAGGGTGAAAGAGAGAAACGTGCCAGGAGGAAGGCGCGTCAAGCCAACCGCGACCGGGACCGCCTTCCACCTGGAAACCAATGCCTTCACTGTGGGAGAAGATGTGGGTCAAGAATAGGGCTCCACAGCCACCTACAAACCCACAAAAATAGTCATCAAGGAAGACCATCTTACTCGTCCAAAGAGGGATCGCCTAAGTAAGTAAGTAAGGTGGTGTTTGGAGCAAGGTGAAGCCTACTCTGAGTTGCAACAATTAGATTTTCTCCTTACATAGATTGCTTTGTGTTTGTTCTGACATCCAACAAGTATCCTGGGACAGTGTATAGGAGGCAGGAAACCAAGCCTTAGTCCAGTAGGAAGAAAGAAATAAGAACATGTGAACAAAATGATTGTTTTGCTACATGCTTTATTATATAAAGTGACCATTACACATAAATTGGACAGTATTCATTTTGCCAGAATTTGATATAGAGCATCATTTCTCCCAACCCAACCCTCATAGCGACCTCAGTCTTTGTTGAATTCCTTCAGCATCCATTGCCTGTTGTGAATGGTGCCCTTAAGTTGGGCATACTCTTTTACCAATTCCTCAAACGCAGAGCCCAGCATCTCATAGTCGGAAAGGATCTTGCGGGACGTGGCTAGGTTTTGCTCCTCTTGGCTTAGCTTCGCCTGCAAATCGTCCCTGGAAAAACAATAGCTTGCATGAGCTGGGGGAAAGATAGGCATTTGCCAAAACAACCGCTATGAAAGGGACCTTTCTTCCTTTCTTCCCTGTCCATTTGGCTTCTTTGCACTGTCTATCCAGAATGATCTTCTCAGAGATTGCAAAAAAAAAAAAAGGACGGATAGCTACTGAAGTGTTGCCATGCCCAGACTTTCAGCTGACGAATTCTGCAAACATCCTGAGTGGGCACCAGAAGAAGAAGAAAACCCCACATAGTCCTTTCCCTTTAATCTGTCACAGAAGCTCCAGTTAGCCAGAAGGAGCCTTTTTGCAGTCACCTCCACATATCACATCTAAGCCTCAAGAACAAAGATGGAATTCGATATGCCGGTCGGCACAAAACCCCGCAAACAAACAGATTGAGAAGCGGAGTGTATTGGGCCTCAAAATTCAATACCGGGCTTCCATTTTCTTTAACCTGACTTCTCGTACTACCCCCTGGTGAGGATGTGAGTCACCAGAAAGCTCTATGAAAGCTGACTCTCGCTGACTTAAAGTACCTCAGAGATTTTTTTAAAGCACTGCCTTGACAACAAAACACCATTTGCTGCTAATCACCTTCCAGCTGCTATCGGTATTCACACCTGCCACAACATTCGGGCCCCTGGGAACCCCTGCTCTCAATGCGTAGCTTTATCACCAGGAGCAAAATCCAATCGCACGTCTGAGCGGAAAAAAACCTTTATTGCATCAACACAATGTCATTAAAAGACAAGCTTTCAAGTCTGCAAAAGTACAAGCATTGTCCAGCGGTGAAAGGACCACTAAGTAATAACCAGGGTTTGCCTTTAATTGACTGTTTCTCCCAGAGCACGAGTTAGATTCAATCTCCCACTTTTATGAAATGGGGATAGCTTAGCTACCTTCCCTAAGGTGTTGTCGAAGGCTTTCATGGCCGGAATCACTGGGTTGCTGTGAGTTTTCTGGGCTGTATGGTCCAGAAAACTCACAGCAACCCAATGATTCTGGCCATGAAAGCATGGAATATGGCCATGCAGCCCAGAATGGAACATGGCCATACAGGCCAGGATATAACACAACTGGTTAATCACCAGCAGCAATAAGATCACACCAATCAAAAGACTGGCAGTTCGAAGCCTGGGTCAGAGTGAGCATCCGACCTTCAGCCCAGCTTACTGTCCACCTAAGCAATTCGAAAACAGCTGTAGGCTGTAATAGTAACAATAACGACAACAATAATAATCTATATAAATAAAAATGTAATGTTCGTTTGTGGGATTAACATAACTCAAAAACCACTGGACGAACTGACACCAAATTTGGACAGAAGTCACCTATAAGGCCAACGAGTGACCATCTATATAAATAAAAATGTAATGTCCGTTTGTGGGATTAACAGAACTCAAAAACCACTGGACGAATTAACACCAAATTTGGACACAAGACACCTAACAACCCAATATATGTCCTTCACTCAAAAAAATGGATTTTGTCATTTGGGAGTTGTAGTTGCTGGGATTTATAGTTCACCTACAATCAAAGAGCATTCTGAACCCCACCAACAATGGAATTGAACCAAACTTGGCACACAGTTCTCCCATGACCAACAGAAAATACTGGAAGGGTTTGGTGGGCAGTGTCCTTTGGTTTTGGAGTTGTAGTTCACCTACATCCAGAGAGTACTTTGGATTCAAACAATGATGCATCTGGACCAAACTCTACACGAATACTCAATATGCCCAAATGTGAACACTGGTGGAGTTTGGGGAAAATAGAATCTTGGCATTTGGGAGTTGTAGTTGCTGGGATTTATAGTTCACCTATAATCACAGAGCAGTCTGAACCCCATCAACGATAGAATTGGGCCAAACCCCCCACACAGAACCCCCATGTGGGCCATAGCAATGCGTGGCAGGGGACGGCTAGTAATAATAATAATAATAATAATCAAATGTAATGTTCGTTTGTGGGATTAACATAACTCAAAAACCACTGGACGAATTGACACCAAATTTGGACACAAGTCACCTATCAGGCCAAAAAGTGACCATCACTCATAGAAACACTGAAAACAGCAGAAGAGACTTAAAAAGCAAAAAAACCAAAAATTACATATATACACAAATATATACACACACAAAACACATATACACAGACTTGGCCACAGCAACGCGTGGCAGGGGAAGGCTAGTCTATATAAACAAAAATGTAATGTTAGTTTGTGGGATTAACATAACCCATAGATGTGGATGAAATGTCAGGAGAGAATGCTTCTGGAACATGGCCATGCAGCCTGGAAAACTCACAGCAACCTACCTTCCCTAATGTTTCTGCTTCTGTTTGCTTTGAATGAACACAATGGAGGGTTCACCGAGTGACTGGCAACACTTTGTCCAGAGCAGAGGCAGGGAAAATGCAACCCATGGGATGAACGCGGCCCCTGAAACCCTCCAAAGCCCTCCCAACTTCAACATGTTTTTGTTTTTAGATTTCCCAGGTCGATTTTCAGACTATTATCAACCTGAAACAGCAAAATATCCCCAAAGTGCCCACATTTAACACAGCCATCAGCGCCATCACCAAAAGTCCCCAGTGCCCCAGAAACCATGAAAATAATGGCTGAAATCAACCAAAAGTGGGATCTCAAAGAGACATCACATCTGTTCTTGTGAGCCTAGGATATATGGGTATGGCCTGTGAGGGGAAAAGTTCCTTGCATGCAGTTTAGAAAGAGAGAGAGAGTTGTTTTTATCTACCACTGAGTTAAAACTAGATATCTACATATCTCAGACCAAGTCTTCAAGTATGCAAGCTCGGTCTAACTACATTTCTAGATTGAACTGGGTTGAGTCTGGGACAATGGTGTCATTCAGCTGGTTTGTACTGGCTTGCCAGAACTAGTTGTTGAAATATGCAAAGGCTGGGAAGGTTGAGTCAAGTGTAGCAAAGGGAAGGAGGAGAAAATGTCCAGTGCAAAGGAGAAAGATGGGAAGGGAAAAGGGCAGGAGGGAGGAAAGGACTAGATCAGGCATGGGCAGGAGAAATCCAAACAGGTTAAATTATGCATGTGTGAGATACATCTATATAAATAAAAATGTAATGTTCGTTTGTGGTGTTCACAGAACTCAAAAACCACTGGGGGAATTGACACCAAATTTGGACACAATACACCTAACAGCCTAATGTATGTCCTTCACTCCAAAAATTTGATTTTGTCGTTTGAGAGATGTAGTTGCTGGGATTTATAGTTCACCTACAATCAAAGAGCATTCTGAACCCCACCAACGATGGAATTGAACCAAACTTGGCACACAGACCAACAGAAATTACTGGAAGGGTTTGGTGGGCAGTGTCCTTTGGTTTTGGAGTTGTAGTTCACCTACATCCAGAGAGCACTGTGGACTCAAACAATAATGGATCTGGACCAAACTCTACACGAATACTCAATATGCCCAAATGTGAACACTGGTGGAGCTTGTGGAAAATAGAATCTTGACATTTGGGAATTGTAGTTCCTGGGATTTGTAGTTCACCTACAATCACAGAGCATTCTGAACCCACCAACGAAACTCCCACACAGAACAGCCATGTGGGCCACAGCAATGCTAGCGGATAATAATAATAATAATAATAATAATAATAATAATAACTTAATTTATACCCCGCTACCATCTCCCCAAGGGACTCGTTGCGGCTTACATGAGGCTGAGCCCAAAGTACATCAACAGTAAAAACAATAAGAAAACAATCAATACAAACAAAATTAAAATAAATCTCAAAAACAAAAATAGACAATAACAATAAGCATTTAAAACCTATGGCTGGGCCAATGTAATTATTTAAAATTTAAAAAATAATGCTGGGCATGGACAAGGTAGGATATAACTGGGATAGAGTTTCCAGGTAGAGATGGGCATGCAGTCAATCATAAATTGGTGATAAAGTGCATTTAGGGACAGACAGGCATTAATTGTTACCAGTATATTTACTTTCCTCTCTTAATCTAGACTCAAAGCAGACAGATAATAGCCTAGGCATGGACACACTTTGGCCCTCCAGGTGTTTTGGACTTCAACTCCCACAATTCCTAACAGCCGGTAGGAGTTTTCCTGACTGTATGGCCATGTTCAGAAGCATTCTCTCCTGACATTTCACCCACATCTATGGCAGGGATCGTCAGAGGTTGTGAGGTCTGTTGGAAACTAGGCAAGTGAGGATTATATATCTGTGGAATGTCCAGGGTGGGACAGGCCCTTTGCTTAAGCGGCTGAGGGAGAAAAAGAAAGGGCCTTAGGCTGTTAGGAATTGTGGGAGTTGATGTCCAAAACACCTGGAGGGCCAAAGTGTGCACTTCCCAGGACTAGATCCTTTGGAGCTGCCAGGGATGCAACTGGCTGTTAATAATTTTGAATGACATTTCTGTCCTATCCACCATCCAAAGGGACAAGGAGTCCTGGAAGACTTGAAAGCTATAATTTTTATGATGTCTCAGTGGTCGGAATAGTTATTAGCTGATACTGATTTCTTTTTTATGGACCATGCAGTTGTTACTTTTTGTTGTATAATAAACCAGGTTCAATGTGTTGTTGAAAGCTTTCATAGCCAGAATCACTGGGTTATTGTTGTGTATGTTTTCTGGGCTGTATGACCATGTCCCGGAAGCATTATTTATTTAAGACATTTATATGCCGCCCTTCTCACCCCAAAGGGGACTCAAAGCAGCTAACAAGATATATATACATACAATATATTAAATTATTAGCATGGTACAATATCGGTATTATAGATTACTATATTGTACTACACCATTATATTGTAATATTATTCGTAATATTACATGTAATCTATATAAATAAAAATGTAATGTTCAAAAACCACTGGACGAATTGACACCAAATTTTGACAGAATACACCTATCAGGCCAATGAGTGTCCATCATCCCTAAAACACACACACAAAAAACCCGCCAGAATGGACTTAAAACCCCCCAAAATAAACCATATATACACCTATACAAATGCACACATACATACATACAGAAACACACACATATGTACACACAAGCACACACAAATATACACATACATATACACATGCACACATACATATTTACATATACATATGTACACATACATATACATATAGACATACATACACACATATATACACAAGCGCACACATAAACACAATATACATATACACGTATAAACACAGAAATACACAAATATATACACACTTATACACACACATATACACCCATCTATCTATCTATATCTAGCCAGCTGCGCCACACCGGGATTGTGGCGCAGCTGGCTGAGTGTCAGTTGCATTAAGATCACTCTGACCAAAAGGTCATGAGTTCGAAGCCAGCCCGGGTTGGAGTGGGTTTCCAACCAACTGTGGTTAGCCCGTTGTCGACCTTTGCAACCCGAAAGACAGTTGCATCCTTCAAGTAGGAAAATAAGGTACCACCTTAAAGTGTGGGGAGGCTAAATTAACTGATTTATGAGGCCATAAAGAAGACTCCAGCAAAGCATGTGGGGAATGCGGAAGTGCTTCATCAGCGTCGCAGATGGACGATGAAAGCAACAGCTCCCCTGGTGGCCAGAAAAAGTTAAATAGCCTCTGTCTATGTCTGTATATGTTTGTATGTCAAAAATTGGCATTGAATGTTTGCCATATATGTGTACACTGTAATCCCTGCGGGGTGAGAAGGGCAAAATATAAAAGCTGTAATATATATATACACATATATATACACACATATACGCAAATGTACACGCACACATAAACACATATATACACACACACAAAACATATACACAGACTGGGCCACAGCAACGCGTGCCAGGGGACGACTAGTATAAAATATATAATTATAATATTTTTATTATTAGTAATATTATATTGTATTACATTATAATATTATAAATATATTATATTATTAGTAAAGTACAGGAGACAAGATGGAACTGTCTTCATCTGTAGCCTCCTCTCTCTTCACTCTCGCCAGAGTGGGGGGGGGGGCTCCCAACTGATGATATAGGCAGGAGACAAGATGAAACATCATTCTCTCCTGATGTTTCACTCACATCTATGGCAGGCATCCTCAGAGGTTGGGAGGATGCCTGCCATAGATGTGGGTGAAACATCAGGAGAGAATGATTCTGGAACATGACCATACAGCCTGGAAAACTCACAGCAACCCAAACAAAGGTTCCTCCCCCATCCCCCCCCCCCCCCCCGCAAATTCACACCAACACCAGCTTACCTTATCATTCGATGCACATCCACTTTCTCAGGGGTGTATGTTTCCAAAAGGATACTCAGTTCCTCAAGCCTACGAGAGAGTTAATTGAAGGAAGAGATTGAACAAGTTCTGTTTCTATTACACTTCAAACACTCGGCATCTCGACTGCCCTTCAATGACAAATGGCTGATCAGCTCCGGCACTGAAGAGTCCTTAAGAGTCCTGACCTAACTCTTAAAATTAAAATGCCATTGATTCACTGTGGTTCGCTCTCGTGAATGACAGGCGACCTCTGATTACCTCTCTGTGCTTAAGTACAAGCACTAAGACTGACTAGAAGAATGTAAGGAGGCAGCTGATCACTCCCACATAAACACAATGATCGCTTCTTGGGATTCAACCCCACACTGCCCAAGTCTCAAGTCCTCAACGAGGAGCAGTTAGTTAGTTTAGTATGGACTAAGGTTTTCCCTTCCCGCATGTTTCTTGAATGGCAGCTGGAATATGTCTATTTCTTCTCTCCTCTCTGTTTCTGTTCTCATTCCGATTGAGTGTTTAAAAATGAATACTTTTATACTACAAGCTTTTTGAATTGGACTTCTGCTTTCTTACACTTTAGGATGGAGAGTATGTGCTGTGTGCTTTGAGATCTCGCTCTGCTTGTGTGTCAGGAGAGATGTACTGCTTGGATGATTTTCCCTCTCTCTGGAACCTCAGAAGAGATGGGTGTTAGAGTAGCTCAGACCCAGTTCTTGATTATTAAGAAATGCAGTCATCCCTTATTATCTATATAAATAAAAATGTAATGTTCGTTTGTGGGATTAACAGAACTCAAAAACCACTGGACAAATTGGCACACCAAATTTGGACACAAGACACCTAACAACCCAATGTATGTCCTTCACTCAAAAAATGGATTTTGTCATTTGGGAGTTGTAGTTGCTGGGATTTATAGTTCACCTCCAATCAAAGAGCAATCTGAACCCCACCAACAATGGAAATGAACCAAACTTTGCACACAGTTCTCCCATGACCAATAGAAAGTATTGGAAGGGTTTGGTGGGCAGTGTTCTTTGGTTTTGGAATTGTAGTTCACCTACATCCAAAGATCACTGTGGAGTCAAGAAATGATGGATCTGGACCAAACTCTACACAAATACTCAATATGCCCAAATGTGAACACTGGTGGAGTTTGGGGAAAATAGAATCTTGACATTTGGGAGATGTAGATGCTGGGATTTATAGTTCACCTACAATCACAGAGCATTCTGAACCCCACCAACGGTAGAATTGGGCCAAACCTCCCACACAGAACCCCCATGTGGGCCACAGCAATGCGTGGCGGGGGACGGCTAGTTGTAAATAAACCTTTTGTGATTTTTTAAAGATTGCACTCTGCATGTCTGCCTCCTAAGCTCTGAATTCTTTACAGCCACATCACACGGCACTTCATGCTCTGCTCGCTAATGAGCTGATGCTCAACTTTTGTATCCTTTTTGTTTTTGGATGCTCTGCTTTGTTTAGGGTACTTTTTCCATAACATTGCTAAGTTTGGGTTCCCACCTTATCTTAAGAAACATGGCACTGCACTTGATCTCTAGGTAGTGGGTGTTGAGACGGTCCAGTTCAGACTGGGTGCCGAGGCGATACTCGCGGGCCAAGCGTTTCAGCATGGCTACACAACGTAACAGGACCTGTAACGAATCGGGTAAAAGAGTTATGAGCATGGTCCTTGGACATTTCCTGTTATGGCAGAAAGGAAACCTCTGCTCAAGCAGAAAAAATTCAAGACATGGCTACTTGAGCAAGCATTTGCAAATATTGAGTAACAGACATAGGAATTGGAACAACTACATGATGAGAACGGACAATGTTTTTTTTAATGAGAATTTATTGATTTATGTTTTATTGTTATTGTTATGATTTTATGGATGTTAATGCGACACCCAAGACGGGACGGTTGTGGCAGAGAGGTCAGACCAAGCGTGATCCCTGGGGAAGGCAATGGAAAACCACTCCAGTATCCTTGCCAAGAAAACTAAATGGACCAGTACAACCAGAGATATGTCGGTATGCCATTGGAAGATGGGACTCCCAGGTCGGAAGATGGCCAAAATGCTACTGGGGAGGAGCAGAGGATAAGTTCAACTAGCCCCAGATGTGATGACGCAGCTAGCTCAAAGCTGAAAGGAAGGCTAGCGGCCGACGGTACTGGAGGTGAACGACGAATCCGATGCTCTAAAGATCAACACACCATAGGAACCTGGAATGTAAGATCTATGAGCCAGGGCAAATTGGATGTTGTTATTGGCGAGATGTCAAGACTCAAAGATAGACATTCTGGGGGTCAGCGAACTGAAATGGACTGGAATGGGCCACTTCACATCAGATGACCACCAGATCTACTACTGCGGACAAGAGGAACATCGAAGATATGGAGTAGCCTTCATAATTAATAAGAAATTCGCTAAAGCGGTGCTTGGATACAACCCAAAAAATGACAGAATGATCTCAATTCGAGTGCAAGGAAAGCCTTTCAACATTACAGTGATCCAAATATACGCCCCAACCACAGCTGCTGAAGAAGCAGAAGTAGATCAGTTCTATGAGGATCTGCAGGACCTACTGGATAATACACCAAAAAGAGACATTATTTTCATTACAGGAGACTGGAATGCCAAGGTGGGAAGTCAAATGACAACAGCGATCACAGGCAAGCATGGTCTGGGAGAACAAAATGAAGCGGGACGCAGGCTGATAGAATTTTGCCAGGAAACCTCGCTGTGTATAACGAATACTCTCTTCCAACAACCTAAAAGACGGCTTTACACATGGACCTCACCAGACGGTCAACACCGAAATCAGATTGACTACATCCTTTGCAGCCAAAGGTGGCGGACATCCATCCAGTCGGTGAAAACAAGACCTGGGGCTGACTGTAGCTCAGATCACGAACTTCTTATTGCCCAATTTAGAATAAAACTAAAGAGATCAGGTGAAAATACACAGACCAGTTAGATATGATCTCACTAACATTCCTAGCGAATATACAGTGGAAGTGAAGAACAGATTTGAAGGACTAGATTTAGTAAACTGAGTCCCAGAAGAACTATGGACAGAAGTCCGCGACATTGTTCAGGAGGCGGCAACAAAGTACGTCCCAAAGAAAAAGAAAACCAAGAAGGCAAAATGGTTGTCTGCTGAGACACTGGAAGTAGCCCAAGAAAGGAGGAAAGCAAAAGGAAACAGGGATAAGGGGAGATATGCCCAGTTAAATGCGCAATTCCAGAGGTTAGCCAGAAGAGATAAGGAACTATTTTTAAATAAGCATGCATGGAAGTTGAAGAAGACAACAGAATAGGAAGGACAAGAGACCTCTTCCAGAAAATTAGAAACATTGGAGGTAAATTTCAGGCAAAAATTGGTATGATAAGAAACAAAGATGGCAGGGACCTAACAGAAGCTGAAGAGATCAAGAGAAGGTGGCGAGACTATACAGAAGATCTGTATAGGAAGGATAATAATATCGAGGATAGTTTTGACGGTGTGGTGAATGAATTAGAACCAGACATCCTGAGGAGTGAGGTTGAATGGGCCTTAAGAAGCATTGCTAACAAGGCAGCAGGAGATGACGGGATCCCAGCTGAACTGTTTAAAATCTTAAAAGATGATGCTGTCAAGGTGATGCATGCCATTTGCCAGCAAATATGGAAAACACAAGAATGGCCATCAGACTGGAAAAAATCAACTTATATCCCCATACCAAAAAAGGGAAATGCGAAAGACTGCTCAAACTTCCGTACAGTGGCCCTTATTTCTCATGCCAGTGAGGTAATGCTCAAGATCCTGCAAGGAAGACTCCAGCAATACATGGAGCGAGAGTTGCCAGATGTTCAAGCTGGGTTTAGAAAAGGCAGAGGAACAAGAGACCAAATTGCCAATATCCGCTGGATAATGGAGAAAGGCAGGGAGTTTCAGAAAAACATCTACTTCTGCTTCATTGACTATTCTAAAGCCTTGGACTGTGTGGATCATAATAAATTGTGGCAAGTTCTTAGTGGGATGGGCATCCCAAGCCACCTTGTCTCTCTCCTGAGGAATCTGTACAAGGACCAGGTAGCAACAGTCAGAACTGACCACGGAACAACAGACTGGTTCAAGATTGGGAAAGGCGTACGGCAAGGCTGCATCCTCTCACCCAACCTTTTTAACTTGTATGCAGAACACATCATGCGATGTGCGGGGCTTGATGAATGCAAGGCTGGGGTGAAATTGCTGGAAGAAACATTAACAACCTCAGATATGCAGATGACACCACTCTGATGGCCGAAAGCGAGGAGGAGCTGAGGAGCCTTCTAATCAAGGTGAAAGAAGAAAGCGCAAAAGCCGGGTTGCAGCTAAACGTCAAAAAAACCAAGATTATGGCAACAAGAATGATTGACAACTGGGAAATAGAGGGAGAAACCGTGGAGGCCGTGACAGACTTTGTATTTCTAGGTGCAAAGATTACTGCAGATGCAGACTGTGGCCAGGAAATCAGAAGACGCTTACTTCTTGGGAGGAGAGCAATGTCCAGTCTCGATAAAATAGTAAAGAGTAGAGACATCAGACTGGCAACAAAGATCCGACTAGTCAAAGCCATGGTATTCCCTGTAGTAACCTACGGATGTGAGAGCTGGACCTTAGGGAAGGCTGAGCGAAGGAAGATCGATGCTTTTGAGCTGTGGTGTTGGAGGAAAGTGCTGAGAGTGCCTTGGACTGCGAGAAGGTCCAACCAGTCCATCCTCCAGGAAATAAAGCCCGGCTGCTCACTGGAGGGAAGGATATTAGAGGCAACGATGAAGGACTTTGGTCACATAACGAGAAGACAGGAAAGCTTGGAGAAGATGCTGGGGGGAAATGGAAGGAAAAAAGGAAGAGGGGCCGACCAAGGGCAAGATGGATGGATGGCATCCTTGAAGTGACTGGACTGACCTTGAAGGAGCTGGGGGTGGTAACGGCCGACAGGGAGCTCTGGCGTGGGCTGGTCCATGAGGTCACGAAGAGTCGGAGACGACTGAACGAATGAACAACAACAACGCTTTTTTATATTGTACTTGAGATTCTCTGGTATTGAATTTTGCCTTGTAAACCGCCTTGAGTCAGCGGAAGGCTGAGAGGGGCGGTATACAAATACAGTAAATAATAATAATAATAATAATAATAATAATAATAATTTGGAGAAGATGTTCCAGCTGTACTTCATAAAAAAGAAAATCAGCCTGTTTTGCAAGCCTTGCAACAGTTGATTTGTTATCAGTAAATGTTTGATTTTCATCCCTATTTTATATACCTATATATGTAAAAATGTCTTCAGTGGGAAAGTTTAAGAAGCCCTGCTCTAGATCAGACATACCAAAAGCTCCAATTTGAAGCTAATGACATTGCATATGGGAAAAAATTACTTGTTAATGATCCACTGCTTTCTGATCACTGAGTTCTTACAACTGAGAGAAACATGCATGACATATATTTGACAAATGTCGAAAAGGATTTCCATGGGAAGGGTCTTCAGTTATCTGCCAGTGGGGGCCAGTGTAAAAATCCAAGTGATATCTCCACATCTCCAGAATGACAAACAGTACTGTCCATTACAGAGCAGAACATGAGCCTTTATCCACTGTGCAAGAGTAGCTTTCAGTACACAACGGTCCATCAGAGACAGTCGGAATTAAACAAAGGGCCTGAAATATCTCAGACAGATCTTAACCGCCCACAGAACGCTCAGCTTGTTCCACTTCTTTTCCAAAGAAAAAGGCAAAAGGAAGACAAGATAACCTTCTGTGCCTGATGAAAAAGAAGTAGTAGCAGCAGCCACCTGAGGAAGGAAGAATGGGTCCAAAATATGCACAAAATGCCAAATTTGGGTCTGGATGACAGAAACCTCAACTCCCACACACTCCTGGATAATAACACAGCAACCCGAAGAGAAGACCCTTCCATGACAAGACATGAAACACGGATTCTTGGGGCAGGGGGAGGAGGAGAGGGTTAAGCAAAGCATTAGAGGCACTGCAGGAAATTTCAACACAATGCAAGCCTCAGAAATTCCTCAACACGAGGGCAAGAAGTAAATGAACCCTCACCCCTGTCATGAATGACTTTTCAATAACTTTGACGCATAGGTTCTTTTTATTGCAATTTCCAGTGTAAGAGGGTATATCAGATTACAGAAAAACATTTAGACAAAAAATGGCATTGGACATACAGACATATAGATTCTATGCAACTACATTGGATTAACAATTACATTGGTTAACAAACAAACAAAGGGGAATTACATTTTCACTCAACATTCACACACACGTACACGCATTTATCCGCATGCATCCAAATATTAACATATCATTTTCTCCCTCCTTGGAAAAGCACCTGCCAACGCATAGTTCCAAAACTTCCATAACGCCATAACTTCAAAACGCCAAAATGCATCCTTTCCCTAAACACAATGCCAAGGGCGAGATCTCTGTTTTCCATACAGCAGAACCTGACTCCCTGCACAAAAGCTAAGACTCCAAAAGCACACTCCTTCCTCTTCCCTTGAGAAAGAAGCCCCAAAGTGACCAGAATCATGCTTTCCCATAGCATATCTGTCACTCTCCTTAGGGACACTATCTCTCTCCTTCCCATGGAGCAGAGCATAGCGGGTGGACAGCGCCTCTGTCTGTCACACTTTGAGCATTATTAGACTGAGTCTTTTATAGGAATATTCTGCTGATGTCATACCAAAGCTCTGAGGATCACCTGGGAAGGAATCCCACTGGAGCATTGCAGCACACCCAAATACCTGGGAGTCACTCTGGACCGTGCTCTTACATACAAGAAGCACTGCCTGAACATCAAGCAAAAAGTGGGTGCTAGAAACAATATCATATGAAAGCTGACTGGCACAACCTGGGGATCACAACAAGACACAGTGAAGCCATCTGCCCTTGTGCTATGCTACTCTGCTGCTGAGTATGCATGCCCAGTGTAGAACACATCTCACCACGCTAAAACAGTGGATGTGGCTCTTAATGCAACACATTATCACGGGCTGTCTGTGCCCTACACCACTGGAGAAATTACACTGTTTAGCCGGTATTGCACCACCTGACATCCGCTGGGAAGTAGCAGCCAATAGTGAAAGGACCAAGGCAGTGACATCTGCAGCGCATCCCTTGTTTGGGTATCAGCCAGCACCTCAACGACTTAAATCAAGAAATAGTTTTCTAAGATCTACAGAGACACTCGCTGGAACACCTCAGCAAGCGAGAGTCCAAAAGTGGCAGGCTCAAACACAGAACCTCAACCAATGGCTGAAACTAAATGAGAGACTCCCTCCTGGGCACACAGAAGACTGGGTGACTTGGAAGGCGCTGAACAGACTGCGCTCTGGCACCACGAGATGCAGATGCAACCTCAAGAAATGGGGCTACAAAGTGGAATCCACAACATGCGAGTGTGGAGAAGAGCAAACCACTGACCACCTGTTGCAATGCAACCTGAGCCCCGCCACATGATCAATGGAGGACCTTCTTGCGGCAACACCAGAGGCACTCCAAGTGGCCAGATACTGGTCAAAGGGCATTTAATCAACTACCAAACTCACACATTTTGTATTTTCTGTTTGTTTGCTTTTTTCTGTTAGAAATGTAATATAATTGACTGGCTGCCCTGACACGAGAAAAAAAAATCCCAAAGTTGTAAATGAATGATAGACATCTTCCATCCTGGATCCATCTCAGTTTCCTGGCCAGATGTTGATCTTCTTGATTGGTGTTGACAAACACAAGGCTTGTGTTGACTTCCTTCTTAACTTAAGGAAGGTTGCAAACATTTCCTTTATCACTGTCCCGGTTCTTATCACAGCTTCTCATTAGCAAGTCCAGCAAGCAGGTAGTCAGTCATTGCAGGCCTTAATATTATACTGGTGTTTCCAAAATTATTAACTCCATCCATACAACTTCCATTCTTCCATTCATTCCCACACATCATATTAAATTCACATTTATCAACTCTACACATTGAATTTCTTATTACATCCCTGTAGCGGGCACCAGTCTCTCCAGACTGTTAGGCACGAGCCCTTTGCTAACCCGCCCTGCAGGGCCAGTAATAAAGTACAAACAGAACCCATTCATGCAAAATGACTTTTCCTTCCGCATCAACAGCTACCCTCCAGGATGACTCATAAATCCTCCGAGAAGAGCAAGGACGAGGGAAATGAACCCCAGAGTCCTTTCGCAGCCTCCCAAGAGACCCTAATGCCCCAGAGCCACCCCCAAATCTTCACATATAGGAACATGCACAATTCCAGACACAGCTTACCAAATGGAGATACATTATGTTGTTATAGGCACAGGCCATGGTCACAAACGTTCTTCTCTGTCCCTTACCTGTGGGTATGTGGCTTTCTGCTGCTCCAGCAGCCCCACAAGTTCTTGCTGTCGAGCCTTGGCCTCCTGCAGACGCTGCTTCTCTTCGGCAAGCCTTTCCGCCAGGGTCCCAGACATGGCGACCCGGACAGTCTCATTAGCACTGTCTGCAAGAGGAGAAGATCCCGGTCGCTAAACCTCCAGTGCCAGCGCCTGATGAACCCTTAACTCTCCTGTTTCTTTCCCCTAATTGTAGGGGCTTCCTCTCAGTCTAGAAGTCATGGAATTGAGACAGCCTTGGTCTCCATAGTGGATGATCTACACTGAGAGATTGACAGGAAGTGTTCCTGTTGGTTCTCCTGGACCTCTCAGTGGCCTTCGATACCATAGAACAGCATTTCTCAACCTGGGGTCAGGACACCTCGAGGGGTCGCCAAAGATCATCAGAAAACACAGTATTCTGATGTTGTGGGGGTTCTGCATGGGAAGCTTGGCCCAATTCTCTTATTGGTGGGGTTCAGAATTCTCTGTGATTATAGGTGAACTATAAATCCCAGCAACTACAACTCCCAAATATCAAGATCTATTTCCCTCAAACTCCACCAGTGTTCACATTTGAGCATATTGAGTATTTGTGACAAATTTGGTCCAGATCCATCATTGTTTGAGCCCACAGTGCTCTCTGGAGGTTGGTGAACTATAACTCCCAAACCCACCAAACCCTTCCAGTATTTTCTGTAGGTCATGTGTGCCAAGGTTGGTTCAACTCCATCATTGGTGGGGTTCAGAATGCTCTTTGATTGTAGGTGAACTATAAATCCCAGAAACTACAACTCCCAAGTGACAAAATCAATCCCCCCAATCCCACATATTGGGTATTTGTACCCAATTTGGTCCAGTGAATGAAAATACACTTGGCATGTCGGATATTTACATTACAATTCATAACAGTAGTAAAATTACAGTTATGAAGTAGCAATGAAAATAATGTTATGGTTGGGGGTCACCACAACACGAGGAACTGGATTGTTGCAGCATTAGAAAGGTTGAGAAACACTGCCATAGACCATGGTACCCTTGTGGATGCCTCACAAGAATGGGACTTGGGGGTACTGTTCTGCAATGGCTCCAGTCCTTTCTGAAGTATTGCTCTCAGGTGTTGCTAGGGGACACCTACTCAGTCCCACAGCCTTTGTCCTGTGGGGTCCCACAGGAATCAATATTGTCCCTCATGTTGTTTAACATCTGCATGAATCTGTTGGGAGAGATCATCTGGAGTTTTGGAGTTTGATGCCATCTGTATGCAGATGACATCCAACTCTATCACTCCTTTCCACCTGCTGCTAAGGAAGCTGTTCAGGTCCTGAACCGGTGCCTGGCTGCTGTGACAGTCTGGATGAGGACAAACAAATTGAAATTGAATCCAGACAAGGCTGAGGTGCTCCTGGTCAGCCGTAAGGACAAACAGGGTATAGTGTTACAGCAAGTGTTGGATGGGGTTCCATTCCCTTGAAGACGTAGGTTTGCAGCTTGGGAGTGATCCTGGAATCATCACTGATCATGAAAACCTCTGGTTTTGGCTGTGACCAGGTGACCTTTTGCACAACTAAAACTTGTGCACCAGTTGCGCCCATACCTTGGGAAGTCAGACTTAGCCAAGGTGGTCCACAGTCTGGTTACATCGTGCATAGATTACTGCAACGCGCTCTACGTGGGGTTGCCTCAAGCTGGAAAGTGTCCAGAGGAGGGCGACTAAAATGATAAAGGGTCTGGAGAACAAGCCCTATGAGGAGCGGCTTAAAGAGCTGGCCATGTTTAGCTTGAAGAAGAGAAGGCTGAGAGGAGATATGATAGCCATATATAAATATGTGAGAAGAAGTCACAGGGAAGAGGGAGCAAGCTTGTTTTCTGCTTCCCTGGAGACTAGGACGCGGAACAATGGCTTCAAACTACAAGAAAGGAGATTCCCTCTGAACATGAGGAAGAACTTCCTGACTGTGAGATCCGTTCAGCAGTGGAACTCTCTGCCCCGGAGTGTGGTGGAGGCTCCTTCTTTGGAAGCTTTTAAACAGAGGCTGGATGGCCATCTGTTAGGGGTGCTTTGAATGCAATATTCCTGCTTCTTGGCAGGGGGTTGGACTGGATGGCCCATGAGGTCTCTTCCAACTCTATGATTCTATGAACAGGTGGCAGCCAGATTATTGACCAGAGCAGCGTTCAGGGAATGTACAATACCTCTGTTATGTCAGCTCCACTGGTTGCCAATTTGCTTCCGAGCACAATTCAAAGTGCTGGCCTTAGCCTATAAATCCCTAAATGATTCCGGACCAGCTTACCTGTCCAAACCTATCTCCCTTTATTTATTTATTTATTTGCTATACTTGTATACTGCCTTTCTCAGCCTATCGGCAACTTTATGATCTGGTGTGATTGTTAATATCTTCTTGGGAGGCCCTGCTCTCGGTCCCACCTCCATCGCAGGCACAGTTGGCGGGAACGAGAAACAGGACCTTCTCAGTGGTGGCCCCTTGGCTGTTGAACTCCCTCCCCAGTGACATCAGAACAGCCCCCTCACTCTTAAGCTTCAGGAAAAATCTTAAAGACCCGGCTATTCAAGCAAGCCTTTAGGGCAGTGTTTCTCGACTTTTCTAATGCTGCGACCCCTTAATCCAGTTCCTCATGTTGTTGTGACCTCCAACCATAACATTATTTTCATTGCTACTTCATAACTGTAATTTTGCCACTGTTATGAATCGTAATGTAAATATCCGACATGCCGAGTGTATTTTCATTCACTGGACCAAATTGGGTACAAATACCCAATATGTGGGGTTGGGGGGATTGATTTTGTCACTTGAGAGTTATAGTTACTGGGATTTATAGTTCACCTACAATCAAAGAGCATTCTGAACTCCACCAACCATGGAATTGAACCAACCTTGGCACACATGACCTACAGAAAATACTGGAAGGGTTTGATGGCTATTGACCTTGAGTTTGGGAGTTATAGTTCACCAAACTCCAGAGAGCATTGTGGGCTCAAACAATGATGGATCTGGACAAAATATTGGCAGAAATACTCAATATGCCCAAATGTGAACAGTTGTGGAGTTTGGGGGAAATAGAGCTTGACATTTGGGAGTTGAAGTTGCTGGGATTTATAGTTCACCCATAATCACAGAGAATTCTGAACCCTACCAACGAGAGAATTGGGCCAAGCTTCCCATGCAGAACCCCAACATCATCAGAATACTGTGTTTTCTGATGGTCTTTGGAGACCCCCTCTGACACCCCCTCGTGACCCCCCCAGGAGTCCCGACCCCCAGGTTGAGAAATGGTGCTTTAGGGATTAATATGACTCATAAGTATGACAGAATCTGTATAAGAATGACAAAGCAATCGGTTTAATGTTTACAAAGCTCAGATGGGTGCCAGAACTTTGGTATATTTTTATCATGTGAAAGATTATTATTGTGTATATGTTTTTAGAGTTTTAATATTGTGTTTTATTGTTTTTCTTATTGTTGGAATCTGGCATTGAGTTATTGCCATAATTTGTAAGCCACATTGAGTCGGTCCCCCCTGCCCCCCCCCCTCTGGGTGTGAGAAGGGCAGGGTATAAGCACAGTAAATAAATAATAAAATAAATAGCTTACCACTTTCAGGGCGGTAGTAGCTGAGCAGAGCCAAGCATTTGGACTTCAGATGTTTCTCCAACTCTGTGGGGAGCCGCTTTTGTATTTGTTCCACCTCCTGTAGCGAAACACAGAAGTGGCCAAATCAGCACCTCGACGTTCGCATGTGCTAGAAAACACTTCACATTTTAGAGCACTTTCAAGAGAATGATGGAACCAAATATTCAAAAATCAATGCCTGATGAAATATATACAACATTACAGTTACAACCAGAGCGAAAAGATTTAGCACCAGGCCCTCCCAAAGTCACACATCCCCTGCATTACAGCTATTGACTCCATTTGGAAAACTCAAATCTCCCAACGGCTCCTGAGAAAAAGCATGACATTTAAGCCCTTTTAGTTCATGTAAAAATAATACGCTCTGGGCTACAAAGGTGTGATGAGGCCTGACTGTGATTTAATTCAGAGATGCAAACCCCTGGGCAGAATTTATCACACCTTTTCCCCAGCCCCGCAGGTGCATCTGAAACATGGAAATTGGAGTAGCCAAAAATAAATAATGCTGAAGCACGGAATGATATTCCAGAGATATTGTCAGGAAAGGCAAAGTTTAAAGGAGTGGAATGCATTTTGTCAGAAATATTAGAAGGTATTTTTGATTGTAAAGATGTGAGTCAAGCACTGAGGGGGTTGGATGGGTGCCGTGACTCAGCAGAAGCTGCAGTTCATTATACCGTATATACTCGAGTATAAGCCGACCCGAATATAAGCCAAGGTACCTAATTTTACCACAGAAAACTGGGAAAACATATTGACTCGAGTATAAGCCGAGGGTGAGAAATGACGCCGCTACTGGTAAATTTCAAAATAAAAATAGATACCAATAAAATTACATTAATTGAGGCATCAGGAGGTGAAATGGTGTTGAATATTTACATAAAATTGTAATTTGAGATAAGATTGCCCAACTCTGATTAAATCATTATTCTAACCTTCTTCAATGTAAATGTATTTACGTATCCTTCAACAATAATAAAGACAGTAAAATAATGAATGTAATAATGACTCCGGCCCAATTTACCTGTCCAAACGTATCCTCCCCTATGAACCATCAAGATTGCTAAGATCGTCTGGAGGGGCCCTGCTCTCGATCCCACCGGCCTCACAGGCATGGCTGGTGGGGACGAGAGACAGGGCCTTCTCGGTGGTGGCCCCTCGACTCTGGAACTCCCTTCCACTGGAGATCAGAACTGCCCCTTCTATCTTAACGTTCAGGAAACAGGTGAAAACTTGGCTTTGGGGATTGGCATTCAATGAATGAGCCATGATCCTGTGATATGGATGGATGACGACGAATAATGATTTTTGATGACGACTGACCACTGTAATTATATGATTGTATTTTGCTATTTTAATGTTTTAGTGTGATTTAGAATATGATGTTTTAATGACTGTCTGTAATATTGATGTTGGAAACCGGCCTGAGTCCCTCGAACGGAGGTGAGAAGACCGGTATACAAAACTGCTAAATAAATAATAATAATAAAGTAAAATAATGGAAATGCAATAACAGTAATAATAGAGCTAAATAATAAATGTAATAATAGAGCAAAATAATAAATGCAATAATAATAAAGAGACTTGAGGGACTTGAGATCATCGGAGGAGGCCCTGCTCTCAATCCTGCCTGCTTTGCAAGCACATTTGGTGGGGACGAGAGACAGGGCCTTCTCTGTGGTGGCCCCCTGGTCTTGGAACTCCCTGCCTAGGGATATTAGATTGGTCCCCTCCCTCCTGACCTTTCGAAAAAAACAGAATACTTGGCTCTTTGAGCAAGCTTTTGGCACCGCGTCATAATCAGATAAATTTGAATTGGAAAATGACCCAAGAATGGCTAAGGATCAAACATGACGACATCGTTTTAAATTTTTTATTGTTCACTGTTTTTATGCTTTTAGCTATATTGTGACATTTTCCTTTGTTTTCTTGATGTATGTATTTTTATATGGCATCAAATTGTGCCGACTTGTTCGCCGCCCTGAGTCGCCTTCGGGCTGATATGGGTGGGGTAGAAATGGAGTAAATACATAAATAAGTTCGGTGTAAGAGGAAGCTCAGTGAGAGCTAAGCTGTTTATCTGCATGAGAAAGAAGCCCTGAAGACCTAGGGATTAGAATAAAAGAAGCGAATTGGGTACAATTATGGGATCAAAGATATTTAAAGAACTTATTGATACGTGTTAAAGAAAATTATTACAGATTGGTTTGGAAATGGTACTTAACACCACTAAAGATTGCAAATATTAATAAGAATTCCACAAAAAAATTGTTGGAGAGGTTGCCAGGAAGTGGGTACATATATACATATGTGGTGGCAATGTAAATATGTAAATGAATTTTGGGGGAAGGTATTTGGAGAGATAGAAGCTATAATGGGTATGAAGATAGGGAAAAGTGCAAGTATTGCATTGTTGTTACTATATAATGTTAAGAAATTGAAAAAACAGAGAAAGATGCAATAGATAACATGTTAACTGCAGCAAGATTACTGATAGCGAAGAATTGGAAAGGTAAAATAAACATATCAACTGAAGAATGGTATAAAGAATTATGGAAAATAGCAATAAATGATAAATTGACATGTAGGTTAAGAGTCAGGAAAGGGGTATGGAAGGAAAATGATTTTGATAAAGTTTGGGGAAAATTTATTGAGAATGGCTTAAAAGAAGTAGACGGGAAATTACCTCCACAAGAAGAAATGGCATTTTGGAAAGAGAATGTAAATTGAAGTGGCTCGGAAGGTGGGGGTCGGGGGGCACAGAGGTGGGAAAAAGTATGTAAGATATATATACATTTATGGTTGTTGTAACGAATTGAGGATGGAATATAAGATTATTGAAGGTATTGATGTATTCTAAGAAAACCAATAAAAATATTTGAAAAAAAAAGAAAAAAGAAGCCCAGAGTGGAAGCAAAGAAGGAAGTATAAATAAATTTATTTGTATTATTGAAACCTTGTTCTTGTAAACAGTGCAACCATATTATTTTGCTATAAAGAAAAGCCTCCTATGGAAGAGATAACATTGGTCTGTGTGTTTTTTGTACTTTTTATCACTTTGGGCTACTGGTGCTGGGTCACGCTGCTGCTAATAAGTTACTCTGCTGTTAATTTATGAGGAGGGTCTTTTGTTTGTTTGTTTGTTTTTAATTATAATTTTCATTCTGAAGAGAGAAAAAATCTGAAGTGAAAAGAGGGGGAACATTTCATGAGTATAGAAAAGTGGGAAATAAAGTGAGAAATAAAGAAATAAAACTAATTTCTAAAAGAAGAGAAAAAAGAAAAAAAATTCCTAAAATAGAGCAAGAGTGGAACAGAAATTTGGCACTTCCTATCTTCACCTCGAAGAATATCTAAGGTAAAAGTAAAAGAGAGTTATTTATATAGTTCTAGTCCTTTTAAAGTTTTAATTCAATCATTCCGTGTATTTCATATAATAGCTTCTTCCAGATTTTCGTTTTTTGAGGTCTTTTGTTAATAAGGCCACACACCCAACACATTTCTGCCTGTACATATTCTAAAATGCCTTCTTCAAGGGCTACATAATGAAAAGCTCAACCTATTTTTTTTTTCATTTTAATAAATCACACATTCACTGAACACCTCAAAATGTATCTCCTATTTTTGCTGATTGTATTGGGAGCTCCCCACTTTTTGTTTGTGTGTTTTGGTCTCCCTACAATAATACTATTAGCAAAAAGAGAGATCACCCTGATCTCTTAAGAGGAACAGCAATGTATTAATCAAAGAGATAGTGAGGACGATGATATCTGTCTTACTTGTTTGGGGGGAAGAAGCTCCATCACATGAGAGGGCTCCAGACCTAAGAGAGACGACTGTGTACTTTGCAGAGAAGGGTCAACCTCAAGCATTCGTTTCAGTTCGCCTACCAAAAGCTGCTGTTCCAAGACTTCCAGAAACTGAGGGCAGGAAGAAGAAGGATTAAGGTCAGAGACAAACCTCTCTCTTAAATTCTTCCCCATTTCTAACAGATTTTCCACTTCACATAACACTGACAGTTTGATAATGTCCTACATCAGTGGTTCTCAACCTGGGGGGTCATGATGGGGTGTTAGAGGGGTCGCCAAAGAACATCAGAAAGCACAGTATTTTCTGTTGGTCATGGGGGTTCTGTGTGGGAAGTTTGGCCCAATTCTATCGTTGGTGGGGCTCAGAATGCGCTTAGATTGTAGGTGAACTATAAATCCCAGCAACTACAACTCCCAAATTGCAAGGTCTATTTTCCCCAAATTCCACCGGTGTGCCACATTGGGCATATTGAGTATTCGTGCCAAGTTTGGTCCAGATCGATCATCATTTGAATCCACAGTGCTTTCTGGATGTAGGTGAACTACAACTCCAAAACTCAAGGTCAATGCTCACCAAACCTTTCCAGTATTTTCAGTTGGTCATGGGAGTTCTGTGTGCCAAGGTTGGTTCAATTCCATCATTGGTGGAGTTCAGAATTCTCTTTGATTGTGGGTGAACTATAAATCCCAGCAACTACAACTCCCAAATGTCAAAGTTTATTTTCCCCAAACTCCACTGGTGATCCACATTTGGGCACATTGAGTATTTGTGCCAAGTTTGGTCCAGATCCATCATCATTTGAGTCCACAGTGTTCTCTGGATGTAGGTGAACTACAACTCCAAAACTCAGGGTCAATGCTCACCAAACCTTTCCAGTATTTTCAGTTGGTCATGAGAGTTCGGTGTGCCAAGGTTGGTTCAATTCCATCATTGGTGGAGTTCAAAATGCTCTTTGATTGTAAATGAACTATAAATCCCAGCAACTACAACTCCCAAATGACAACATCAATCCCCCTCAACCCCACCAGTATTCAAATTTGGGCGTATCGGGTATTTGTGCCAAATTTGGTCCAGTGAATGAAAATACATCCTGCATATTAGATATTTACATTACGATTCTTAACAGTAGCAAAATTACAGTTCACAACGAAAATAATATTATGATTGGGGGGTCACCACAACATGAGGAACTGTATTAAGGGGTCGCAGCATTAGGAAGGTTGATGAATGGGAACAAGGTGACACTCGGGTCAAAACAAGTCTTGTGTGGATTAGTTATGAAGTAACAACAGAAATAATTTTATGGTTGGGGGTCACCACAACATGAGGAATTGTATTAAAGCAGGCATGGGCAAACTTGGGCCCTCCAGGTGTTTTGGACTTCAACTCCCACAATTCCTAACACCCTACCGGCTGTTAGGAATTGTGGGAGTTGAAGTCCAAAACACCTGGAGGGCCCAAGTTTGCCCATGCCTGTATTAAAGGGTCGCAGCATTAGGAAGTTTGAGAACCACTGTCTTACATCACTATTATCACCATTTGCATTCTTTCCCCATATTTATGTCCCAGAGTTGATTTATCAAATTACTTCTGGCTTTGGCCAATTTCCACCTTTTTTGGGGAAGTTTCTGAAGTATTGTGAAGTTTACTACACCACAAATTGGGGTTGCTTTAGCCTATACATTAAAAAAAAATATGAGGGGCTTTCGTGTGGGCTTCAGACGTTACATGCACTTTGCATCTTAACCTCTCCCCACCCATGTACTAACCAGTGGTTCTCAACCTGGGGTCCCCAGATGTTTTTGGCCTTCAAATCCCAGATATCCTAACAGCTGGTAAGCTGGCTGGGATTTCTGGGAGTTGTAGGCCAAAAACATCTGGGGACCCCAGGTTGAGAACCACTGGGCTAAACCCTTTAGCCAGTCTCTGTCAGGTTTCCTAGGCTTTGCAAAGCCCTTGTTCATCCAACATTACTCCAAAGACATTTCTTTCCCAGCATTACTTTTCTGTCTTCTGGGGGAAGGCCGGTTCCCTGTTCTCTTAGTGCCTCCTGCAGAAGCCGGTGCAGGGTCTCCCATTTTAGCCAGCTTGCTTTTCGGACCTGCAGTTCTTTCCTCGCCTAAAAGGCAAAGAAAAAGAGAAAAGGGATGTGCACTTAACGGATAAACTATTAAAACAACCCATTGTCGTGTGTATTTAGCAGCAGCAGGGCAGAAGGAGCAAATGTGTAAAAAGGAACGTTACATTTCTCGACCTAGATTCGAGTTATATTTATTTTATACAGCACAGTCTAGTTCTACTATCTACAAGTGAAAGTAAATAGATATGTGGCATGCTGAGCCTTCGTAGGCTTTCCCATATCTCTTTTGAGGCTCTGCAACACACCGCCCACTGCTTTCAAGACACATCTTTGCTCTTCTGTACCATCATCAAAAAAGAGGTGGGGGAAGCAAGAGAGCAATCTTGCAGTCTCAGGATGATGCCTTTCTCCTGCAAGAGCTCGACATCCACACTGGTGCAATATAATCATGAAGTAAAAAACACAGAAATTCATTTTTTTCAGTATTCTCAGTGGCAAAGTTGCTATAAAATTCAATATATTTTGAACAATCCTGATGCATTCTTTTGTGATACTGTTGCAAATTTTATTATAGAGATTAGTAATTTTTAAGTATGTTTTATTTTTATCTGTGACTTCCTCTTGTTGTATATATTTATTTATTTACTGTATTTTTACCCTGCTCTCTCTCACCCCGAAGGAGACTCAGAGCAGCTTCCAAATTGGCAATAATTCAATGCCATACACACATAACACATAAAAACAATATACACATACATTAAAATCAATAAAAATTAAAAATCATAGCATATCAATATATTAAATATATATGAACAATGGTGCAACTACTGATCAAGTCTGCCTAGCCCCCGTCTTTTGGTAGGGTCTCTGTCAGGTTTTACAATGTATTGTAATGTAATATAGCTGAGTCATGCACTGCTAATAGGCTTCTATTGGAAATGCTGAGTCATGCATTAACTGTATATAGAACTTCATTTGGGGAATGTGTTCTGGCCTAGTCCAGGTGATTGTGAATGATGTAATCCTGGGTCTGAGTTAAGTTAATGAGTTGGGAACCAATCAGAGATTACTATGTGTAAATGAATTGTATATAAGGAAGTCATGTACAGTGTATTCTCTCCTTGTGCTGTGATGTTGTTCGTCGAAGACTATATGTAATTAAAAGAACCTGTCTGCTAAGACAAGATATAACTGTATGCTGTGGTAAATTTGTAATATCATCTAGACTGGGGGAAAGACAATGGTAAAACTGACAATGGCCGGGCATGTGCTCAAGTGTCTGTAAACGGTTCCAGAGTGACTGCAGGCTGTGGAAGCAGTTGACTGAAAATACTGTGCAGGAAGAAGCTACTGGAAAGCGCTGAAGTTGTGCAACTGATCTGCTGCTGAATTGTGAAGTTAATCTCAACAGTCTCCAGCACTTTATTCCCAGCCCTTGGCCTTACAGTTTATGTTGCACTAGCCCTGTCCTGCCATATATTAGTCTCAAATCTGCACACACACACTTTTCTCGGCCATTGGTTGTGTGTTGTTTGGTTATGTTTCATGATGTCTTAGATTTTATTGGTTTTATTGTTGTAATATAGTTGATTGTGATATGTTTTTAATTGCGTTACTTTGCAATCTTGTTTATATTGGGCTTGGTCCCCATGTAAGCTGCCCCGAGTCCCTTCGGGGAGATGGAGGCGGGATATAAGAATAAAGTTAATAATAACAATAATAATAAACCTCTGATTTTGTTAGTATATGTCAATAAAGGCTGTGTGTGTATAATCATAAAGCTGAAAGTACCCAAGATGGCAGCCCTCTTTTTACCTCTTCCAATTGGTGGGCCAAATTGACACTCAGCCCAGTGGAGTCCATGCGTTTAGTCAGACCCATAAGAAGATTTGCCAGGCCAGGATAGGCAGTCAGATCCTCTTTGGTGAGTGAGCAGGGGGGCAGGCAGCTCTCATGACCTGGAGGCAGATGATGATAACAATAGCCATAGTAATGTTTACTTGTTACCCACCTCCCCTCATGGCTTGAGGCAGGGTACAACACAGCCAAAACACATATGCTAAATTACATAGTACAAAGATTAAAACAAGATACCAACAGAATGCACATTTAAAATGTTACGGTTCAAAATCGATGGGGTAGGCCTGCTGGAAGAGTTAAGTCTTTACTTGCATTTTAAATTGTGATAGCTTGTTTAGCTGTCAGATTTCTTCCAGTAGGTCATTCCACATTCCATTGGACAGCCAATGAAAAGGTCCTCTGGGTGATGGTCACCAGTTGGGTTCTGGCTGGTTGAAGTAATAATAATAATACTAATAATTTCAGACTGACAGAGTTTTGGAGCACAATACTCCTGACCTCACAACTGTGTTGAAAAGCAGAGTGTGGATAATCAATGTTGCAATTCCAGGTGACAGCAGGATTGAAGAAAAACAACTGGAAAAGCTGACACGATATGAGGATTTAAAGATCGAATTGCAAAAACTTTGGCACAAACCAGTAAAGGTGGTCCCAGTGGTGAGCGACACACTGGGTGCAGTGCCTAAAGACCTCGGCTTGCACTTAAACACAATAAGCGCTGACAAGAATACCATCTGCCAGCTGCAAAAGGCCACCTTACTGGGACATGCACATATTATTTGCTAATATACCACACAGTCCTAGACACATGGGAAGTGTCCAACGTGTGATCCAATACAACAGCCAGCAGAGTGATCTTGTTTGCTGTGAACTCATCTTGTTGTGTTTCAAATAATAATAATAACAACAACAACTTTATTTGCATTCTGCTCTAGCTCCCTGAGGGGATTCAGGGCGGATTCCAGCATAACAAAGGCAAACATTCAATGTCCTCGTAAAACTAACAAATACTGACATAAAATCCCAGAGAAACCCCACATATGAAAATAATATTATAGCCTAACATCAGTAAACTAAACTACACATAGTCAAAAAATATATAAACTAACATAAAATCTTTTTTAAATCCACATTAATTTTCAGCAGCCAGTTAGAGTTCACAAACAATGTGGATTGGCTGTGTAGTCAAATGATGGTCACTGGGCTCGCCTGGACTAGGAGAGTCCAAATATGAAATAGTTCTCAACTAGGATGAAGTAGTAATCTCTCGTTATCCAAACCTCCTCCTCTCTATATGCTAGTGAGCATAAGTAAGTCTTCAGTTTTTTTTTTGAAGGAGATGAGTGAGGAGGCCAGCTTTATTTCTTTAGGAAGGGAGTTACAGAGGTGGGGGGCGGCCACGGAGAAGGCCCTCTCTCTCGTTCCCACCAACCATACTTGAGATGGGGGTGAGACCGAGAGCAGGGCCTCCTCCGATGACTGCAGTGCCCGAGCTGGTTTGTAAGAGATTTATTCAGTCAAGAGCCTGGACCCGAGCCATTTAGGGCTTTAAAGGTAATGACCAGCACTTTGTATTTAGCCCGAATGCAGACTGGCAGCCAATGGAGCTGCCGCAATGTGGAAGTGGCTCTCTTCCTGTATGGGGCTCCTGTTAGTAATTTGGCTGCCTATATCTGAACCAGCTGAAGTTTCCAAACTATCTTCAATAGTTTGGAACATAGAGAGCATTGCAGTAGAGAGCATTGAGAGCATAGAGAGCATTGCAGTAGACCAAATGGGATGTGACTAAGGTGTGGACTACCATGGCCAGATCTGGCGTCTCAAGGTATGGGCGCAGCTGGTGCACAAGTTTTAGTTGTGCGAAGGCAAGGTGCTCCTGGCCACCGCTGACACTTGGGGTTCAAGGGTCAGCTATGACTCTAGGATCACCCCTGACTGCGGACCTGTACCCCATCCAACACAGGCTGCAATTCCACACCCTGATCCACATTCTGACTGACCAGGAGTACCTCTGTCTTGTCTGGATTTAGTTTCGACTTATTGGCCCTCATCCAGTCCATCACTGATGACAAGAACTGTTTTAGGGGCTGGACAGCATCCTTGGTAGTAGGTGGAAAGGAGTAATAGTTGAGTGTCGTCCGCATGAATTTGACACCGAACTCCAAAACTTTGGACAATATCTCCTAGTGGTTTAATGTAGCCACCCCCAAGACCTAAGTATCCTAAAGGGTGGATTGTACAGGAGAAGGTGATCCTGGTGCAAACCTTGTAGGGCTTTAAAGGTCAAAAACCAGTAGAGTGACTTTAATATAAATATAATATAATATGCTCCATTTTAGATGGTCTTGTAACTAGGCTGACTGTTGCGTTTTGAACTAACTGTTGTTTCCAGACTTGGTATGCAGGTAACCCATTGTACAAACCATTGCAGAAGTCCATCCTTGAGGTTACCAGTGCATGAAACACCATATTTACATTCTCTAATTCTAAGAAAGGGTGCAGCTGTGTATCAAATGAAGCTGGGAGTAAGCACTCCTGACATTTCAAGAGACTGATCCTCCTAAGCTGTGAACAGTCTTTCAGGGGAAGACCAGAACTGGTTGACACACCTCTAACCCCTGATTAGGACCCTTAATGGCAAGCACCTCTTGTCTTCTCAAGATTCAGCTTCTATTTGTTGTTATTCATCCATCCCAACCTTCTCCAGGCATTCATTCAGAGGAGACACGTTATCCTTAGCTAAAGCTGTCTTTGAAGGCATGGAGAAATATCTTTGGGTGTCATCAGTGCATTCATAGCACCTTGGCCCATGAGAGAGAAAATGAAGCCCCTTTGGACACCTTAATTCACCTCACCCTAGTGATATTACCTTGCTGCAGCAGATCAGTAGCTATGGTCCTTGGAGCAGAGGCCATGGGCACTTTGGAAGGAAAAATCACCTACAACAAAACACAAGATGTCAGGAAGGGGAAGGAAGGGGCCTGAGGCTGTGAGGAATAGTGGGAGTTGGGAGTCCAAAACACCTGGAGGGCCCAAGTTTGCCCAGGCCTGTACTACAGATAAAAAAAAAATACATGAAAAAAGGCGAGAAAGTAAACAATAACAATAAAAAGGGTAAAGGGAAAGTGGGAATTGCATCCTTGAACTATGTACCTCTTGGGCTCCTTTCCCTGTAACCACACTATGCTGTTATAACGCTATGATTCCGCTTTCACTCGCTTCCCCCTTGCTTGGACTGTTTCCGGAAGTTCGATTTGCGCGCGCCCGGTAAACAGCAGAAGCCACTGTGCGGCAGAGGGAGGGAAATGAATGGGCAAGGCAGAAGAGATAAGCCCGCCTCCTAGAGACAGAAAGCCAATAAGAAGCTGGGAAATTTAAAAAAACGTACCAGTGGGAGCAAGGGATAAATGAAAGGCGGGTCTTTACTCGCGTTACGGTGTTCCTATTGGACAGACTTTGCAAACACGCTTATTAATATTCAAAACACAAGGAGGATGTGGGCGGGGCGCTGTTTGAACTGTTGCTCAGCTGCTCCCTTTGTTGTGGGTGGAATTGGTGGGTTCTTGAGATGTTAAGGACTGAGAATCAGAGTTGGAGGAGACCTCATGGGCCATCTAATCCAACCCCCTGCCAAGAAGTAGGAAAATCCTATTCAAAGCACCCCCAACAGATGGCCATCCAGCCTCTGTTTAAAAGCCTTCAAAGAAGGAGCCTCCACCACACTCTGAGGCAGAGAGTTCCACTGCTGAACAGCTCTCACAGTCAGGAAGTTTTTCCTAATGTTCATAGAATCAAAGAGTTGGAAGAGACCTCATGGGCCATCTAGTCTAATCCCCTGCCAGGAAGCAGGAATATTGCATTCAAAGCACCCCTGACAGATGGCCATTCAGCCTCTGTTTAAAAGCTTCCAAAGAAGGAGCCTCCACCACACTCTGAGGCAGAGAGTTCCACTGCTGAACAGCTCTCACAGTCAGGAAGTTCTTCCTAATGTTCAGACAGAATCTCCTTGTAGTTTGAAGCCATTATTCTGTGTCCTAGTCTCCAGGGCAGCAGAAAACAAGCTTGCTCCCTCCTCCCTATGACTTCCCCTCACATACTTATACAAGGGTTGAATGAAAACTAATGCCTCCACCTTCGTAACTCCTCAACATATGGCAGTACTGGTATGCAGCAGGCACTGGCGTCTTCAGTAGACTCTCCTCTACAGTTCCATTTTGTTGGGAAGCCTTCGCATTGAAATGTTGTGTTGTTAAAGTGCAAAGTATGGAACCCTGCACAGATAGTCGGTCAACGCAACAGATTGATTCAGGATGATTGTCATATCACTCAGAGAGAAATTTTAAGCATAATCGGCAATTCACAAGAATGTGTGGGTCAAATTATTGCTTTGCTTGGCTATTGGAACATCTGTGCACGATGGGTACCCAGGATGCTGACGCCTGAAATGAAAGCGCACAGACTTCTTCCTTGACAGCTTCAGAAAACTTATTCATTGTTGGCAGAATTATATCCAATTGTCTGATTATGTTGAAAAGTGAATAGTGGTAATTAAAGAGCACATTCTAAGATTATTTCTGCATTTGATTTATTAAAATATTCCCATCCAAACCGAAGTAACAAAGGTGGAGGCATTACTTTTCATTCAACCCTCGTCCATGGCTATCATGTCTCCTCTCAGCCTTCTCTTCTGAAGACTAAACATGCCTAGCTCCTTAAGCCGCTCCTCATAGGGCTTGTTTTCTAGACCCTTGATCATTTTAGTCGCTCTCCTCTGAGCACATTCCAGGTTGTCAACATCTCCCTTCAACTGTGGTGCCCAGAATTGGACACAATATTCCAGGTGTGGTCTATTCTGTTTCTGATCAATAAAGATCATCATAGAAGAAAGTGAGAAAGGGCCCAAATTACCCTATTTGTAAAATGCATGCATTTTATTAATTCACTGTTCCAAGTTACTAAAATGAAGGATCTCTTTCAAATGGCTGAAAACAATGTCCTATTAGATTTCAGGTGTGGGTCATCTTTAGCTTCTTTGGGTCTGAAAGTTAAGTACGTTTAAAAGTTTGAGTGGTTAATGGAGTATAATTGTACAGGAGAGATGATAGTAAAGAAAGCCCTTCTTTGGCCTCTTCTACACTGCCATATAATCTATATTATCAAAACATAATCCACATTATCTGCTTTTTTCGTGTCAGGAGCGACTTGAGAAACTGCAAGTTGCTTCTGGTGTAAGAGAATTGGCTGTCTGCAAGGACATTGCCCAGGGAACACCAGGATGTTTTACCATCCTTTTGTGGGAGGCTTCTCTCATGTCCCTGCATGACAGAGGGAGGTCATCTGCGCTCTTCCCAGATTTGAGCCTGTGACCTGTCGGTCTTCAGTCCTGCCGGCACGTGGATTTATTTGCTTTGAACTGGGTCCCTGTTCACTGCCAAATCTGGGTCCCCTGGTGGCGCAGAGGGTTAAACTGCTGAGCCATTGAAATTGCTGACCAAAAGGTTGGCGGTTCGAATCCGAGGAGCGGAGTGAGCTCCCGCTGTTAGGCCCAGCTTCTGCCAACCTAGCAAAACATGCAAATGTGAGTAGATCAATATGTACCACTTCTGTCGGAAGGTAACAGCACTCCATGCAGTTATGCTGGTCACTCACACCAGTCACTTCAAGGATGCCATCCATCCATCTTGCCCTTGGTCAACCCCTCTTCCTTTTTCCTTCCATTTTCCCAAGCATCATTGTCTTCTCTAAGCTTTCCTGTCTTCTCATGATGTGGCCAAAGTATTATATAGTTATGCATAATACTAATATTGTGCTGGGCGACTTGGAATGCGCTGTACAGACTGCGCTCTGGCACCACGAGATGCAGAGCCAACTTTAAGAAATGGGGCTACAAAGTGGAATCCACGACATACGAGTGTGGAGAAGAGCAAACTACAGACCACCTGCTGCAATGCAACCTGAGCCCTGCCACATGCACAATGGAGGACCTTCTTGCGGCAACACCAAAGGCACTCCAAGTGGCCAGATACTGGTCAAAGGACATTTAATCAACTACCAAGCTTGCAAATTCTGTGTTTTGTCTGTTTGTCTGTTTGTTTTTGTTAAAAATGTAATACAAATGTCTGGTTGCTGATGACACGATAAATAAAATATTGTGCTGTGGTAATAATATGTCATAAATAAATAAATAAATAAAATGGGGCCCCGGTCGCACAGTGGGTTAAACTGCTGAGCTGCTCAGGTTGTTGACCGAAAGGTCACAGGTTTGAATCCGAGGAGCGACATGAGCTTCCACTGTCAGCCCCAGCTTCTGCCAATCTAGCAGTTCGAAAACATGCAAATGTGAGTAGATCAATAGGTACTGCTCCGGTGGGAAGGTAACGGCGATCCATGCAGTCATGCAGACCACACGACTTTGGAGGTGTCTATGGACAACGCCGGATCTTTGGCTTAGAAATTGAGATGAGCACCAACCCCCAAAGTCGAACACAACTAGACTTAATGTCAGGGGAAAACCTTTACCTTTACCTATAATAAAAACAGTTTAGTACCATTTAATATTTATTTTATTCCTAGTTGTTGTCGTGGTTAATTTTTGTATAGGCGTTCAATGTTGTTTATATGTATTGTTGTTGTGCTTTTACCTTTACTTTTACACTGCCAAATAATCCAGTCCAAAGCAGATAATCTGGATTTTCTACGTCAGTGTAGAAGGGGTGTTCAGGGCCTTCCACACAGCCATATAACCCAGAAGATCAAGGCAGAAAATCCCACAATATCTGCTTTGGGCGTTATCTGAGTCCACGCTGCCATATATTCCAGTTCAAAACAGAAAATGTGAGGTTTTATTCAGCTGTGTGGAAGGGGCCTTAGTGAAGATGAAGCAGGCAGATGCTGGGCCGTATATAGGAAGACGAGAGGGAAATTATCAATGGGTAGAGGACTGCAGAAAGTAGATTTAACACTGTTCACAATAACCCCCAAAATAAAGCTCTGGGCTCAATCAGAGAAGGCAAGAAGCAGCCATTGTTGTTTGTACTACTTAGGAAAGCCGCTAGAGGACAGCGATGGCTCATGAGAAATTATCCTGCTAAGCTTTTACTAGAATAGTCTCCAGCATCACATTGAATTGTTGAGTCCCTGGAATCTCCACATCTAGGACTGCATGCTATAAAACTGGCATGGCCAAACTTTGACCCTCCTCCTGGGATTTTGGACTCCAACTCCCACCATTCCTAACAGCCTCAGGCCCCTTCCTTTCCCCCCTCAGCCGCTTAAGCGGCTGAGAGGGGAAAGGAAAGGGCCTGAGGCTGTTAGGAATGGTGGGAGTTGGAGTCCAAAATCCCAGGAGGAGGCTAAGACATGGCTATATTTAAACAAGCCAATGCTAGTCAAAGAAGACATTTACTTGATACATTTGAGGAAAGAGGTTGTACTCTTGCAAACCTAAGGCTACAATGTTCCACTTGCCTCATTGATACCACAAGACTGTCATTGTAAAGTAGTGCACATTTTAAGTGAATTATTGCCTGTAAAACATAGTAATAGCCTAGTGCTTTCTTTCCTGCACGAAACCGAGTCTTTTGTTAGATTCCCAAGAGCGTATAAGACAGCCTTCCCCGATACCAGCAAAACAACGCAAGAACAAAACCCAAGATGCATGTCTCTTATCCACTGCACTGTGTCCAAAATGTAAAATCTTTAATCTTCCTCCCAGTAAGAAAAAGTGGGACCCAGAAGTCTTGGATTTCAGGAAGTGTTCTCAATCAGGCATCTCCAAGGAGACCATCCTCCCCAAAAAGCAGAAATAATACATCTATATATATAAATCTGTAGGGGGCGTCGTACGGCGTCGCATAACTCCACAACCCCCCAACGGAACTGAACCAAAATTCCCATGCCCCTAGGACAACCCACTCGCTACAAACTAATCTACTCCAAAGTAAAGAAAACACAACTGCAACGACGAAAACACCACAAAACAACTGAACATGCGCACTGGCGCAAACTCCCCGGCACGCGCGCACCCGCCGCCCCTCGCCCCCCCCCGGCGGCACACACGCGCGCGCGGCGGAAACTCCCCGCCACGCGCCCCCCCCCCCCCCCCCCCCCCCCCCCGCGGCACACGCGCGCGCGTCGGAAACTCCCCGCCACGCGCGCACCCGCCGCCCCTGCCCCCCCCTCCCCCGCGGAATTACCGTTGAAAGGGACAGTCCAGAAGACATCAGAGAAGAAGGGAAAGAGAAGGAATGAAGGAGCCACAGGGGGAAGGAAGGAGAAAAGGACATAAAATTAAAGGTAACAGAAGGAAGGAGAGAAAGACAGAGGGAGGGAGGGAGGGAAGGAAGGAAGGAAGGAAGGAAGGAAAGAGGGAACGAGGGAAAGGCCGACGGCGGGCCAGGAGGGGCCCGGCTCCGCCTCTGCCGCCTCCTCCTCGCCAGGGGGATCCAAGACAGAGAGAGTAGGAAGGAAGGAAGGAGAAGGAGGAGGAGAAGGAAGGAAGGAAAGAAGGAAAGACAGAAGACATAAAGGAAGGAAGGAAACAAAAAAGGAAGGAAGGGAAGCAGAAAGGGAAGACTGAAATGGGCCACAGCAACGCGTGGCAGGGTACAGCTAGTGCTTATATAAAAAGCAGGCGGTTGCTTTAGGTTTTTCCTTTCACGGCCAGCCCCTCCATCCCAATGTACATTCATTTCCCAATAATTTATGATTAAATAGCTTATTTCTCCAGGACCCCTCAGCTTGAAAAATTGCAGACCACCAGTTTCCCTCAAGCCAAGTTGCTTTATTCTTTTATTCCTTGGAACCCAAGAGAAAATTCAGGACACACAGTTTCCCATGCATCTCAGGGCCCTTCCACACAGCCCTAAATTCCAGAATATCAAGTCAGAAAATCCCACGATATCTGCTTTGAACTGGATTATCTGAGTCCACACTGCCATATATTTCAGTTCAAAACAGGTATTGTGGAATTTTATTCAGCTGTGTGGGTCTAACACAGATGCAGCTGGGTTGCTGTTAGTTTTCCGGGCTATATGGCCACGTTCCAGAAACATTTTCTCCTGATATTTTGCCTGCATCTATGTCTGGCATCCTCAGAGGTTGTGAGGTCTGTTGGGAACTAGGGAAGTGAGGGTTATATATCTGTGGAATGTCCAGTGTGGGAGAAAGAACTCTTGTCTGTTTGGGGCAAGTGTGAATGCTGCAATTGGCCACCTTGATTAGCATTGATTAGCCTTTCGGTTTCAAGGTAAAGCCCACTTGTATACCATGTTTCCCTGAAAATAAGAACTGTGGCATAGACACCGAGAATTGGGAAGCCCTGGCCCTTGAGCGTTCTAACTGGAGGTCAGCTGTGACCAGCAGTGCTGCAGAATTTGAGGAGGCCCGAATGGAGGGCGAAAGGGAGACACATGCCAAGAGGAAGGCGCATCAAGCCAACCTTGACCGGGACCGCCTTCCACCTGGAAACTGATGTTCTCACTGAGGGAGAAATTTCAAGTGACCCTCCCTTGCCTTCCGCTTATTGCTTGCAATGGACAGCACCTTTTCACCAAGGAATGAGTAACTGAATAGGGCTCCACAACCACCTACGAACTCACTTGGAGGACCATCATCCTTGGGCTACGAGGGATTGCCTAAGGAAGTCTGAAAGTGCAATATCTGAATTGACCACTTGGGGGAGCCAGAAAGCATTTTCTTGTATTTCTCAGTGACAGTGTAGTACTATGTTTCCCTAAAAATAAGATGCAGTCTTATATTTATTTTTCCTCCAGAGGACACACTATGGCTTATTTTCAGGGGATGAATTATTTTTATGAAGTATGGTACAATAATCTGCATTTATGGGATGATCTCTCTGGGCCCAGAAGCAGACTGCTTGCTGAAGCTTTTCCCCTATCCCCTGGTATTTATGTGGGGTGAGAGAGACCCATAGACTATTGCTGGTCAGTGCTAGGGAGCAGCAGCTTTACTCGTGTTTGGGGGGGGGGGGAGAGACCCATAGGCTGTTGCTGGTTGGTGCTGAGGGAGAGAGACCCACAGTGCTGAGTTTGGAGTAGTTGTTCTACTCCGAACTCAAGAACGGAAAATGGAATGTTGCTGGGCAGGAGAAGAGATTTAAAGATGGCTGAAAGCCAACCTTAAAAACTCTGGTATAGACACTGAGAGCTGGAAAGCCCTGGCCCTTGAGTGCTCCAGCTGGAGATCAGCTGTGACCAACAGTGCTGTAGAATTAGAAGAGGCACAAATGGAGGGCAAAAGAGAGAAATGTGCCAAGAGGAAGACACGTCAAGCCAACCTCGACCAGGACCGCCTTCTACTGGAAATCAATGCCCTCACTGTGGGAGAACATGCAGATCAAGAATAGAGCACCACAGTCACCTATGGACCCACCGCCAGTACACCAATCTTGGAAGACAATCCTACTCAGATAATGAGGGATTCCCTAAGTAAGTAAGTAAGGCAGCCACAGCTTTACTTCTTCCCCCTGAGGACACACAATACCTAAAGCAGACTGTCCTGTTTCTCACTTCACTGAGGAGACTTTTACTTGCATGTTCTATGTTTCCATCTACGCCTCAGCTTGCAGCATGCACAGAATGACCAAGACCTGACATGCCCATCACTATGTCTTATTTTCAGGATATGGCTTGTATTGCGCAAATGCTCAGAAATCCTGCTATGGCTTATTTTATGGGTATGTCTTATTTTCAGAGAAACAGGGTCATTTCTAACAAACCTCACAACCTCTGAGGATGCCTGCCATAGATGTAGGTGAAACATTAGGAGAAAATTCTTCTGGAACATGGTCATACAGCCTGGAAAACTCACAGCAACCCAGTAATTCCGGCCATGAAAACCTTCGACAACACAGATGCAGCTGAGAGCAGTTGAGTAACTTCAGTAAGGACTGTTTCTCTTGCTTCTTGAATATTCATGAAGACGTCTAGCAAGAGACCCACAGTATTCTCCTAAGGGTTAGCAGGTTAACCCATGGTTCAAAAAACAGCTCCACCAAACAGAAAACATTCCCCGTCATTGCAGCAACTTCTCCGCATATGGTTTTCTGCTACATAAAGAAATTGTGGGGTTAGAAGAGTTGGCCCAAGTTTCTGTTCCAAACACCCACCATGCAATTAGTTTTTAGAACGATTCTTACTTTCAAGTGCCTTAATCTGGACTTTACCCTTCCGTAATCCTATACCACTCGTGTTCACAGTTGCTATGTATAGATCAGCCATTTTAATAGCAAAGGCTTCCCTTTTCCAGTGTTATCCACAAGGTTTTCCTATGAAGAGGCGTCTTAGTCCACAAAACCTGTTTGAAGCGTGGCAGTTTGTTTTGTTTCCCTCTTCAGCTGGAGGAAGAAGCTGAGCTCAGCTATAGCCAGGAGTGCTTCACCTGACCCTCTCATTCCTTCCCCATTACTCTGGCTGACATATTAGACCAGATCAGCCGTTGACGGTCACTCATCCTTTTCCACTTTGATCTCCACAAAAGAGCTGAGGTCAGGGCAGAAGCTTTTGTGGCTGGGAGGGTGAGGGGATGTGCCAGCCTTAGACTCGTCCTCTTGGAAATGGGGATTATAGAGATGCTGGGGAAGGAGCTGGACTTCCGCAGAGGGCAGGCGATCAGAGGGCGTCCCATACACCCGGTTCGCTTTGGTCCCGTGCTTTGAGTTGGCGTCCAGTCTGTAGCAGAGGCGAGTGAGGGGTGCCGCACGGAACCGTGGGGGCCGTGCTACCCACACGCCTGGCTCGCTCATGCTGTCTTCTTCGTCCGACATGAGCTCCTCGGTTACACTTTGCCACATACACTGGTCTTCGGGGCTAAGCAGGCGTGCCATCCCTGAACGATTTGCAAAAAGCTATTTGATAAGATGAAAGAGGAAGTTCGTTAATTATATTAAAGAATATCGTTTTTGCCTTCAGCCTTGCAATTGCTCACCCCATTAATCCTCACTTTGTCCTTTCAACAGCTCCTCTATCATGCCGTGTCATTTTCTCCCCTACTAATCCTGGAGGACAGCAGAACCTTGTCCTTACTCAGGCCAGGAGAACTTACCATCTCGGGAGTGATTCTAAGGTTTCTATATGACAGAAATATTTAAAAAATAACTACCCATATATCACGGAATATAAGACGACTGGGCTTATAAGACGACCTCCAACTTTTCCAGTTAAAATATAGTGTTTGGGATATACTTGCCGTATAAGACTACCCCTCTTACAACACACACCAAATATTTTTTTTTAAAGCATCAGATTTGATTTCAATATGGTAATTTTCCTATTACCGTACCTCCTTCTCTGCCTCTCAGATCTCGCACATGCGCACCTGCACCACTTCACTGCAGTCTTCAGGAGTGAGATCTGAGAGGCAGAGGAGGAGGTACAGTAATAGGATACAAGGGCGGGCCAGACAGGTAAAAGAGTTATGTTTTTGTGGGCCCAGAGCCACTCTATCTCTTTTTTCTATACTCCGGGCACCCTGGATGCCTGCAGCTTGCTCCGCCCTTCACTTACACCTTCCCGGTGAGGCGCCCCTTCACCTCACCATCGGGACCGCATTAAGTCCACAAATCCTGATGAATGGATTTTCTTTTACCGTACTTGTACAGCGTCACCCTTAATGCTTTATTATTATTATTATTATTATTATTATTATTATTATTATTATTATTATCTTTATTTATACCCTGCAAAATCTCCCGAAGGACTTGATGCGGCTTACAAAGGCCAAGGCCGCCGACAACAACAACATAGAATACCCAGTAAAACGGCATACGGCAGGGATGTGGCCACTGCCATGTTTGAGCTCCCCTCACAATTTGCAGCAACCACAGATTCTCCAATGTGAGACCCTGAGCGAGGGCTGGGTAAATGACCTTTGAGGGCCATATCCGCCCCCAGGATCTTAGCTTGAGGACCCCTGGATTAAATAAATGCAATGACTCTGCAAAAGCTGCAGTTCTATATAAGCAGGTGTGCCTGTAGCTTGGTAGCGTCAGTCTGAGATAAACCTCAGTGGGAGAATAGGTCTCAGTGGTAGTAGGCCTCACTGTGGGAGAAAGGCCTCAGAGTGCGAGGTAGGCCTCGTTATGAGAAAGCCTAGTGTGTGAAGCTCCAGTTTGACAGTTGAACTTTATTTGTGTCATGGAAATGTAATAATGTAATAACAGTAATAACAGTAATAATAGAGTAAAATATATGTAATAATAATAATATAGTAAAATAGTGGAAATGTAGTAACAGTAATAATAGAGTAAAATATATGTAATAATGATAGAGAAAAATAGTGGAAATGTAATAATAACAGTAATAAAGGAGTAAAATATATGTAATAATAATAATAGAGTAAAATAGTGGAAATGTAATAATAACAGTAATAATAGAGTAAAATATATGTAATAATAATAATAGAGTTAAATAGTGGAAATGTAATAATAACAGTAATAATAGAGTAAAATATGTGTAATAATAATAATAGAGTAAAATTATAAATATAATAAAAATAATAATAATAACAGAGTAAAACAATAAATAACCTTGATTTGACTATAAGCCGAGGGAGACTTTTTCAGCCTTAATAAAGGGGCTGAAAATCTAGGCTTATACTCAAGTATATTCAGTACTCTGCTGTACATTTATGAGAGGGTCTTTCGTTAATAAGCCCACTCACCCAACACTATAAACATTTGCATCTCATCATATTTTCAAAACCAGAGCCTGCCGCATGCGTCTGTGTAAACAGGCTAGCATTTGATGGGTCAGCTCAGAAATTGGTTTTGCAGCAGAAAACAAGCACATACTCCACAAACAGCAGTTTATAATGCAAACGTTTCTTGGCAGCTGAGCCCTGATGGCTCATTTGCTCAAACTGCTCCCGCTCCCCGAACCTCGGTCTCTGCCCCCCTTCGTGAAAGAGGATCCCCACTGCTTTTGCAGGGAGGTCTGAAAGAGTAAGGCTCCAGCCTGAGACAGATTTCATTTTTCTTCCCTTTTAAAGGAAGACTAGCAGTGCTTTGATAAATGAGATTGCAAAACAAGTGGGATGCAGACATAATGATCTGGTTTCCTGTTATTACATGGTTTTCTTTCTTTTCTTTTCTTGATTTTTTTGCAGAGAACCCTCCTAAATTCAGTGGTCTTTACTTTCATGCTTATATGCATAGCATACAGTCGCTAAGTAGAAAGCTAATTAGATTTAGCGGTTTTTTGTGGGTTTTTTTTATCAGATGTCATCTTTTTCATTAACAGCCTCTTGTTCCCATCGCATTTTCTGCCCTACATTGCAATCTTATTCCTATTTACTCAGAAGTCAGCTCCGTTTTGTCCAGCCGGACTTCTACATCTTAATGAGATTGTACCCTTTTAATATGAGCGTTTCCTGATTAAGGATTATGCCTGTTAAGCCAGCCATAAAACATGCTTAAGATTTTTGTACTGTCATCACTACTTTCATTTATGGACTTTCCATGAAGCAAGTTATGACAGTCTTTGGCATGCACCATCCAGAGGTGATTGGGTTCATTTTCTAACAAAAATTTACAATATGTAAATTTTTGTTTATAATTAAACAAATTATTCACAATTAAAACCTTTAGTTAGAAAAAATGAGTAAATCTATCTATCTACGGTATCTATCTATCTAAAAACATAATTTTTTTTAAATGAGAAACTGCAAGTCACGTCTGGTGTGAGAGAATTGGCCATCTGCAAGTTTGAATGTATGTTAGTTCACTATTATGGGAGTCTTAGGATAGTGATTATTGTTTATTTGTGTACGTTTCTGTTTTTGTTTTTTAATGTTGATACGGTCAGTGGACTAATCAATAAACTTTGCTTTGCTTTGCCATCGGCAAGGATGTTGCCCAGAGGACACCCTATGTTTTGATGTTTTTTTCCCATCCTTGTGGGAGGCTTCTCTCATGTCTCTGCATAGGGAGCTGGAGCTAACAGAGGGACCTCATCCATGCTCTCCCCAGATTTGAACCTGCATCCTGTTGGTCTTCAGTCCTGCTGGCACAAGGGTTTAACCCACTGCGCCACTGGAGGCTCCCATGACAAAAGTGAAAGTGTGTATGTGTGTATGTGGTGGAGGTGTCCACTTGCACAGACAGGCTCCTGCCTCCACAAACAGCTTTAACCCATAGTGCTGAGGAGCCACCAAAAGCACTCCCTCCAATGGCATTGCAGGTTATAGTGAACGCTATGAACTTGTAGGCCAAACCCTGCCAATGTCCTCCACCAACAACATACTGCTCACCACCTAAGTGAAGGCTTTCATACAGGGAAATTTCCTCCTAGATATTATGTTTTTCCTCCAGAATGGAAATCCCAGGGTTCCTTACTCTCTCCATTGCTGTGGAATTTGTATGACCCCGCCCACTGCCCCTCCCTTAACCCTTTCCTATGGCAAACAGCAAACAGAGGAATTGATCTGCAACTGAACAAGAAATTTTTGGACAATTCACCATGATTTATAGGAGTTGTAGTTCACCTACATGCAGAGAGCACTGAACCCAGCCGATGATGGACCTGGACCAAACTTGGCACACAGACCCAACATGGCCAGTTTTGAATACTGGTGGGGTTTGGGGTGAATGACCCATGTTTTTGGGAACCGTGGTTCACCCACATCCTTATGCATTTTCAAAGGGAGCACTGATAAAAAACCACAGGAAAAACTGACTTTTTTCTAAGAAATAGACCTACAAATCACCAAACTGATATTACCTAACATCCAAAAACAAACAATGCCTTTTCAAATAACCCGGGCACCGCTGGGTCCCCAAATTAGTATGAAATAAAACTATTTTAGTTAGAATATATTCTCCTGAATTATATTATCATGAACAACAGTTTCAAGGATATTGTCATGTTAGTTTGTTTCAGTATAAAAGGGAAATGGGCCTGGAGTCTGTGCAAGCTTATGCTTCATCTGTCAGTTAGACTCCTTTCTCACAACACAATTTTAGGGCTTTTACTCCACTTTGTGCTCTTACTTAGTACCATTGTTTCATAGTTTACCAATCCAACAATTCAACAGGATAAATCCATGGCTGACAAAATGAAATCGCAGTGCGATACCTGGGCAGTGGGAACAGGTCTTTAGTCTCACAGGTGCTGCAAAATTCATTCCTCATGACTTGTTTATTACTCCAAAGATCAAAGATATTCAAGTGATCAGGTTGTAATACTGAACAGAAGCTTGCACCTATTAATTTGGAGGTAAGCCTCACTAAATTCAATGGTTTGGATCTGGACCCAGTAAAATTTAAGAGTAGTTTCCTGAAATAAATGGGTCTTAACGCAGTTTTGTAGCACAGTGGGTTAAACCGGTAGTCTATAAAACTTGCTGACCAGAAGGTCAGTGGTTCGACTCCGTGGGACGGGGTGAGCTCCCGCTGTTAGTCCCAGCTTCAACCAACCTTGCAGTTCGAAAACATGCAAAGGTGAGTAGATCCGGTGGGAAGGTAACGGCCATGTAGTCATACTGGCCACATGACCTTGGAGGCGTCTACGGACAACGCTGGCTCTTTGGCTTAGAAATGGAGATGAGCACCACTGATGCCGAATCAGTCCCAGACCCCTGCTTTCCAGCTGATCTGACCAGCTGCAGGGAGTTCCGCAATTCCTGAATGCCCTGTTGGGCCAACTCTGATGAAATGTGCCCCAGCAGCAGCCTCAACCAGGGACTCTTTGCAACCTTGAGCTCTCTCCTTTTGCTTTTCTCCCCAGCCCAAACATTGTAACAAAACCCCCAATAAAGACTAACTGAATTGTAACCTTCACTTCTCCATAGTGAAACATTGCGTCTATTTCCTGACTCACAAGTATCAAATGCATGAACTTACCCTTCTCTGGGCCGCGGGCAACCACCGGCCCGCCTGGGATGCCTTCCAGGTGTCCCAGGGAGGCCTAAAATGCGTTTCTTTAAATCGCGGATACAGAAACGCCTCGGGCCCCCGTATCTGCGAGTTAACTAAACGACTCCATTTGGGTGCCATATTTTTCCTGGCTCAATTCTAACACTATCTGCTATCTCGCTTTTTGCATTTCAGGCTCCTGCGCTCTGGGAATAACCTTTTTATTTTTGAGAATATATTTAAAAGAGAAACAGCTGATTGTCAATCATAGAATCATAGAATCAAAGAGTTGGAAGAGACCTCATGGGCCATTCAGTCCAACCCCCTGCCAAGAAGCAGGAATATTGCATTCAAATCACCCCTGACAGATGGCCATCCAGCCTCTGTTTAAAAGCTTAAACTGAGCTTTCTGCTGCTGTGCTGCTCCCGCCGTTGCTATTTCATCCTTCTGGAGCCCCAGGACCCGGGGAGCTCCAGAAGCATCCCTTGAGACCTTCGGTAAGTGGATCTGCCACCTGGTTCCAGCCCTTGGAGGGAATTACAGTTCTCTAAGGACCAAAGGAAAAGCTTCATCCCCAGTGAATGCAGAGCTCCATATCTTGGCTCAGTGGAATCGCTAAGCCTCTCCTTATGATTTTTTTGAAACTTTTTGCCCCACATCAAGGACTTTCCTCCCTTTTATGGACATACTTTCATCTATGAACTTGCCTATAATGAACTATGGACATATATTGAGCCTCCACTTCACCACTCCCCAGAGTCGGACTTGACTAGACTCAATGTCAATATTCCTGCTTCTTGGCAAGGGGTTGGACTGGATGGCCCATGAGGTCTCTTCCAATTCTATGATTCTATGATTCAAGGGGAAACCTTTACCTTTAAATGCAGTTTAACTACCTTAAGTATGATTGATTTCAATTACCTCACCACTAAACATGACTACTGATCCAGCCCCATGGGATTAATGCCAAAGTCCTATTCCAGACTTAAAGTATAAGTTCCATTTAGCTTAATAGTATTTAATTTTGAGTAAACAAGGTTAAAATCTAAGAGTAATTCTCAGCTGTCCCATCTACATATAAAATCCAGATTATCGTCTTTGAACTGGGCTATATGGCAGTGTAGAAGGGGGCTTAGATGTTTTAGAGTTTACTTCCCAAAAGCCAACAGGGACAAGGATTCTGGGAGCCAAAGTCTAAAATATCTGGAGGGTCAAAGAACTACTGAGGCTGGATCCACACTGCCATATATCCCAAGATCTGATCACAGGCCCCTTCTACACTGTCCTTATATCCTAGGATCTGATCCCAGATTGTCTGATTATCTTAAATTATATGGCAATGGAGACTCATATAATACAGTTCAAATCAGATAATAGGATCAGATCCTGGGATATAGAACAGTGTAGATCTAGTCACAGATTATTTGCTTTGAACTTAATTATATGAGTCTTCACTGCCAGATAATCTGAGATAAGAAGATAATCTGGGATCAGATCCTGGGATATAAGGGTAGTGTAGATCCAACCTGAGTTAGCCACAGAAGCGCAATGAGACTGCATCTAGTTTGAAGAGGAGTGCTTAGAACCAGGTTCAAATTAGTGTGAGTATGTGTGGTTCAGATTAGTCCAAATAAATATAGTTAAAATTAGAAGTCAAATACTATGAAATTCACAGCTGAGTAGTCAATTCTGTGTGTATTAATTAGAATACCCAAGTTATTTAATATCTTAGCTGCTTTTAAATTAGATTTGGTATAAAGACGATGATGGAGTACATTTGTGGCGCTTTGCTTTAATTTAATTTCATGACATTTGTAATTTCAGCAGCCACTGTTTGACAGAGGCATAGCCTCTTGTAAGCAAACATATTACATTCCGGTTACTCCTCCATCTAATGAAGAGCATGTTGTTTCTTTATATGTCTGAGTGAGAAAACAGATGCAATTTCCTCTTCCCCATCAGTGTGATTTTAAAAGCATTTTATTTGTTTCCAAATGTCCTGCAATAAAACCGATGGCGGAATGTGACCAACAAAAAGAAAAAAGAAAAGCTTTTCTGCAGATTCGGTACCACTGTGGTAATAAACACGGAGAAGTACGCTTCGGGATTGTTAAGTTGTGTCTTACCCGATAACGCCTGCTGCGGAGTTTCTTCTCCTCCTTCTCCTTGAGCCCTTTGAAAGGGTTGAGAGAATTGCGATATTCCCGTCGCTTGGTCAGAAAGTAGGCTACACAAGCACCTAATGGAACACAAAGTGGAAATGGCAGTGATCACAAGCATTGGGGGGAAAACCCTAAAGGAATGATCAGAGGATAAGACATTTGTCCATATAGGAGCAACCAATATTTATGGTTCCACAGAAAGTATTAAGAGAGATGGTTCTTTTCAAAGCTAGAGACATCTCCACTCTCAATGTTATTTTTCTCCTTGGGAAACGTTAGAAATAGCAACCTTCTCAAGCCTCCACTAGTTAATTATTATGTACTAGCTGTCCCCTGCCACATGTTGCTGTGGCCCAGTCTGTTGATATGGAAAATAATGAGAAAGTGTTGGTTTCTTCAGGGGTCCCTTTCAAATCTGTGATACTATATTTGTGTGTGTGAATCATATCTATGGCTGGATGGCTCTTTGTCAGGAGGGCTTTGATTATGTTTTCTTGCCCTGGTGAAGGGAGTTGGACTGGATGACCTTAAGTATGGGGGTTCTGTGTAGGAAGTTGCCCCAGTTCTGTCGTTGGTGGAGTTCAGAACACGCTTTGATTGTAGGTGAACTATAAATCCCAGTAACTACAACTCCCAAATTTCAAGGTCTATTTTCCCCAAACTCCATCTGTGTTCATGTCTGGGCATATGGAATATTCGTGCCAAGTGTGGTCCAGATCCATCATTGTTTGAGTCCACGGTGGTCTCTGGATGTAGGTGAACTACAACTCCCAAACTCAAGGTCAATGCTTACCAAACTCTTCTAGTGTTTTCTATTGGTCATGGGAGTCCTGTATGCCCCGGTTGGTTCAATTATTATGTTTTGAGGGAGAGTAGATGTTTTGGGGCAACTAAAAAGGAACACTACTGAAATTCTGCTATATACATATATGTGTGTTTTTGTGCATTGACATGTCTTTGTCCCTAACAGTTCAAAGACATACATCGGTTCATTGGTTTAACAGCTGAGAGGCCTAGTTGCCTTGCATGAATTCCATTTTCCCAAAAGGTTATGACTCTTAACAGGTCATGCTTTTACCAAGAGGTTTTGTTTTTTTGTCATGTCAGGAGCGACTTGAAAAACTGCAAGTCGCTTCTGGTGTGAGAGAATTGGCCATCTGCAAGGACGTTGCCCAGGGGATGCCTGGATGATTTTTCATGTTTTTATCGTCCTTGTGGGAGGCTTCTCTCATGTCCCTATATGAGGAGTTGGAGCTGATAGAGGGAGCTCATCCACCTCTCTCCAGATTCGAACCTGCGACCTGTCGGTCTTCAGTCCTGCCGGCACAGGGGTTTAACCCACTGCGCCACCAGGGGCTCCTACCAAGAGGTTATGACATCATTTTCAAAAGGGTTATGACTTCTAAAAAGGTCATACCTTTCCAAGGATCATAACATCTCCAAAAGGTTATGGAGATTTCAATTTTCCAAAAGGAAAATTTAAAGTTGCCTTTATAAGAAAAGAAAACAATGGTCGGGGATGTTCTATGTTTTAGATCTATCTCAGAAATGACATACGCCAAGAAAGCATATTTATTCCCCTCTCCTTTACCTTTTAGTTCTTTGTCGGTATAATTATGCTGATTTGATACCAATTCCTGCTTCAGTTTTTCTAGCAAGAATTTCACGACAGAGATATTCCATGAAGATTTGATGCTACAAGAGGAGAAACAAAAGAACAGCTGTCAGTACCAGGCGTATCCTGGAAATGTCACCTTCTCGCCCACAAAATTTCTGATGGATTAAACTAAAAAATGCAAAGACAGCACACCAGATTTCCCAATTTTACATAACAAAACAGCAGAATCCAATCACACATGGTTACCAGATGCAATTCCTACTGGTTAAAATAGAATTTATTTTGTTTCAGGTGCAATTACAGCATACATCCCTGTGCCTATTTACGGTATGTAGTAGCAGGCACCTCTGAACTCCCTCTGAGCACCTATAGCACCACAATTCCACTTTAACTGCTATGGCAACATCCTAAATAATTGTGGGATTTCAAGTGTAATGACGGACATTTAGAATTCTCAACCAGAAGCTCCAGTCTCTCACCAAAACGCATGCAGCTCTCCACTTTAATGAGTTTCACACAGTTTTGGTTATTTGCAAGTGTGAAACACTGCCAAAGTTGGGGTTGCCACAGGAACTTCCACATGGCAGGCCCATCCTCACGAAGTGAGTGCAGGGATTGTTCAGGAAGACTGCATGTTACTGTTTTTTTGTTTTGCGCAGATCTTCCTTCCTTTCCCAGGCAAAACAGAGACTCGTGGCACACAGGAAAGAGGAGAAGCCAGCTCCACACTTCTTCATTTACCCCACAGACCCAACTCCCCTTCCTGGGTTCCACAAATCTCTTTTCCACCTGGACAAATGAAGAGGAGTATCAGGGAGAACAGCAACATGTGGTACATAGGAAGAGGAGTCAAATCTTCCAGTTATTAAGTAGGCGAAGTAGAGGCTGGTTCCTCCGCTTCATCCTGCCTGCCACGATTCTCTGTTCTGTCCAGCGTCTTCTTTTCTTTCCCAGGCAGAACAGAGACTTGCATACACAGGCAAGAAGAATCGGCCTTGGACCACTTACTCTGTGGATCGAGCTCCTCTTCCTCTTCCTTCATTCTGCAAATCTCTGTTCCACCCAGGCAAAGGGAGAGGCATACCAGGGGAACAGGAACACATGGTAAAGAGGAAAGGTGCACTGTGCTTTAACTGCTCAAACAGAAGACAGGGCGCTTCCAGACAGTGCCATAATAGGGTCAAAGAAGTGGGGCAAAAAATCACGGGACCTGACAGCTATTACAAACACAGAGCTGTCAGTCCCGGTAAATCCTCCCCCATTGCTCTGACACCTTCACTTATAGCAGATTTTAGATATCTGCAAGATGGACAGGGAACATCTGACAAAAAATTACTTTAATTTTTGTTTAATTGACTCTCCAAGATGCGCTGGCTCTCATACGCTGATGTGGATATCTAAATGTGTACACAAGCAGATTTCTTATTATTTCTTCTCACCCTACTGTAAATTCAAGCTCTTTAATTTCATAAAGATCAGAACAAAGGTATTGTTGCAGAGTTCTCATTGTAATTGCTTTCCAATTGTCCTTTCATTTAGCCACCTGTATGTCCGTGACTCCATTTGTTTACAGCCTTCATCAGCTGTTTCGGGATTTTAAAATGCAGACATGCACTGGAGTAGTCCACACAATTGTATAGGAACAAAGTTAAGTGTTTTCCTTAATGGCAGGAATATACAGTCATACAAATATGCACATTTTTCAGCTGAAATCGGGTTTTAAGTACATCTTTTTAACACGTGTTTTTTAGCTGTTTTAGCACATATTTTCCTCAAACGTCATTTAGCCACTGCTCCCCCTCCTTTATCCTAGTTTCTTCCGCATTTTAGGGCCTGTGTAGAAGGGCCCACAGTTTTGAACCATGCATCTTCGCCCATGAAGATGTCATGCCTGTTCTCCTTTCTGTACCACTGCTGGAAAATGTGAGAAAAGTGTTCCATATCTAATCAAATAATCTGGACCAAAACTCACCTCTCAGAGCCATCAAATCTCTTGTCATTAGTGACATGGTTGTGGACATTATGAACCAGTTTCTGAGAGAGGAAACAGAAAAATGAGAGAAAAGAGAAATGACCCTTCGCATTAACTTCCACAACCCCCAAGCTATTAAAACGAAGCAACCCTGTCTCTTAAAAGTTCATTAAAAGCAGCCTGGAGTGCCTGAACTGCTGGGTCTGTGCCAAAGTCCTTGCAAGACACAAGTTCTTGTACCAGTAAGCTACGTAAGGCAACTCACTGAAAGGACTAAATCCCTCTTGCGCCTCGCGTTCTTCTGTCCACTACTTCGGCTTCTAGAAGGAAGACTTGCAAAGCCCAAAGAGAAACGTGGCTCCCCGTGCATGGAGTCCTCCAAGGTAGTGCTGTTAGGGGAGACCTCCGCGTAAGAGAGAGAATCATCTAGTGATTGTAGAGCTGACTGGTGAGGGGTTGGCGAGGAGGGTGTAGCGTAGACCCGTTGGATGGAGGCATCTCCTACGGGAGAGTCTTCTGCTACCTGAGAAGGAGACAAAGGCTTGACAATCTCCTTCCACACCATAGATTCCATGGAAGCTAAACCACCTCTGAGTATTCACGGCCTAAGGAAGCCTTATGAAACTCATGAGGTTGCCACAGACAACTTGAAGGCACACACACATTTCTGTAGCTCAGGACTTTATACACTAGCTCTAACCATAATCGTATAATTTTTAAGCACATGCCATCATTGTTGTCACTCATTTGGCATTTTTGTGAGACCTCCCTCCAATTCGCAATATCGGTACTGCAGTGAAGAAAACTATCACACAAGAAATAATGACAGGACAACAGCGATATTGGATTCATGTGCAGTTTTCCCCCAGCAATTAAAAGCGAGAATCCAATCATGATCCAAGCGCAATGCAACTACAGCACAGACACTACATCTTGTGACAAGCCAGTGGTTCTCAACCTGTGGGTCCCCAGATGCTTTGGCCTTCAAATCCTAACAGCTGGTAAACTGGCTGGGATTTCTGGGAGTTGTAGAGGTTGAGATCCACTGCCTTAACCAAAAGCGCTTTTATCTTGCCACTACTGCGGTTGATTAGCCTTGTGTGATAAAGGCCTCATTCTCAATTTGGATCCGTTGATGGAGTTTTCCCATCAACAAAAAGAGACAATTCAATGCTCAGTCTTTATTTGGATCCAACAATGGTGTTTTCCCATCAATGAAGAGATAATCCAGTCACAATGCAAAGAGCAATGCAACTATGTTGTGTAATAAACCTCAATGTTGCTTTATCACCCTTGTGTGATAAAATCCTGTCTCCATCAGTAACCATGGAATCTTAAGACATAGATGTCTAACTTGGACTTCTAACTCATCCTTGCCCTATTGCTATTCCTTAAAGCCCCCCTAACCTTCCCAGGTAACTTTCACAAATGACTAATGGAGGAGATGGCTTTTTTCTTTTATGAAATTGATCTGCATTGCAAATGTGAAGCCTACAATAGCCAGGAGATACATTTGATGTTAAAGCCTCTTTTTTATCTCTCATTGACAAACTTCAGACTGGGCTCAATTTGCAGAAGTGGCTCAAAGGCAATTTTTAAGCCTCGCATCTGAACGCATTCTAGCACTACAGCGTTGCTAGAATTTCCTCCCAGTCACAACCTTGCCAAGGCCACTTAAATCACCATCCGCCGTTCCAGGCCTGAATCCCATACCAGCTTCGGTGTCATATATACAAATACACATATACTTTTAGCTCTTGCCATGCCCCCTCAACCCCAGGCCACAATAGCGGAGCGCGAGGTTGGCACGGCTCCCAGAATGCCTCTCTCCGGAGCTGGTCGTTGGCAGAGAACATGAGAGATACCATCAAATATTCATGATGCCATCTGCGCCTGACCGGAGGGACCTGGTGATTGTGTGTGTGTTTTTGCAGGGCGGGAGGGCAAACAACCCTTTTTTGTTTCAACCTACGCACCCCGGCAAGCCCTCCGGAACCAGTTCCCAGCTGCACCGGCGAGAAACCCAAGTGTCCTGGTGGTCCCGCTGCTGCACCCAACTGCCGCAGTTCTTCAATGACCACCTGGACGCCATTCCCAAAGCCTTCCGCCTCTTGTTCTTCCTCTTCTTCTCCTTCGGCATCTTCTTGATGCTCCTCAGGAACACACGCCGGGCTGGCTTTGACACTCGGGGGTGTCCCCCGGCGCAGGGCTCCAACGTCCTCCTCCAGGCGCTTCAGGGCTTCGTTGTTGGCCTTTGCCAAACTCAGTGCCACCTCCGCAAGGCTGGCAGCTTTCTCCACACGTTGGTAGATGATGTGGAGGAGCTGGTCCGGAGACTGCAGTGCTAGTCCAGTTCCCGTAACCGTGATGGGAGTACATGGTGGCGATGGAGGCGGCGGCAACTGCGGGGCACTTGTCTGAGCTGCTGGTTCTTGCTTGCAGGTGCAGCAGCAGCATTTGGCTTCCTTGGCGTTAGGAGGAGAAAACAAGATGGTGGCACTGAATGACATGGCAGCCCACTTCTTTAGGCATAGGGTTCAGGCATTTCTCAGTGAGACAAGTCCAGCTTATTTTGCATCTCACTCATACATAATGGCACTAAGAATGAATAAGAAACATGACATTAAGGAAAATCAGTTTAATTTTTTTACAGTACACTCCAGTTAACCACCATCCATGGGAATTGGTAGTGATGTCGAGCACCCCCCCCCCCAAAAAAAATAAAGGATAGTGACTTATAGTTCTGCAAAGGGCAAGGGCATCAGACTACACAACAAGGGTTAAGTCTTGGTCACATTGCCAAGGCATTGACAACAACAAGGACCTCACGAGGCTTTTGGGAAATGGCTGGATCTTGGGACTTCTGCTCTTTCTGAGAGTTGTAGTTTCCCAAGGACCAAAGTGTGAATCAGTTGCAGCACAGCTGGGGTTTCATCTGCCAGCCTTCCCAATTATCATGGACTCTCTGCCTGCATGTCTTGGACTTCAGTACATACTATCTCCCTCATGAACTTTCCTCAAAGACCTTTTAAAACATTGGACTTCAGGCTTCTTCCTGAAAATTAATCCTCTTATTAAATATACTTGGGATGTGGGACAAAGATGGGGTTTTGTTGCTATGAAATGCTTATGATTTGAATGTATGTATCTTGCTATGAAATATTGCCTGCCCCTTTGCCTTTCCCTTTCCCTTTGCCCTTTGCCCTAGAAAATTGCGACCAGAGATTGCTCACTCCCTGAGGGAGAGCCAAGCTCCCCCGAAACCAACCAAATCATCAAGCCTTTTGCATGGACAATAGCAAGCTGAAACTTCCTCTTGTTTGCTTTCTGAGTTTTGTCTGGCAGGCAAGAAAACTTCTCTGGACACTTTGATTGAACCTCAAAAGGACAAGGACGACCCCCGGGGTCCCCTGTCTGGGCTCTGTTTGTCTCTTTTTCCAAGGCCCATCAAGGACATTCCTTATCAGATCTGAAACAGGAAAACCTTTCTTAAAATAATTAAACTTTGCCGGCCAGCGATAATCCCATCATTTCCCCCATTGTCAGCAATCGTCCCGCCTCCTCTCTCCTGATTCGTCCATCTTCGGAAGTGAGAGGAACGCGCCCATTGGCTACTCAGAGGCGGAGAAGCTTGCTGATTGGCCCAAAGTGAGGCGGGCCGCCAAGCCTCCTCCCAGCTGTTCAGGCCAGCAGCCAATCAGCATGAGGCCGGGCGGGGAGGAGAGGGCGGGAAATTTGAATTGTTTCTCTGTATTTTGCCTATAAAAATGCCTGTAAATCTTGTATTGGTATGCTTGTAGTGGAACCATTCCTGCAATGCATTCGATCTCAGTTGAATCGCTAATAAAGGCACTTCGGTCGCCAACTTCTTCTGCTTTGGTGAGGATTTATTATTTTAAATATTTTTACCGCTGGAATTGGCTTCGCTGCCCTCACCAAGGTTCAAGGACCCTCTTTGGTGCGGTCCTCAGGATCTCCTCGGCTGGGGAGATCCTCCTAAAAGCGGCTCGATATCAGTAGATGTCACATAAATATTGTTTCTGGTTGCTTGTGATTTACTATTTAAAAAAAAACCTAAAATTATATCTCATACAGGCATGGACAAGCTTTGGCCCTCCAGGTGTTTGGACTTCAACTCCCACAATTCCTTTGGACTAAACCAGGCATGTTGGAGTCCAAAGCACCTGGAAGGCTGAAGTTTGCCCACGCCTGTAACAAGAAGATATCCCATTTAGATTACTGCAACGCTCTCTACGTGGAGTTGCCTCTGAAGACTGCCCGGAAGCTCCAACTAGTCCAAAGAGCTACTAACAAGAGTAGGGCACAGGGAGCATACTACTCCTCTGTTGCGCCAGCTCCACTGGCTGCCAATTAGCTTCCAAGCACAATTCAAAGTGCTGGTGTTAACCTATAAAGCCCTAAACGACTCCGACCCAGTTTACCTGTCCGAACGTATTCTCCCCTATGAACCATCAAGATTGTTAAGATTGTCTGAAGGGGCCCTGCTCTCGGTCCCACCAGCCTGTCAGCCGCGTCTGGTGGGGATGAAGGACAGGGCCTTCTCGGTGGTGGCCCCTCGGCTCTGGAACTCTCTTCCACTGGAGATCAGAACTGCCCCTTCTATCCTGACGTTTAGAAAACAGGTGAAAACTTAGCTCTGGAAACTGGCATTTGACGAGTGAGTCAATATCCTGCGATATGGATGGATGATGATGAACAATGATTTTATTGTGACGACTGACCATTGTAATTATATGACTGTATTTTGCTATTTTAATGTTTTAGTGTAATATGGAATATGATGTTTTTAATGATTGTTTGTGATATTGTTGTTGGAAACCAGCCTGAGTCCCTCGATGGAGGTGAGAAGACCAGAATACAAAATCTCTAAAAAATTAAATAAATAAATAAATAAATAAATAAATAAATAAATAAATAAATAATATTATAAACTCTGTACTGACCCTGAAAACAGCTCTGTGAATGCAACCGGTTATTTTTTCCTAGTTGTTTGAGAGTTCTGGTTGCTTAAAGGTAAAGGTAAAGGTTTCCCCTTGACATTAAGTCTAGTCGAGTCTGACTCTGGGGGGTGATGCTCATCTCCATTTCTAAGCCCAAGAGCCGGTGTTGTCCACAGATTCCTCCTAGGTCATGTGGTCAGCATGACTGCATGGAGCGCTGGTTGCTTATGTTCCACTTAACTGAGAGTCTACTGCATTTACAACTGTTTGGCCAGATCTAAAATATTAGACCTGCCACATATCATCCAGTGTATGTGATTTGCAGTTTGCTACCCACTTGGGAAGGCAACACACCTTTGACTGCTATGGATTCATCTCTACACTGTAGAATTAATGCAGTTGGCACTGCTCAATGCTATGTATTCTTGGGATTTGATGGCCACCTGTCAGGGGTGCTTTGAATGCTATTTTCCTGCTTCTTGGCAGGGGGTTGGATTGGATGGTCCATGAAGTCTCTTCCAACTCTATGATTCCAACTCAATTCTATGATTCTATTATTTCAGTGCTCTTTGGCAGGGAAAATCTTGGCACGGAAAATCTTGGCACGGAAAGACCTTGCAAAACTACAGCTCCCATGACATGATAGCATTGAGCCATGGGAGTTCAAGCGGAGTCAAACTGCATTAATTCTGTGCTGCAGATGCTCTGTTGGGGATGCTTTGAATGCTATTTTCCTGCTTCTTGGCCGAATGGGGTTGGACTGGATGGCCCACAAGGTCTCTTCCAACTCTATGATTCTATGATTCCAACTAAATTCGATGATTCCAACTCTGTTCTATAATTCTATGATTTCAATGCTCTTTGGCAGGGAAAACTAAAGACCTTGCAAGACTACTATTCCCATGACATGATAGCATTGAGCCATGGCTATTCAAGTGGTGTCAAGCTGCATTAATTCTGCACTGTAGATGCATCCTTTGCCTAAGTGCAATATGCCATGCTGGACGTTGCGCTAAAGAGTCTGTTTCTGAACAAGCACATGACCTAAATTCGGCCTCCTTTTCTCTTTTTATAAGTCTGTCAACTCTTTCTGACCTGCGTGGAAGAACTAGGCCAGGTCACTGGGTACTAACTAAACAGATGCTCACTTTGGTATTAAGCATTGCGCTGTTGTCTTGATGTGCTTGTACACTACAGTGACCTACATCTGGCCTCTCATTACTCCAAAGAAATATTTACCAAACTCAGGTCTTCCAGATGTTTAGGACTCCAGTTCCCAGAATTCCTAATCATTGGCCAAAGTTACTGAGGCCTCTGGGAGTTTAGTCCAGGCATGGGCAAACTTCAGCCCGCCAGGTGTTTTGGACTTCAACATGCCTTGTTTATTTATTTGTATTTATTTACGACATTTATATGCCACCCTTCTCACCCCAAAGGGGACTCAGAACGGCTTACAAGTTATTTGTACATACAATATATTATATTATTAGCACAGCGCAATATTAGCATTATATATTACTATATTGTACTATACCATTATACTGTAATATTATTACTTCAGCCAGAGAAATCAGCCATAGCAGAGCACCTGATGAACCAACCTGGACACAGCATTTTATATGAGAACACAGAAATGCTGGACCACTCTCACAACCACCATGTCAGACTACGCAGAGAAGCCATTCAAATGACATATGCAGGAGACAAGATGGAACTGTCCCCTGCCCACCCCCCCCCCTTTACTCTGACCCAGAGTGGAGTTGATGCTGGGGAGAGGGGCCCCCAACTGATGGCATATGGAGGAGACAAGATGGAACTGTCCCCTGGCCTCTTCTCTCTACACTCTGGCCCAGAGCAGCAGTTGGTGTTGGGGGGAGGGGGTCTCCAACTGATGACATATGGAAGAGACAAGATGGAACTGTCCCATGGCCCTCTCTCTCTTCACTCTGGCCCAGAGAAGCAGTTGGTGCTGGGGGGAGGGGGTCCCCAACTGATGACATATGCAGGAGACAAGATGGAACTGTCTCCTGCCCCCCCCCCTTCACTCTGGCCCAGAGCGGCAGTTGGTGCTGGGGGGAAGGGTCCCCAGCTTATGACATATGCAGGAGACAAGATGGAACTGTCCCCTGCTCCCCCCTTCACTCTAGCCCAGAGTGACAGTTGGTGCTGGGGGGGGAGGGGCCCCCAATTGATGATAGGTGCAGGAGACAAGATGGAACTGTCCCTGCCACCCCCTTCACTCTAGCTCAGTTGGTGTGGGGGGGAGGGGCCCCCAACTGATGACATATGCAGGAGAGACAAGATGGAACTGTCCCCTGCCCCCCTCTTCACTCTGGCCCAAAGTGGCATTGATGCTGGGGGGGAGGGGTCTCCAACTGATGACATATGCAGGAGACAAGATGGAACTGTCCCCTGGCCCCCTTTCTCTTCACTCTGGCCCAGAGCAGCAGTTGGTGCTGTGGGGAGGGGCCCCCAATTGATGGCATATGCAGGAGACAAGATGGAATTGTCCCCTGCCCCCCCCCCCTTCACTCTAGCCCAGAGTGACAGTTGATGCTGGGGGGAGGGGCTCTCAACTGATGACTCAGGAGACATGGTGGAATTGTCTTCCTGGCTCCCCTTCTTCACTATGGCCCA